CGCTAGTTATATATAGCTTCTTTTACTTAATAATTATATATTCCGCTAATTCTTAATCGGATATATCTAGTAACTATTCTATTATATCTAGAGCGATTCTATTTATTAATTGCTTAATCCTACCTCTAGATTGTGACTAGTTAGTAGTGCCGCTAGTATCCCTCTATATAACCCTCTTCCGATAGGATTTATATTTGTCGTACTCTTTCTTACACTTATACCGGTTAAAAGTAATCCGCCCCGACTACTAGTTAATATTTAGATTATACTTTCTAAGCTATAGAATGCCTAATATAATATTATAGTCTCCTATTTCTAGTATATTAAACTTTATTAACTCTAGATATCTATAGATAGATATAGGTAATAAAATAGTTTCCTCGCTAACTCTTTTTAATAGCACTTCGCTATTAAGTCCTATAACTAGAACCGTAAATAGTAATAGATTCGTCCTAACCTATCGATCTTCCTTAAATTATAGATTTATAAAGTTATTAGTAGTATCCGAGTCGATAAAGGTCTATACTCGCCCTATAGATAACTCTATATAAAGCTTAATATAAGTTCCTAATAGTATCGCTTTAAGCTATATAGTTAGCTAATTCTTATAATCGTATAACTACTATCTATTATACTAAACTCCTTAATATTCTTCTTTCTATCTTAGCTTCTTTATCCACTTTAGTAGTCTAGGTTTAATACTATAGTCTAACTTACTTTAGCTATAAGTAGTATATATCTTATTATAGTATATTATAGTAGCTATTCTCCTATATCCTAGGTATTGTACGTATCCTTTATACATATAAGTAGAGTCTTTATAAAGGTATCCTATTAGGTTATCGCCTTCCTTAATTATATTAATAAGGTGCTAGTCTAACCTATAGGTCTATATCTTATTCTCGAGATATCCTATAAATTTATTAGCTTCTTTATCGTTCTTTAGTTAACGATAGTATCTTAGACTTTTATAAGGTATTTTAGGGATTATTTAATCCGTTCTTAGAAGCGTGCTTAGGGTTCCTCGACTAATATTAGCCCTAGGGAACGTAATTAGCGTTCCTAGGTATCTTCGCGCCCCGCTCTTAAGAGTTACTAGACTATTTTAGGGAATAGTTTAGTTCTTAGAGGACGTACTATATCTATCCCTAACTCTCTATAGTATCCTAATCAATCTCTAAGTACTAGTAATTTAGTTTATTAGCTAATCTTTTAATATATAGATTGCCCGTTAGTATCTCTTCTAGGCTTAGGCGTTCCTATCTTACTAAGAGATCTTCTAAGGGCTCGTCCTTTAGGGTCGCTATCTAGGTCTATTCTTAGATTATATATAGTCCTTCGTATATCGCTTATAAGTATTACCGTTTTTTATATAGTCGCTTCTACTTATATTCCTTTATATAGTATCCTAGTTTCCTATATATAAAGTAGAGGTTCTTTTTATAACGCTTATCTTACTTATCTTAAGTAGCGTCTAATTCTATTAGCTTCGGGCTATATAGATTATTATCTTATAGTAGCGCCTTATTATAGCGTCTATTACTAAAACGGTTAAAGTTATACGATTTACCACACTTCTATTAGTCTATTTCTTATCGTTTATACTTTTATTTATTAATACGGTTATCGATCTTAACTATAATCTTAATAAGTTTATCTAAGGTATCTAGTCTATCGATCCTAGCTAGTTTATCCTTAATATCGGGTTTAAGTCTTACCTTAAAGTATAGAATATACGCTCGATCGGGTAGATTAAGATACGAAATAATCTATTAGAATTCGGAGGTATAGACTAATACGCTAATTTATTATCTAATTTTCTATAGCTTATATTTAGCTATTTTAGTAGCGTCGATATTTCCGAATGTTCGTTCTAAATACTATCGGAAACTACTATAGCTATTAAAGATTTCTACTATAGTACTAGACTAATCTCTAGATACTTTCTTATAATAGTCCCTAATATAAGGTTTAAGCTAGTTCTATACTTATCCGCGTAGGTAGGTTAATATAAAAATCACCCTACTTACCTCGGACGGAAGCTTAGACTTATTTATATTAATATATATATCTATCTAAGTAAGGAATCCGCGAAGCTTAATTCGGTTTCCCTTAAAACACTTAGCCTTAGGCAATATCGGCCTTTAGATAGCACTAGCTAGTACTAAAGCGGTGATCTAAGTATATATCTACGCTAAATAGTCCTCAACTATAGTATTATACTTTTCCTACTCCTAGAGCTTACTTATTAAAGTCTTTACCTACTCCTTTAGTATCTTAATCCTATTATCTCGTTTATTATCGGAATCGGGGTTAGTAGGTTTAACTACTAGCTTCTTTCCGGTACTAATATAAGATATATTATCGGTTAGTAACTCGAACTTACTTAATTCGAGACGGTCTTTAATATATTATATACTACTAACTAGTTATAGTTAGGTTAGAAGGGTTCTAGGTATACTTACCTTATACCGCTTAGATTTCTAACGTTAACGATCTATACTTTTAACTATACTATTGCCTAATAGGCCTTACTATAGTCTAGTCCTTTTAAAGTATCGAGGAACGGTGCTAGGTAGAGCGCCGAATAGATCTATACCGGGGTATTAGTCTATTTATAAGTGTTATCAAGTTATAATTAAGTAAGAGAGTCACTAGTAATCTAAAAGGTAAATATAAGTAATAATATATAATTGAAGACGAAGAACTAAACTAGATATATAAATAAGTATCCTTATATATCCCTAAGTTCTTCCTATATAGATAAGTAGATAGTAACGTAGTAGAATCTCCTTAGTAGATTCTACTATTTGACTATTTACCAATCTACTACGTATATAATCACGTGATATTAGCTAATCGTCTCGTAGTGTATGATAGTATTATTTGTCACGGCGAATGATAGGCTGGTATTAGCCGTTTGCTGTCTGTTCACGTGATCCGGTGTTCGTTGGCTCCTGGTGGCCCATCTGTGTGCCTGGTGGGTCACCACTGATTGGTGACGGGCAGGTCCGTAACACACTGCTAGTTGACGAATTGACACCCTACTAGGGTACGGCTACGCCGAGAGAGATCTATTTATACTAGTAGAAGGTTGGATCTATAGGATATACTACCACAATTACTAGACCGGACGCTATAAAAGCCACCGCTCGGCTTACGCAGTTTCTTATAAATCTAGGTCCCTAGCACTAGCAGGCAGCTAATCGAGTTATCACCTATCTCTACACTACCCGGAACCTAGCTATTAAATATAGTGCCGGAGCAGTTAGTATAAGAATAGACTCGGTGTAATTTATAAGCGATACCTCGTATAGGGACCACCCCAATAGAAAGAGCTTAGCTAGATATATCTGCTAGGTATATAGCGGTCCAGTTAACTAGAAAGCTAGTAAGCAGCCTATAGTAATAACCTCAACCACAGAGGCAGAGCTACTAGGCCTATTAGAAATAGGAAAGCAGCTCTAATAGTAGCAGCGATTGCTTAATAACCTTACATTTACCCTATCTTACCACCTAACCATTAACTGTGATAATAAACGGACGATCAGCCTTTTGATAGGCGAGGATATAGCCTTCGAAACGAAGCTACGGTATATAGATATATATCACTACTAGCTAAGGTAGGAAGTTAGAGTAGGACATATTATAGTACGCTAGGTGGCGACAGCGAGTATGGTTACCGATAGCCTCACAAAGCTGCTATCCAGATAGAAGTATAAGAACTTTATACGACTGCTTCGGATGGTTGATATAGGCTACCTTATAGCCTAGGAATTGAGGAAGAGAATGGATCATGCAGCATGCTAATGTATGAAGTGCAGCGATCTCAGTATGCATACTGTGACCGCTGAGGGGGTGTATCGGAATAGATGCATTGGCATACCGGCATACCGGAGGATCCATTGATCCTATGCATTTTGTAATTTTAGATTAGTAATCGACGGCCCATATAAATTGTTAGGAAAGTCGATACAGCAATACAGAGAGTTGAACACCATTGATTGGACCCTACATTTTTACAATACGGCCCACGCCGACATTTTGGGTTTTGAACCCTGAGCGCTATACACCTTCGTACCAAGACCAGTCAACACCATACTACATGGCCGAATACCCAGTCAGACATTTTGTCAGCGGATCAGTAGGATGCCGCGCGTTGTGGAGTTGGCGATGCTTTTACAGCGTTCCCTGTATGCAGCTTATGTTTCATGCCTTTTGCCTACATGCATGTTATGTCATTTGCCTTCATGCAGTGCGCGGCAGATCTTCCTTTGCTCATCGGGCGTTTGTGTTCACGTCTTTGATTTCTTCAACCCATGAAGCTATATAGACGCAGCTTCATGGCAACTAGTTAGATTTTATAATCATCATATTATATTTCTGATCCTGATCACATTCTTCTTTGTAGTCTTGTTGTATAGACTCCATTAGTTAGCCAAGAGAGATTTACTCGGAGTAATACTCTACTCGAGTGCAGAACCCAGATAGGCACTAGGGCTGACACTAGATCGTACACTACAGGCTTAGAGCATGAACCATTTGATACCACAATTACATAATTACAGATTCACAACCTTGGAAGAACACGAACGCACCCATTCCTTGGCCCATGTCGATCAATATGTGTCTTGTTTGCCTTTGTGTGAGAAAAGCAATTGTTATGTGATCCCACTTGCATGAGATTAATCTGACATATATTGTAGTTGATTGATCATTCGGTCCCCGTCCTCCATTAGATACCGTATACTCGATCTCGATTTCGCGACTCAGTATTCCATACGCCGCCAAAAATACGATTCTTGCCAGCCAACCCCATCAATCGTATCCAACTGTAGTAATGGATCGACTGTGCGCTCCTCCAATTATCCTTTCGGGTCGATCAATAGATGAGATTATAAAGCCCATACCTTTCCTCCAAGACATCGGTATCCGACCTTGCTAAGCGTGTCACCAGACACAATAGCTATTGTTATTGTTATCTCTCGATTGCTTTGAACATGGTATCAAGCAGTACGCCAGAAGCCTCATCCCAGTCACCGGCTCCCAAAAAAGGATTTTTCGAGACCCTATGGCGGAGTCAGTCGAGCCCGGCGCACATTCGGTCACACGGCCAAGGTGTTCAAGCATTTCCTTAAGGCGGTCCAGAAATTCCCCGAATATCTCTTTGGGCTGGCCAGGGGCACCAGAGAACTCGAAGAGGTATTCGCCAATCCCTTTATAAGACCGACGTCACCATGCTCCTTTGGTCCTAGGCAATCCCCGATCCGAAGGCGCCGGAGGAATTCGAGAAGAACCTTGATCTGATTACCAAGCGCAGTGGTCTCGACCAGTGGTATAAGCCTGGGAATAGCCTCTTGAAGAGTGTCGCCAAAGAAGCCGCCAGGCTGAGAAATGATCCGAATAACCATCTCAATTCGCCAGAACAGATCGGGGCACTCATAAATGTCGCCTTGTATAAGCTCGTTTTATACTGCGGTAGGCTTCGGAGACTGTGTTATATCCAGTTTGAAAGCTGATAAATAGGGATGGGTAGACGACAGTCAATCAATGACCGGTCCGTCAGCTGTTCAAGGAAAAACACGGATGCAGGCTCAGAGTGATCTTGTGAACAAGATTGCTGAAATAGCTACTCGAGCCCTTCCAGAAGACATGAGGCGGGTTCATCTACAATTCATCAACCGGACTCAGCAACTTGATGATATTAAAGCGAGCGAGCTGCCTGGAAAGATGAACTTTACGCCATACGGGGCCACTCAACTGGGTACATCATTGAAGAATCGAATTTTGAGTCCGCTTGTTTATAATGTGCTGAACGAAGAAAAGCCCCTTCTTCGCCCTTATCTCATTCTTACCATTACAGATGGGTCACCAAATCAGGAAGACCACCATACATTCCGGACCGCCATTCAGGAAGCAAAGAATCATGTGACTAATAAGGGTTACGATGAAGCAGGTGAGGTATGCGATTCTGACGACCGTGGGACTGCCCTGCTAACAAGATCAAAGCTATTAAATTTGACCTCAGCCAGGTGGGAAACGATTCATCTGCTACATCCTTCTTAAAAGGCTTGATCGAGGACACAACCCTCAATGGCGTGCTCCACTGTAGGGCAGGCAAGTCGATCTTGTTATTTGCTTCTGGAGGCACTACTAATGGTTATAATTAGAGCATTTGGATGCCCAGTTCAATGCCCTTCGTGGTAGTGACGCAGAGCTTGAAAATTGGGTAACTCTCCCTCCCCCCACCCGGGCTTATGCATTGGAGAAGAGTACTAATTCCTTTTAGTTGCTTGACAAGCTGAAAGGGCCGATCAAGTTTAGGGATGATTCCAAGAAGGACAAGTAGCCATGGGAGAATCGCTTAGCCGTGAAGGGATTTGAAGGGGTCAAGCTTTTCCCATACTCGCGAGTCTCGCTATCCGGTTACATATAGCATCATCTAGTGGCTAAGTGTTGATAGGAATCACATGCGAATTGTTCCCTGTATATCTCGCTTAAAATTGGACCTGCTCTACTTCTTTCTCTTTCTTATTCCCCCGATATAATTCAAATTAACCCCTGATCGCTATATACCTTCTTCACACTAGGTAGGTAGAAGTCTACAAATTAGAAAACCTCCTCGCGACATCCTGCCCCGCCCTCAACGCATACTCCACCAACTCGAACATATTAAACCCACTGGCATAATACGTCCCTTTCTGTCCCTGCAGCCCTTCGAAAAGCTCATAGTATCCCTCCCGCAGCTGCTGGGTGTCATAATGTGGAAAGTACTCGTTCTCCTGGAACGCTAGCACGTCCTCGTCATTCACTGCCCCAGCAGACACACCCGCGTCCCTCGGGTCCTTGTTGAACGCCGACAGGGTGCTCTTCAGTCGTGCGTACGCCTCATCCCGCGTCAAGTTCCCGCGGTACGGGCCCCACGACGACGTAATGGCAATGTCGAGATCGCCGTGTAGCTTTGTGAACACGACGGGGTCGCCGGTTGCGTCGGGGGGTAGGCCCGGGTGGGCGCTTGCCGCGCCGAAGGTCATGGTGTGGGGCGTGGAGAGGCGCACGGCGCCGGAGTAGAAGCTGTGGGTGCCCACTGGTGTGAAGACTTCACGTTCCTCGTCGGTCAGGTCGAGGCCGGCGCTTTGGAGTGAGGACAGAATTGGCGGAAAGGCGAGTATCAGTGCTGCGCAGGACTGGGTCTGGAGCGTGCTGTCGCTCGAGGTCTGGTATGTGATTATGGGTGACTCGCCGGTGCGGTCTGTGGATTATCCCGGGGTTAGTAAATAATTTGGCCGAGTCAGTGGAGTGTACCGACCGATGTGTGAGATGGTCGTGTCCAGGTGGATTTCTCCGGCGATGAACCTGTCGGCGAAGATTTGCAACGCCCGGTGGAAGTCTATTACATTTAGTACATTGATGTGTCCTAGAAGCTACATAACCCACCTGCAATCTCGATCATGCTGCCTTGTTGGACTTTGAGGAGCGTCATCAGCACCGGCGGGGTCAGGTATTGCAGCATGTATACCTAGGCAGTTAGCACGGATCAAGAAAGGTCGTCTTTGCAGTGGGAGACATACAATTGGCACTTGGCGATAGTCCCCATAGCCATATGCAACCATAGACTGCACAAACGCTGCCTGCAGAGTTTGGTATCCATTGCGCGCCAGCCACTCAGCTGCTGGAACGGTCAGCTCGGGGGGGAATGCCATGCTAGATCTTGCAATCAGTTGCCGCCCAGGTAACGATACAGTTCCATGATACTCACTGGATACCCCGGGGCAATATTGTAGAGGACAAAGTTCTTGTTCCACCAGTCCACGTATCTCCGCACCTCTTGCATGAAGAGTTGCATCGCCTGCGGGGGGATAGGGGGGTTTCGCCCAAATTGACCCGCTGGAGGCATTGTACTGCCACTTCTCGCCGGAGACAAAGGGAACAGAGGTCACTCCAGTCTTTAGCAGGAGCTTGATTGATTCCCGGTATGTCGGGGGCGTGAAAATCAGCGCTCCGAGAGGACTGAAAGTGGAACTGTGTCGGTTTGTCAGAGGGGGACATTACTCCAGACCTAAAAAAGAATTACGTACTTCTCATAGACAGCTTGACACTTCCCTCCCACCGCACTCTGCTTCTCAAAGGTCACCGTACGGTACCCCTTTAGCTCCAATTCCGCGGCCGCACTGAGTCCCGCAGGGCCAGCTCCCACAATGCAGACAGGACGATCTGGGTCTCTGGCTTTGACGCAAACACCCAGAGCCAGGAGGACAAATTTTATGAGGAGCTTCATTTTCAAATGCATATAACCGATTGAAAGAATGAAGGCTTCCGCACACAAGACAAAAGACCCATGATATTTCTGGCCCCCACACGACGAATCCTATATTATCCGGTATTATGCATACCCATTGGCCAAACATTTTGCCTTTGGGGCTGACAGAGCCTAACAGGCAGCGACTAGGCCGTGCAGGGGATTGTTCGCCCCCATGCATGCAGTTGCATGCAGGTGCAGACGCACATGGCTCATCCGCCACGGGTACAACCGAAAGTTGGACCCGGCCCATGCTCCGCCTGTTATTTCTGCAATAATGTAATTTAATTTCCGCCAATTGGAATTTTGAAATAGTTTTTTGTCTCGTACTGTGCCGGTCAGCGAATGATAATTTGTTGACCCGCTAGCGGCGCCACTCCGCTGCTGACGGCGCATCTCGGTAGTAGAGCCTGGCCCCCTCTAACTCTACTACTACACCGGTCTGCATTTTCTGTTCTAGTGTGGCCCCATTTCTATCCGCCACTAGGGTTGGAAACAGTAATTGACTCATTGTGCGAATTCAACCCTCTATTGGTCCCTTCTATAATTGGAATACGGCATAATCAGGGCTTTCGATGTAGCCAGGTCAATCACACCATCCTTTGCTATCGTTACCATCTCTAGTGCTGATATCAGCTTAGTGAGGAAAATTGGAATGTTTTAGCGAGACCCATGCGTTCGCAATGTGAACCTTGTGCCCATGGGATAAGGCTGATCCAAGCTACGTAGACTAAGGCCTTGTCGAACTGGAAGATACGCGTGGGCCGCCCTAGCCTAACCCCGAACATTGGATATAGATATGTGATTTTGAAATATCAATTGGGTGGGTGAGATGAAGCTGGCTCTCTCTGGTTCCACGCATAGTAACGGGGCATAAATAGAGGTCAAGGAGAGCCTCTCCTAGTGACAGCGTAATTGGACGAACCTTCTCTATCTATATACCTCTTCTTGTGGAACCGAATTAATCTGGCAACATGGCCGCCGCCAGCCAGGGACATCCATGTTCCAAACATATCGACCTCTACGGGAATGTTTACGAAGTGCCCGAATTCACCATGAAACAGATCTACGCCGCCATCCCAACTCATTGCTTTCGTCCATCCACCGCTCGCGGTCTGGGATATGTAGCGCGGGACCTTGTCCTACTCGGTAGCCTGGCCTGGATAACATACACCTATACACCTGTGCTTCCGAGTATTGCCCTTCGCACGATGGTATACACCCTCTATACCGTGATTGCTGGGATGGTCATGACAGGTATCTGGATTCTCGCCCACGAATGCGGCCACGGCGCCTTTTCCCCCTCGAGAAGAACCAACAACCTTGTCGGGTTCGTCTTGCATTCGTTCCTGCTAGTCCCGTACTACAGCTGGAAGATCACCCACTCTCATCATCACAAAGCAACGGGCGACCTGCAACGGGATAGCGTTTACGTTCCGCACAGTCGAGAGTATGTCCCTAACTCTATATAGCCATCGATCATAACCGGCTTGCTTGCTAATGGCAAAGGGACACAGATACTTCATCAAATCCACCTTTGGCCAAGACGCCGATTCCCACAGCTTCACCGAGCTGACCGAAGACGCCCCTATCGTCACACTCTGGCACTGCCTCCTGTTCCAGATCTTCGGCTGGCCCCTATACATGCTCGACAACCTGAGCGGGCAGAAAGGTGCAACCGGATTCCCCCAGCACAGCCATTACTGGTTTGGTCCCGACAGCGGGCTATACAAGGAGTCGGAGCTGTTCTCCGTCTTCCTGAGCGATCTCGGTGTGGCCGCCACGTGCATTGGACTATTTCTCGCAGCACAGGTTTTCTCCGTGTGGACGGTTCTCGTCTTCTACGGGATTCCGTATTTATGGCTGAATCAGTGGGTCGGTACGTTCGTTCGTTTCCTTCCGCCATCCCCATTCTGCCTCCTTTCTTCCAATATAACCACTCCAAATAAACCACACACTGATTTATTGCAATAAAATAATATAGTCGTCATCACCTACCTCCAACACACAGACCCCACCCTCCCCCATTTCACTCACTCGACCTGGACCTTTGCCCGCGGCGCCTCCGCAACCATCGATCGCAGCTTCTGCCTGGGGCCCCTTGATATTGACAAACATCTCTTCCACGGAATCGTCGGCACCCATGTCCTACACCACCTCTGCTCCTCCATCCCCTTCTACCATGCCTATGAGGCGACGGATGGGGTGCGCGCCGTTATGGGCAAGCATTACCGCGAAGATCGGGACACGCCGCTGATGAAGGCGCTATTTCGCAACGTTAGGGATTGCCAGTTTGTCGAGGAGAGTGCGGGGGTGGAGGGGAGCGGAGTTTTCTTCTTTCGGAATCTGCATGGACGAGGTGTCAGGCCTAGAGATGTGGCTTCGGGGGAGGGGATGAGTGTTTGGGACGGGCATTTGCCGGCTTCCTGTGAACTGAATATAAAGAAGCCGAAGGAGGTGGAGAGGGAGCGATGGGGTTGGAGGGATTTGATGAAACTTGTTTGGTGATTTGGCAGTTGGGGTCCTAGTACTTTTCCTATGGTTATATATTTGTGGTATGAGGTTAGATAAGTTATAGAGTATTATCGAGTAGACATAAAGTTATTTTTAGGACTGAACAGTCCATTGATATTGCAATAAGGTTCTTGGTATGATTTACTGCGGAAATAAAAGCCATCTCATCCACAGCCGTGGAGTAGAGACCAAAGATGAGATGAGATGAGATGATATCCAACTCCCGAGGTCTGTATTTATAACCCATGGCATCCATGATTGATATAGTACTACCCAATCTAACAAAACGGGCAAACAAAACAAAACAAAACACCGAATCAGCCAGATAAGACCCTCTAACCTGACCTACCTCCCTCCAAATCTCCCTTCTTCTCATCCTTAAAATTTTGCTTCCCTGTCAATCCCCCGCTAATAACATCATTTCTACCCACCAAACTAACCACGAAGCCCGCAATTGACAACCCCATCATAACATACCACATAGTCGCCAAACTATCTGCATAGACCCCCCCGATAAGCCTCCTGAACCGCTTCGGGGAACTTCCGGATAACCTCATACGCCGTCTCTGCCACATTACTACCCACAATCAAGTCATGAGGTATGCGTCCAGCCGTCACAGCAGAATCCACTTCCTTACTCCACTGATTCTGGAAGATGACGCCTCCCAGCCCCACGCCAAAGGCAGTCCCCATACTGCGTGTAAAGACCTGAATGGACGTTGCGATGCCGATGTCGTCGCCGTGTTGGCGGGCTTGTACGGCGAAGATGGGCGTTGGAAAGAGGAGGCCGCCGCCCAGGGATATGAGGACGCGGGGGCCGTATAGCATGGCTTTGCTGGAATCGGGGTGCATTGTTATCTTTGTATTTTATATTATGTTAGTATTCTTATTCTGTTGCTGGAAGGCTTCTATTTGGGAGTGTAGTTGCGAAAGAGAAGGGAGAAGAGGGAGGTACATACGTTTGTCCCCATTCCGGCTGCGAGGAGAGCCCATCCCACCACGATGATGTATTTAAAGTGCTGGGTGCGTTTGACAAGCATGCTGGCTACGAGGCCTGCAGGGGCGGAGTAGGCGATACAGGTCATTGTCTCCAGAGAAGCGTGGAGGACGGAGTGTTGGAGAGCACCGAGGAACTGTTGTATTAGATAACTGGTGTCAGTCAATGTTGCGGGGTTAAGAGGGGTAGGAATGAGAGAGAAGGAATGAATGAAATGGAGAGGAAGAAGACGTACAAACACAATCATATAATAAGTCAGACACCAAAACACCAACCCGTGCAGAAAGCTCGTCACGAAGCCGACAATCGCAGAGCGATCATTAAAGATCCGCAGCGGCATCATGGGCCTCTTCGACACGCGCCACTGCGTAAAGATAAAGACAGGGAAGAGTACCACGCCCAGAACCAACGGAACCAGGACAGCGGCCGAATCCCACGGATGCGAAACACCCCCCCGACGTCAACCCGACCAGGAACAGCGTCGACGCGCAAGTGAACACACCCAGTCCCGCCCAGTCCAACATCCCCAGCTTCTTGACAAACGACGACGTATCATGCTGCAACTGCAACGCATACAGCAACCCCACGATACAAATCACACAAACGGGGATATTGATGTAAAAGATCCACCGCCAGGTCGTCCTCTCCCCAATGGCACCCCCAATCGGGATCCCAATGTTTGTTCCTAGCGACCATGCGAACGCTGCGATGGCCATGTAGAGACCTCGCTCGCTCATCGTCGATATATCAGACAGGATGACCTGCACTAGCTGGATCATGCCTCCTGCGCCGATGCCTTGCACTACACGCGCGCCGATCAGCCATGTAATGGTTTGCGCGGTGGCGCAGAGAATGCTGCCGAGGAGGAAGATGGATATCGCGATAAGGATGGGCCACTTGCGGCCGAAGATTTCGCTCGTCGTGCCGTAGAGCGGGATCGTGACTGTTTGCGAGAGGAGGAAGGACGTCCCGACCCAGAAGGACTCGACGCTGCTGCTTTGGAGGTCTTGCGCTATGGCTGCCAGTGCGGAGCCAACTATTACGGCGTCCATGGAGCCGACGACCGTTACGAGAGCCAGAAAGAAGACCGTGAGCTTGAACTTGAGAGATTTTGGTTGCGGTTTCTCGTTTTCATCTTGTGAGGAGGAGATTGGCCTGTCCAGGCTGTCTTCTTTGTCTGCTTTCCCTTCTAATAGAGAGGTTGTCGCTGGACGTTTGTTGCTCATTGTGGGTTGCTCAGCACCGGGCGGGGTGGAAGCCATGACAGACAGTCACGAATGGAGAATAGAGGTGGAGGGGTCGTGGTTGTTGGGTGAGAGTTAACATAGGTAGGTTGGTAAACTCTGCGACGACTTGGCTGTGAGGACGCTCGAGGTATGTAGTGACCGATGGTCGTACATCTCCCTGTCGGTCACTGCTACAGTCTATTTGCTACTGCGATCCGTAGCTGGCCCCACCATTCTCCCGCCATTACCTTCTGTCTGAAGGGCTGCTTTCGTATGCAAGCGTAAGCCGGCACAAAGAGGCCAGTAACTGGCCCTCACCTTTGAATGACACGATCATCTAGTGCTTACGGGTAATGCCGATATAAGAAGAATATCCACCTATCTGCTGCCGTGAAAAAATCCTTCCCACAGTGTTGGCCTCTTGGCATCTGACAAGCACGGCTGATTTTACCCAACAACTGTCAACTACCGAGTGAACTCTGGAGCGTTGTACGGAGTAAATGTAGGCATTAAAACCAACCCCGATTGTGAAATTTCGGTTGGTCTCAATCCAAGTGGAGACATCAATTAGTGGGAACTACGGTACCAGTACGGTCTGCCAAATAGTTTGTACATTGCAGGATGGGCCCCGGTGAATCGTCTGAAAATATCGGGATTTGCTAACCATCAAAGACCTGGTAAGATCGGGCCAAAAAGGAGTCAAGACTGAGAGGCCAGTCTGTTGGTGGGATCGGTTTCACCTGTGCCAGAGTCCTCTTCTTATCGGTAGCGGGCTGAGACGCTAAAATTATAGATCAGCATACATCCCGGTATGCCATAAATAACCTTGGAACATCACCCACAACCTTGCGCAGGTGGAAGCCCTGGAGTCATCCATGGATGAGGTGAGACAGAACACGGTTGGTCCAGGCCCACTTCGGCCCGGACGGTTCGGGACGACTCTCCGGTGTGGGCCCGGGGGCCCGGGAGCCGAGCTAATTGCTGACGCCCCACCGGGAATGATTGACCAATGCATCGTGGGTCTTAGGGTTTTGGGGCCAAACCCAATCTCACCACATTAGTTTCGGAGGATAATCGGGTAATTACGTAAATATATGCGATGGGGAGAACTAAGATACGGCGATTTGATATCGCTTTTCGCGAGGCTGAATCGAGACAGGTGGGAGAAGGGCTTGGTGCGGCTGGCCTAAAGTTTATAAAACAAAGAACTCGACATGCCCAACAGAGCGATGAGTACGGTTGATGCTATGACGAATACGTACTAGTCTCCCTCGCTGCATCCCAACAAATTCATCCATGACAGCCCTCGCCCGACTAACCCTGCTCCGCGAACACCTCGATTCTTCCTTCCACCCTCCTCCTCCACCTCCACCGCCCAGTCCAATGATTGAGAATCCGGACAAGGATAAAATAGTGATGGAAAAACCTATTCCTCCTCTCTCAAAAGAGCGATTATCTCTCTCCCACCGGATAAATTGTTTCCTCCAACTCTGGCTGCTCAAATCCCTCGCCAACCTCTACTTCCTCTACCTCCGCCTCGTCAAGCCCCCTCAACCGGGCACCCAACCAACCCTCACTAAGCGCTATGCCTGCCGCCCAACTCTGGAAACACGCATCTTCTACCCGCGTTCATACAACCCCGCCCAGCGCCAATTGCTCCCACTCTACCTGAACGTCCATGGCGGCGGCTTCGTGATGTGCGACGCCAGCGTCGACGACACCTTTTGCAGCGCCTGGGCCAATCGCACCGGAATGCTAGTTGTCAGCCTCAACTACCGCAAGGCGCCGCTCCACCCCTTCCCAACAGCCACTTTTGACGTTGCCGAGGTCGCCAAGTGCGTCTTAGCAGATGACTCCCTCCCAATTGACCATTCGCGCATTTCCATCGGCGGCTTCAGCGCAGGCGGGAACCTCGCGCTCTCTGTCTCGCAACTCCCCGGTCTCAAAGGCCTGATCAAAGCAGCGGTGGTATACTACCCTATTGTGGATTTCGGCCACCCACCTAATGAAAAGCTGGATGCGAGACCATATAAAGGTGGTCCGACGGATAATCTGGAAAGGACGTCCTGGTGGCTGGACTGGGGGTATGTGAGTGTAGGGCAGAATCGGAGGGATCCACTACTCAGCCCAGTGTATGCGGGGAAGGATGAGCTGCCGCCGTGGATTTATATGATTGGGGCACAGTGGGATATGCTCCGGTTGGAGACGCAGCAGATGATTCATGGGTTGGCCGGACTGGAGGATAGAGTCGGGGTTGAGCAGGAGGAGGACTTTGAGGTGGGCAGGTATAAGTGGACGTTGGCGAGAGGGTGTCCGCATGGGTTTACTCATGCGAGCCCACGGAAGAAGGGGGGGTAATAGTAGGAGGAAGCGGGAGGAGATTGCGCAGGGGATTTATGAGGAGGCGCATGCGTGGTTGAAAAAGGCTCAGGTTCTTTCTTAGGTACCGTACCTACCTAGGGTTTTTGAAAAATTCCCTCTTATAGATTTTGTTGGTTGGATTAAATGGAGTAAATGTTTTCAAGGAGGGAGGTCAATAAGGGATATACACCATGTGTAATTCAGGATGAAGTATGGTTTAGCGAAGACTTTTGATCGTAACTAATAAGCCCCTCTGCCCAGGGCAAGACTTTGCTCATGCAGCTGTAGTCTTTTTAATGGTCTTCTTAGGTAGTCCTCCCTGATAGTCTTTTCATATATCTTTTTAGTGGTCCTTTTTAGTGGGCTCCTTAGATATTTATTTATATAGATATCTTCTCTCTCCCCTAACTTATTCGGTAGATAGTAGAAAGGGGCAAAAGGAAAGGCTTAATTTATAAACGGGAACTTCCCTATATAAAACATCGATGTCTCAACATCTACAATATCTCGATTTCTATAGTGCCAATTTCTATCAATATCTATGGTTAATAAAATACACATGAACTAGATTTAGGAAATGTTCTGCAAAATACAACATGGCGCACTGACGGCTATACACTGCCGTAGGATGTAGGATAACCAGCTATTAATTAACAGCGCATTTTAAGTCCGTTATATAATGCGGTAGAATCAAACTCGAATAGGGAGTTCTTTTTTATCTAGTAGCTGAAATCCTTTTTTGAGGAGCGAAGCTTGATACTGAACATGAGGAGATGGCTCAAACTCTTTACCATCTTGGGGTTTGCAATTGTTGTAACGGACGAAATGTTTGATCTTTTCATTGCTGTGCACGAAATTGTAAATCGGGGAGGACCAGTCTTTTAGAGTGCCAGAATTGTCAAGTTTAGCCTGCAGGATGCGACCATGCCTCGGCCCAAAGAAAGAAAGCATAAGTACCTATAGCATAATCAGCGCTATTTCGTCATAGCATAGGGAATTACAGGTCTTAGACAGACCGGGAAGATCCAGGCATTCTAGAACTCTGGCTGGTTGAGGCGGCATTGGATTACATTTGCAATAGGCCCTAGCTCGCCATGGAGTAGTTCGTTTTCTTTCGCCTCTGCGCCAGTGAGGGTCACAAGCTTGATGTGAGGGCGACTGGTCTTTAGATTTTCGTCGAGCCATTGGCAGGTAGAAACCGTGTACCATCTTGGAAGGGCTGCAGGCATCGAATGTCCGAGTTTAAGACCCAATCTCATTCCTTGTGGACCTTGGTAGAAAGAGTCCTCAGCCCTAATAGTTATTAGTGACTAATTAATAGACTATAGAACGAGACTCACCTGATATTAGCCCAGTATGAGGCTTCTTCTATTGAAATAGTGTCCTCATCCACTGCATTCTTAAAGCATGATTCGAAGATTTCAAGAGAGAATTGGATTTGACGAGCTCTGTCCCACATCCGGCAATCCTGCCGGACCGGGTAAGTTTGCGGGAATTCATCAAAAGTGTCCTCGAATCTGTGGAGATAGCGATCCTCGTCCTTGGTAAGCACCTTTTTATCGAGTTTGTATTCGTTAATCTGCTCCTGGGTGAGAGGTAGGAAGAGACAAGTTTCGGAATCGGTGAATTTTGGAACCTCTGGATCGAATGAGCGAACGGAGACTCGAAATTGAGCGAGCTCGGTGTGCGTATAGGCAGGCTTAGACCGAGACTCAAGTGCTAGGATGATAGATCGCGCCGCCTGCTTGTACTTGTCTCTTGAGGGAACGGGTTCCTGCGCCGGGTCAGCAGGAGAGGGATCAACAACGGAAGAAGCCATAATGAAAAACACTGAATAAGGAGCGAGGTTGAGAGACAGATGTTGTGGGCTGACCTCAGAGCTGGGAGGTCATGAAAAAAGAAGCCTGGGACATAGTTGGCCGTCAGCACGTGCGCTTGTCTCACATGACGTCGTCACATATAGCTCCCTCTGACGGAAGGAATACGGCATATTTCCACCAGGCCATAACAAAAAAATGCTAGGTTCCTGTTTAGGGCCTAAGGTCATATCCCAGTTTGAAGCCCTCCAAGTTTGAACAGCGATCTTTATGTTGCCCCTTCGACAATTTCATTCTTCCTTATACTGACATCCATTTTCGTCCTTTGAAGTTCTTATATCGTCATTCCATCAGTTAAACTCCAAACGGACAAGACGAAGCACAGCGGACTCTTTTCTTATTGTTAATATTCAATAAACGTCATTTTGCCAACTAAAGGCCAAGGCGTTTAGTACCGTAAAGTAAAGGCATTCAAGCAAGAGTAGATGGATGTTCAGCATGCCCAGCGAAGCATCCAAGCAGGCCTTTGGCGAGTAGCTCATTGGATCATCTGGATTAGCCGAGCTTGTATACAGAAAACGGGGATTAAGAACAATCTGCCCCTTGTGGATCATATGGCCCAGGAACAATCGTGAGTTGATGGCCAGCGGAGGTCACACTGGTCGCCAAGGGCTTCAGCTTCAAAACGCGGAATACTACTGCGGCTTCTTATAATATGCTTTCAACACGTATCACATCTGCATAACTATATGTCTTAACCTCATCTGTGAGGTCTGCCACTATATCCAGTGCTGCCAAGACACATTGCTAAATGATCAGTCCGAGCGAATTGGGGGTATCAGTAGCTCCTTCCAAAATGCTAAATGCGTAACTTCAGCCCTAGACCTAGTCAGCTTATCTTTCCCTATCTTAGTCTCATCCCAGTCTCATCTGATCCTGACCTTTGTTAAAATCGATTCTAACCTCACTTAATCAGATAATGTCATCGCAGAAAAAGCCATTGACCTAGCACTACAGACTCTTCGCCTGCTGAAGTATGTCTAACATCCCTCTTCCCTTAAATGAATATTTACTTATCAGCACCTATTCCTTGACAGACATCACCCTTCGCCAAACCTCAAGCAACCAAAAATTTCCAAACCATGGCAACAGAACTTGTCCGATCAGACGACCTGACCACAGACACTTCAACCCCAAGAATCAGCAATCCTAAGGGCCTCGCCATTTTATCTCGATTGGACACAGCCATTACAAAACATGAAAAGAATGAAAAGGAAATCAAAGACCTACAAAAGAGAATGGCAAGATTCGACCGTATCGTTGATTCTATCTTGGCTCAGCGACACAATGTACTCGATGAATGGGCCGGATAGCCTCGTGATCCAGACGCCGTCCAGGAAACAAACAGAGATGGAGTCGCCCACGGAGGGGGCATTGTTACGGACATTGAAGTGATTATGATGATGTTCAAACAATAATCAGAACGAGCTACGCGATGGAGGAAAGCATTTTTGACCTACTATGGAGTTTCCTGGCTCGAAGTTGCGTTTCCGAAGGATCTCAAGGCAGGATCACACTTTGGGAAAATTTTCGATATCTACGCAAACTCAAAGTGCCTTTACCGATATCAGAAGGATGTCTCCATCCCACTACATCGGCTGCTCCTACCATGACAGCTTCTTCATCAGGGTCCAGCATTGTATCAAGTGGCTTATTATTGAACATTTGACTGCAATCACGGCGCCACACTCAAGAAACAACCGAGCTCAGTGGACCCTGTCTCATCTGCACTTCTCTCGGTTACCCTTCCTCACTTCTTCCAGTTACTGTCTCATCTTCATTTCTCCCAAGTTGCTATCTTAGCTGCACTTCTCACTGTTTCGTCTTGACAATCAGGTCCTCATCAGCTCGGCTCAGTATTCCAGCTTTTCCTTTTGAATCCACACAATATGCCGGAGACACCACCCCTATCCTAGCCCACCATAGCCGTATCCTAGGCGAACCTGCCCAACCGCTAGTAGGCGACCGCCCCTAGCGACGACTTATAGTAAGCATCTCCTCTAGATACATTCTTTCAGTTTAATAGCTAACGACAAAATAAGCTTACCCGCGAAATAAACAGGATAACACTCTATCGGGGCTCCTCTAGAGGTCCTAGTTAGAAACCGCTAGGGGGTCTGATTTGAATCCTAGCCCCTAGCCCATATACGTAATTAAGCTACCGTGGAAAGTGGCCCACGCTACGCGAATGCCCAAAACGAAAACCATTACCCTACTAACTAGTGTAGTGGCTGGCGGAGAGCCACTATAGCGATCTATCACGAACTACACTAGAAAGCGACTCGACGAGCGCATTGGTAGCCGGGCTACAAACGTTGAACCAATCCTAATTCAGATTGTGGGAGAAGTCTCCCAGCAGGAGTGTACCAATTGCCTCCTTTGCTATCTTCTCGACTACCATAAGGCGCAATGCGACCGAATTCTCGGAATACTGAGCACTATTAAGGAGCAATTCGTCAACATCCAACACACTTGATTCGGGCAAAAGCTGGCTTTTCTTTCTTTTTTATTTTTTATTTTTTATTTTTTATTTTTTATTTTTTATTTTTTATTTTTTATTTTTTATTTTTTATTTTTTATTTTTTATTTTTTATTTTTTATTTTTTATTTTTTATTTTTTATTTTTTATTTTTTATTTTTTATTTTTTATTTTTTATTTTTTATTTTTTGCTTTCTCTTCACTTTGTTTTTGTTCCCTGCTGGATAAACAGCGGGCACCGGGGGTTCTTACAATGTTCCCCGTCCAACTTGAATTTGTACTTTCTTTCAATCCACCCACTTTGTTTACTTTCCCATCGCATAGAGTGCTGGTTTAGAGCCTATGGAAGGTGAATACTAGCAGATTATCGGACATTCCCCAATACATAAAAGCCTGTATATCTTGACCCATACAGTATTAAATAGTTCTAGGAAACAAATGCAGCCAAAGCTATTCTCATCCTAATTGCTTAACATACTGCTACCCTGGGAATAGCTACGTGGGCTCGATTACTCGAGCAACAAATATAGACTACCTCTGTTGAAGAGGCATTTCGACAGATTAATTACAGAGATGGAGCGAGACATATCGCCATTCCGGGGTATACATATATGTGGTCTTGACTAAAGGCTCCTTCACCGCAATAGCCTTAGTAAAGATATAAATCTTCTTAGCCAACGATGCAATAAGGACTATGTGACAGCGAACATTCCGAGGCTTGTTTGAATTTCGCGCCGAGTTTCTTACCATGGTTGGTGTTCCCACTGGCCTCAACTCCACGTTCCATTAGCAGGCCCGAAATACCCAACAGCCGGCATCGGCATGTATGGTACACCCTGGGCATCTGCAGTATTCAGGTACACATTATTCCCCCACCAGTCAGGGAAAGTCGCACCAGGGTATGAGATGCAAAAGAAAATGACAATGCCACTAAGCGCAAGACCTGTATCAAGTGCAGCTGCCAAGATATAGTTGTACTTAGTCCACCAAGCAAAGAACCGGCGTTTAATGAAGTGATTGAAGGCGAAGTTGACCAACGCCCAGCTGGAATAGTTGATTCCGGTGGCTAAAAGTCTCGAGTTAGCGGTTAGAAAAACGGGGCACTTGCAAATTGCGGCACATACCAGGTGGGACGTTATAAGTTCCGACAAAGATGAGTGGCCAGTTGATATACTTCCAAAACTGCCGTCTAGTATAACGGTAGAGGAGGAAAGTCACAACAGGAGCGATAGCACCGATCCAGAAGAAATGCAGCAGAGGAGAGTAGATCTTGCCCGCGGAGTAGAGCCGACCAGGCCCAACAAGACCCCAAATAACAGACGAAGAATACACAGTCCGGCCATTGGGGCAAGTAAACCCATCTGCCTGGTCAGATTCGCAAATCCCCGAAATATTACCAAGCATCCAAAGTGTAACACCAGCCTGGGTGAGTGCGCCCAGGATAGTGGCTACGAACTGCGCCATGAAACAGGTACGTGGCGGCACTTTCAAATAGTGAGCCAATTTCATATCCATAGCGAAGTAAACACCTTGGCCCACGACATCCGTCGAAATGATCTTGAAGATCATATTCGCCAGTGGCTTTCCTTCGAACATGTATCCGCCAATGAACTCGGCCAAAACGTTCAGCTGATTCGCATCCACGTTCGTAATGCCCTGTACAATACCGCAGGGAATCATGTACACAACTGGGATGACCAAGGCTAGGAATACGCCGTAAACTGGAAGTTTAGTCCCATAGACTTCGACTAGCGCGATGGCCATTGCCATGATAACCACGATTATGCCGGCGTACCAGTACCACGGCGTACGGCGGTACGAGGCACGGATGAGCCGGGCGTGAATATCGAGCTTATTCCGGCCTCTGAGAGCTGCCCACAAGTCGCGACTGTGCCACAGGGCGATGTGCGAGAGCACCGAGGTTATGGCAGCAAATGAAAGTCCGTATACGAAGGCAAAGGTTGCGCTCAGGTATGGAGGTGAGTACCTTTGGTAAGCCACCGTATCTAGAGTATTATCCGTAGAAATGACTCGAGCCGTGTTGTAGATAGCGCCCGTGTTGTCGTATACGTCGGCTGTCATGAGTGGGAGATAAGCCGTGAACCAGGTATTGGTGTAGTAGAGGGCGGGGGTGACAATCCAGTAGAAGAACGCAAAGCCGGCGAAGACATTCAACGCAGCCCATGATGGCGATAGGAGAGGGTTGGTGTTGTAAGCGATCTGGCTCCAGTCAAAGGTAATTGGACTCAGACCGAGACCTGTTTGCATGCCGAAGAGATGGTTGACGATGACGTTCTTTGGTGCGATCCAGCAAACCCAAGTGAAATATGATAGTGCGGTGAACATAAGACCAGGGAAGAAGTACCAGACAAAGGCACCACTCATGATATATATGAAGAATCGGAGACGGGTTATGCGCCACCCGTCTGCGATATAGTTCGCTCGTGAATGTAACGTCTCTAGCATGGCACAGTTGGATAAGACACCTGGCCAGACGATGCGAGCCGGTTCGACGAGCCACGGAGCCGCAAGACCTGCGACGCCAAATCCAAGAAGTTGTGCGACGAGAACTATGAGCACGTAGAAGCCGGGTTTGAGATTAAAGTTGTAAAAGTTTTTGCTGGCAGCTTGGATAATGTTCGTCGCGTCTGCTGAGGCATATCCAAAAGACACATTGCTCATAATAACGATAAGCGCGTGCTCTTTGATATTAAACGACCTGTCCGGGTTGACAACGAACGTGCCCAAAGGCCCGAGTCGGATGGATGTCAGAGGGAGGGTCTTCGCCAGGAACACACCCATCGGATAGGCAAGTAGCTCTGCTACCAAAGCCACAATATGAACCGACGGATACCGCAGCGAAAAAAATTGGTTAATACCGGATCCTAGAACAGTGAAAACAATTCCTAGCAGCCACATCCGCACCGTATTGACCGGCATACCGGGGTCATCCGTCTCGGGGACGACAGCCCTAACTGTAGTAACTGTTAGTCCATGAACATATATATCAGCAGTGAGCTAGGCACTCGCCTTCGGGAAATGGAGAGCGGTGTGACTCATAGCTAAACTCTTCATTTTTATTCTCGTCGTCTTGTTTGAGGTTGATTTCGTCGAAGCGGCCTTCAACTACCTCTTCATCCGCTCCGACCAGCGCAGGTTTGATTGTGTCGGTATCTGGCTTTTTGGGATACATGGTATATATCTTTGCGCAGTTCAGCGCATTTCATTCCTGGGTAAAAATAACACTGGTTAGGCATCCATGAATAACGTTTTTTATGGCTGATTTAATTAGCTATAGCCGGGACGAATTTAGTCCGATGCGCAGTGAGGGGAAACAGAGATAAGGCAGTCGACGGAGGTGGATTCTCTATCTTAAGATAGCTTAAGATAGCTTAAGTATAGGTGGACTGGCCCCCAATTTCGTGTTTAATTAGCCTGAATGCTGTTGATTCGGGAAGGTTATGAGTGGGCTATAGGTTATTACCCTTGTGAGGGCCTATGAAAGTGTGTCAAAAACAAGAGCGCTCTAAATTTAGTTAGATTGTCAAATCCTGTTATCCTATGAAAGCCAGAAGCGTCTATCTAGCCTATGTACTTTAGTAAGGTTACATTCAACTTACAGACGAAAGATAGAGCAAGTGATAAGAATGACCAGGGCTGACTCCATGGCCTGACGTCTCTTTGGGTTTATTACTTTATTTGCCTGTCAAAATAAAACGACGCTCACTCATCTTATCATGAAATCAACATCTTCCAGTGATAAAAAATAATGCTCTCCGAGTTGGAAACAATACGGGATCTACTACAGCAAACTCTATCATTCTCTGGAGAAGCCAGGGGCCAGAACAAAGCCAGAGCGACTGATTGACTGGCTTGTCGCCGCATTCCACCTATGTACAAGATGCTAGAGATCTAATTTCGTGAGAAGTGTGCCTGATGGTGACTCTGGTGATGAATCTATCGGTCCTATGTGGGATACACCACTAGCATTAAATTTCACTTGTGAAATCCCTTCTCCATTCTGGAGACCACGCCACTCTTGTTGAAGTGAATGAGGCCAATGAGGCTAATATTAAAAAGGCAATGGCATTTCCGCAGCCAATTGAGCAAGGCATGCTTGAGAGCACGATGCCCTTTCCCAGCGCAGAAGATGATACAAAGACAACAGACATTTCCTCATCGTCGCCAAAGAGTTCACTGCCACAAAACCCACCCTTTGAGGCACCACTGGTGGACGAGAATGGCCTGCGCGCCGGCTTTTGGGCCAGGCGGGCCAAGCAATGCCCATGGCAGAAGGCCGTCGGACCCAGGAAGAGGCCCTGGGAGAAGCTATATGCCCTTCTCGCACTCCCAGTACAGAGAGAGCCAGCGTTACGAAGGGAAAGGAATCCATCCGACTTTGACAATCATGTGGCCCAGAAGAAGGCCAACATCGAGGCCCAGACAGTTGGCACTTCAGTGCCCATTGATGCCCATTGTGACCATTGTCAGCGAGCAAATGGGCGGTTCACCTCCTGTGTCGTTGCACCGAGCCTTGCTAAAACAATGCCGGAATGCGCCAACTGCCATTGGGGAGGCGTAGGCCACCGATACAAATTTGCCAAGGCAGCGCAAAAGGCCGGAATATCAGGGGACAACAGCCGTTCTTCTAGCAAAGATACCCCTAGCAATGTTCCGGAGACTCTGGAAGATCCGGCTCCGGCAATCAATAACGCCGTCTATACTAAGGTTAGGCTACAAACCTTAGTACAACAACCGAATCAGCTGGAGGAGCTAGTTGAGTATCACAACCGGCTGGTTGTGAGAAAGGCAGAGATACTGGGGGCTATTGCGGCTAAACAAATGGCCGCTGATAGGCTGGATGAAGAGATGGAGGCCGTTGAGGTGATGATCAATGAGGCATAAGAGGCGAAGATTATGAACGCCCAAGCGGCCATGGGACTGAGGCTCAATAGGGCAAAGTCCTCTTGAGCAAGAAGAATATGGAGGATAGGAGGGAAATGGAGGGAAGAATGGAGTCCGACGCGCAAATTCAACGGGAAGAAAATGGTCTGTATTTATCAGAGTAGTCCAGGGTTTAGCGGACTACGAAGGTGTATAGCGCTCAGGGTTCAAGACCCGTGATTGGTGCCTTAATGCCTGTATTTGGCCTGAATTTTAGACCGCTTTTAGGCATCAATTTACATTGTATTGTAACTACCATTCAGCGTAAATATTAGGCCTTTCTTCCCATACAAATACCTGCATCTCCAGATTTGGAGGTGCTTACAAGCCTCCATGTATGAAGATGAGGCCTTTTTCTCTGTACGAATCTCTGCGTCGCCAGTTTTCGAAGATGCTTTACTAGCTCTCTCTCTACGTATATGAACGTGAGGCTTTTCCCCCCATACATGGAGGCTTGTAAACCACCTCCAAAATTCGAGATGCATGCATTTGTATAGGAAAAGCTTCACTTTCATACATAGAGGCTTATAAACCACCTTTAAAACTAGAGATGCATGCATTCCAAGGTTTGTATAGGATCAAAAGCTTCATCTTGCCTCCCTAAGAATTAAGGTATGCCCAGTTGCCCAGGTGTTGAGGCCCCGGGGCCCAGGGCCCCGGGGTTGTACTTTGCTTATTAAGGGCTCTGTAATTGTAATTCAGATATCGTTATTTTTCTGCCAGGCCAAATCCAGGCACTCAGGCATTAATTTGGGGTTTGAACCCTGAGCGCTATACACCTTCGTAAGCGGACATATGAAATTCGGCTTTTTCCGGAAGTTTATTTAGAAGGGGTTCACTATCCTATATATATCTATATTATATAGGACGAAACCTACATATTTACTACAAGTGCGTTGGATATTGACCAACTGCTTCTTGAGACTGTTGATCATACTGAGCACGCCATTGAATTGCGCCTGGTGGTCGTCGGCTGTGGTGGTTGGGATAAAGGCCGTGCAGGGACGACAAGCTCGGCGAAGTTTTCTGCCATGACAGTTGCCACATGCTGTGACAACACGATCGATGTCGTGGTAACGGACACACTTTGCCCAAGGTCCATCATTTTGGAGACAGTTTCCGCATTCTTGTTGTGATACTTCTCCCGCAATCTGAATCAAGATTGATTCGACATTTGCAGCTCTGCTGCCGATGCGTTTGTCCATGCGTTTTCCGGTGTAGTGTGTCGTGGACCTCTGGAGAGGTTCCCTCATAGGAGTGGCTTGCTTCAGTTTGGCAATTGCTTATGTCTTGAGTTTCCTAGCGTTCCTCGCCACCTTCCATGGCACCATCATTACATACTCTGCCCAGGGACCGGGATTCTTATCTTCTTCCCCGGCCTCCCCGGCAGGAATTTGCCTCGGGGCCCCAACGGTATGATGACTGGATTCCTCTAGTGGACAGCTTGTATCATTGTTAGTCGTTGAACTGAATGTACCTGGAAGGGATTCTTACTATATACTGTTATCCTCGGCAATTACTTGCTGCCGGTATGGCGAATCTGGCTGTGTGGGGGGAGGTGTTCGCGGCGGCATGATGACGGGGTAAGAGACAGTTGACTGAAGATGGAATAGTCGACTGAAGATGGGACAGTTGACTGAAGATGAGAAGCAAGTAAAGAGGGTGGATTGAGAAGAGAGAGTAAATAAGGCTAAGTTGAGAAGGGGCAGGGAGGTTAAATAGGTGCCTGCGCGGGGACTGTTATTGTGCTGTTTCTACTTTGTCCACCAAGCAAAGAATCCATGAGGCCATTCTAATGCAAGAGGCATGTGAAGTAGTTCGGTGGGTGATTAACAACTCTATAACATGGACCTTGGTTTTTGGCCCACTCTCTGCGAGTGCGCTCACTCTACCTCTGGGTCGACTCGTGGGCTCATTTTCATTTCCTGGAACATCCTCCGCAAGGTTACACCCCTTGCCGTCACTTTGTCGGCTTTTAGTGAGCTCTGATTCATGGTCAGCATGTTGCCCAGGTCAACTATATCAGTATTACAAACCTTGGGGTCTCCGTGGGAACTGTGGGCTCTCTAGCATTTCCGACGAGGTCGGCACACATAAATCCAAGCAGAATGTCCATATTCTTGTTTGTGACTTTGTTAGTCGAAAAATCAAGAAGGTCGGTCTTCTTAATGACTAGAACTTGCGAGGTGCAATAGGCTTCGATTACTCGGGCCTTCATTTGCCCGAAGATCGTGATAGCCATAACCTATGTTGTAATTAATATATATTAGCTTTCATGTAAGGGTATCTTAGATCTGTACTCACTGGCATAGTGTCGTACTCCGAGTAATCCTCGCCTTCAAGTCGTGTGATCATAGTTGCGGTAAGGATCATCACCTCTGCCCGGGTCAGCGTTTCGCTAGGCTCTTGTTCAATCAAGATGTGGATTAGAGTGTGTGGGGGCGTTCCTTCAGGATACAGCAACTTCTTCGGCACAAAGGCAGCGGCCGGCGAGCATCGCATCGATCCCCCAATAGCTGGGTAGAATCTATCGGCGATAACCGATGGCACAATAGTCTACTAATGCACATCAATATACCAATCTCGTGTCGCAATGTGCCTCAATATCTTACCTCTTCACCCATTCAGACAATTGCCTAAGGTTTGGGTGGGATTTACCATCTCCCTGGAGGTCGAACTCTCGGCAGAACTGGAAGAACATCCGCTCCAGGCCCAAAAAGACATACCAGACCTGGGAATGAAGGCTCCGAACCAAGGGATCATTTTTGGCGTTCCCCCATTCATCAGTGACTTCCCTCAGGTCTGCCGTGACTTTAGGGTCGGTTTCACAAACATCGGAACCCATGCAGCACCCTGTGGTTCAAAGAAAATCGGACTGGAGGGATCGGAAGCTGGGGTCTCAAGGTGTTTTCCATCCTCATCTAGCTCAAGAGGTCGACAATCGATGCCAAGAAATCCATAGGAGGTAGGGGTGTATATTCGCGGAAGGGTAAAGTTCGACGTCCCTGTAAATATTTTCGACATTGGCGATGACTTGGCCACGGGCTTGGAGGTTGGCTGCAGCCCGTTCCCCCCCCCAAAACCCAACGTAGGGAAACTGGTATGCATAACGATTAAACGGGAGCTGGTAAAAGCAAAATCAGAGTTGGTTGAAGAATTAAGAGATCGGTGGTTGAGAATCTTGGGGGTCAACAATGACCAGGTGAAGTGTAATATACTCTCCATGTGGCTCGTTCCACTACCCAGACATTGTTAACGGTGTGGCTGCCTAGGGCCTACCACTCCCCATTTGGCTTTGTGTTTGCTAGTACCTGCCTCCTTACTAGAGATAATCTCTTTCTTCTATATAGTCAGGTCTAGCTCGTTTCTCTCTCTAGTGTGCTTCGTTAATAGTGAGGTACCAACCATAATACAACCTGCCAGAAAAGGAGGGGTAGCAAGTAATCATTGAAGCTTCCACACCCTATGGTCGTATGTATTAGGTTATGTGTGCGAGAGGTTTAATAACTGGAAAAATGAATAAAGTAGAATCAATTCGTTAAGCTCAGTATAGTAAGTGGGAAAGGTTCCACTTGCACTTGCCATTTTGCATACCTCTAGCTTTAACTTCAACACACAGGAGCAGAGGATCATTCGAAGACCGATACTGATTATGAGTAATGGTGTCTGCTAAGGGCTTGCTAGGTGGCTATCTGCAGTTGACTGTAGGTTGACTGTAGGTTGACTGTAGGTTGACCTTGGGTACACTGGGGGTACACTGACTAACTATGAGGACTGGCACCAGCCGGAATGTTCTCTGGTTGCTTATCAGCGAGCATAGTACCCTTCATTGCCAGAGGTTCTTCGATTCGCCTATCAGGTTCGTGGAGCACCGCTATCACTGAGTCCCGAGCCAGTATCTCTTTTGATATAAGCGTATAGTGGGGATGCACAATCGACTAGGTGAGCGCTTCCCAAGCTAGCCTCACAGAAGCCCGTGCATCCTTATGTACGATCCTCATGCACGAAATATTCATGTCTGACGGCAATCCCCGGCCCAGAAGCCGGTGCCGTATCCTTCACCAATCCATCCTCGGAGTCATGGCACGAAAGATCATCTGCGCCGCGGTCGACGTGACTTTGTGAGACGGAGACGGAGGTATTTTGCTTGCCGGACTGTGCGCCGGTGTGCACGCCAGAGTGTGAGAGCTCGTAACCACGGCGGCCGCTATAGGTTCCCGTACGAGAGTGTGAGCCGAATACCAGGGTGCGGAGGACGGGGAGACAAGAAGCGATGATGGCGATGGCGGTTTCGACCATGGAGACGGTGCAAGTGATCATTTGTTCGTTGCGGTGGGAGTAGATTGCTCGAATAACTGGGAACATTGTGGTTTAGTTATGGCAAGGAGATGAGAGGAGCAGATGGAGGAGAGACATACTGCTAGAGATGACCACAAGGCCACCCAGGAGGAAAACGGAGATGACACCCCATTTTTGTTTCCTGGGCATCTTGAGTCGCACAACTTGCGAAATGGGGAGGCATATGACTGGTTGAGGGTTAAACAAAGCGATTGAGATGAATTGAGCTCGGAACCTTACTGAAGACATCACTGAAGATGTTGACTGCCAACAATTAGTTAATAATCCAAGTAAATCAGGAAATATGGCCATACAGAGTATCGTGAGCCAGTAATTGACTGTGGACGGTCCTTGGGGACATGTCACTGCAAAAGCGTTAGTCCCTGCATTTGTGGTAGTTGATATAGAAACATCCTCACACTCAGGATTTGTAAGCCCCTCCCACTGCCGCTGGGGTGGATAGCACTTGAAAACAATATCAAAAAACAGCACCAGCCAGGTCGCAGCCAGGAGACCAAGTGTGATGTTATACACAATCTGATACCGGGTGCGATCTGCGAGGCGCTTGTAGAAGATCACCATGCTAGACTTGATCAACCACAGCGCAGTGACGTATAATGTGGAGCCCGGGATGATCATCTGGTGAATAAACTAGGCATTAATAACCATGATTGTACAACATATATAGTTCCTATCCCAGGCCGTTTTACCTTCATCATATTAATCTTCTCATCCAAGGTTGTATTCGCCATTTCGGACATGCCTGTGCCCGATACCGTCAGTGGAGTCCTCTAGAATTTTGCTCCCCCAGTTCGATATTTGAAACACCTACCCTGGTTGAACATATAATGTTGGATTGCCAGATCGCCGATAAGACACAAGGCAGCCAGAACAACGAACAGGTCGTCGAGGTAAAGCCGCTTCAGGAGCCCCAGGCGGACGACAAGGCGACAGATCAGGAAGATGCATGCCGCCACTGTGCAGACATACCAGGCCACCTGTGCACCGGAGAATCCATTAGCAAGCTAGGTGGGAAATTTGAAGGGAAAGATAGCATACAACTTGCCCTAGTTCCGGGCGCACCATGCTGACTTGTATCTCAGTCACAAGCCGCAGAGGGAGGGAAAAAGCAAGACGCGACGGTGCTTTTTCCCGAAAATAATGTGCAGGCTATTATTATAAACTATCTATGGAACATCTGCTACAGCCATTCTCGAAATTGAGAGAATACACTGAGACACTTTTCCAAGGCCCACTGCCTCGGAAGGCACTAACTAGCATTCGAGCAGGTTGAAGTTACTCCGTACATAGATTGATTCAGCTTGTATGGGATGGTATTTTCTTTTTTAATATTACGTGTGAATATAGGGTAAACGTCGGCAATTACTGTATTAGACCAGAATTTTACATCGTGACTTACTAGTGCCCCACCAAGTGACCCATGGATCTGTTACAAAGGAATCCATGGATTCTACGTAGGTACCTAAGTCCATAGGTAGATTACCTGTATCCTCTAAGTACCTACCTAGGTAGACTCCAAAGGGGAAGGTGCTTGCCAGAATTGCCCAAGTGGCTTCGGATGGATTTAAAGTTTGCCAGTTAATTTAAATCGTACGGTGCAAGCCCGAGTGGACCCCGGCAAATTTCCAAGGTTCCAAGGTTCTTGAAAGACTCCCCATTCGGGGAGTTATATCCATGGATATGGCTTTATCTGTTCAAAGTCTATTCGAGGCCAGTGATCCGCGACTATCAACGTCACGCAATATGCATTAATATCGATTGCGCAAGGACCAAAATAAGAACCCGAGTGTGAAGATATTTATTTCTTCTAGATCCGCAGTGGGGAAAATAGAGAATGTGGGAGTTCCGATCTAAACTATTTTTCGTAATGCAACTTCCAAGGTTCTCTGTCAGAACTTTCAAAATCCCGAGTGTTCCGAAAAAACTTGGGAGAACATTTGATTTGCCGCTCAGCATAAGTGCAATCTCCACTGGTGGGGCCGAGGCAGTTGTAATTACTGATTCCAAGATCTCGGCTGTTCTCACCGTGGTAGTACCTGCATTAGGGTCACTATGTGGTGGTCCACTATTGGATAGAAATTCTGAATAATTCTAGATCTAATTTTCTATTATACAGAACAAGATGGGGTCGGAATGTCACTCAGGCACTCCCAGCCAACAACACAGGGTTCTGCACTACTGGGTAGTTAGGATAGTTAGGCTTGTAAACTTCCTGGCAGCGACGGTTATACGCGCCAGTCGTGCTCGTCACGATCTCCTCCTCGTGCCCAGGCACGCCCACGCGCGCCAGGGGACCATCAACAGGTCGGGCCTGCTCCCAACCAGGCCCAGCGCTGGGGTTCTTAATCCACGCGACAAACCAGGAGTGTATATAGTCCGCCAGCTGCTGCTCCGCGTCGGTCACGCCGTCCAGTAGTGAGAAGCACTCATTGCCGCCGTGGAAAAAGGGCACCTCGCTGCCGTGCGAGGGCCCGAGATCGGGGATCGGCAGCACGTTCGAGTAGTTGCCGAACCAGCGGTAGATCCAGGTGGGTTGCTTGGCGGCGCGCATGTCCAGCAGGGAGTCGATCGCGCAGAGGAAGCGCGCATCGCCGTAAGAGGCACCGCTCATCAGGGAGACAGAGGCGTAGTCGGATTCGTTATAGGCGGCCAGGAGCTGGTCCGCGGGCAGGAAGGCAAGGTCGGCGTCAAAAGTGCGGATCCAAGACGAAAAGTTAGTGTTCTCGCTGCCATAGACATAGCCGAAAATCTCGCCCTCCTGGTCGGAGTTGCCGACGATCAACGGCAGCGATGTTGGGTAGTGGCCCTTAACGAAGCGGTCGGTGTAGTCAGAGAAACGGGTGATCTCGTCCACCGTCGGTGCGAACCAGGTGTTCACGGTCGAGTTGAAGTAGCTCGTCTGGAAGGCATAAGTATCTGCTGCGCGCAGGCAGTCCAGAGTGTAGTCTTCAGCCGTGCAGCCCAGAGTCACGCCGGCATCCAGCATTTCCTGAACCACCTGCTTAAGCGCGACACCGGCGGGTGCGTAGGCAGGACCAGAGTGGGCGTTGGCAGACATCTCGATCGCGCCGGCCAGGAAGGTATCTGGGTGATTCCAGAGATAGTGATCAACGTGCACTCCACCGGATGAATGGCCACCCAGCACGATGCGCGACTTATCACCACCGAAAGCTGGCAACTAGGTTAGTTAACGCTACAAGGTGGTTTAGTTAAGAGAAGGAGGAACCCACCCTCAATGTTCTTGTAAATCCACTCCAAGGCCAACTCCACGTCCAGGATTCCAAAATTCTGGGACTCTCCCCTGCAGCTCAGGTGCATTGGGCGAGCATAGATGCTCTCGCGGTAATTCAAGTTGACGTAGATAACATCATTACGGGCAAAGTTGTGCCCTTGCCATTGGGCGTTGCTGCTGCCCCCGGTGACCATGGCACCGCCGTAAATATAGACGAACACAGGAAGATCGACACCCTTTTGTGGGGTCCAAATGTTGAGACTGAGGCAATCTTCGCTCTGGTCGGTGATTGCCGTGCCAGACATTGCCTGGGCACAGGATGGTCCATAAGTAGTGGCCTCGAAGCGACCCTCGGGGAACGAGGTGATGGGCTTAGGAGCCTTCCAGCGGTTCTCGCCGGCAGTGGTCTCAGCAAAGGGGATTCCTAGAAACACGTTTGTGTCATTCTGGGAAAAGCCCTTGAGGACCCCCTGCTCGACGGTGACGCTGGGACAAGTAGGTGGGGATCGACATGTATGGGGCTTTGCAACCACCAAAGTCATAGCCGTAGCCGTAGCCGCCAGGCTCAAGGTGCGGCGGAAGAATCCCATGATCGCGAAGAGGGCCGGAATGGGAAGAAGATGATCGTTGGTGATAACGGTGGGAGACGCGCATTTAAGCTGCGGGCATCTGTGGAACCATCCATGGATGCCGAGATTGTTCCTGACCTAAACGAGTATCAAGCTGTCTTATCTGTCTCGTCCAATCATGTCAAACTCGATGGAGTGCAACCACGTGCTACCCATGTGGCGCACTAAACCTATTGATTCCTAGTGTTAGCTCAACCCACAATAGCGCGATTAATATGTCTTGGAAGCCAATAACTGTATTTCACTACGGAGAAGTTACCGAGTGGTCCACCGCAAAACGCATAGCATAGTGGGATCTCTGAAATGTTGGGCTTATTGCCCTCCAAATTCTGCCGGTTCTACCAGTATACCACTCTCAATACAGTTAGCGTGTAGGCAGAGATCCAGCACTAAGGTTTAGTAGTCAAAGGTATGTACCTAAGGATACTGCCAAAAAAAGACCACTAAAAAGATACATGAAAAGACTATCGGAGAAGAATACATAATAATACCACTAAAAAGAGGCTATGTATTCTTATAGCAGTATGTTTAAAAGGGAGGCGGTATGCAGGGCGGTATATCTGCGTACAAAGGTCTAGCCCAATCAATATGTTGTATTCCGGAGGTCCAACTGTAAATGCGATAAATTACAACTTCATATCTCAACAACGCTAGTCTATATCGGGAGAGCCCGATAGTTTCGCGCTTTTTACACGACATCTAAATTCCCTTGGGAGTTTATAAAATATTAGCGACTTCTTTAATTGCGATATATATATGTATATTCTGGCTTTGAGCAACGTTATTTCCAATACCACCTGGGCATGATGATGCAGGTTTCGATTTCCTTAAAATTGATACAGAGTCAAAAGTCCTTACCAATAGCTATCGAGTGGCCAAAGAAATCAAACAACAACGTGGTTGTTGAGATAGAAGCTTGGAAAATATCGCATTTACTATGTGTTTTATTACTTCATGGTGGACCCGGTAGTGAAATACGTTGCCCACTTCTAGGAGAAATTGCATTCTCCCAGGAGCGTTCGGATTTAGCATTAAGAATATGTAATTTGACCATTCAATCTTCTACCTGTAAGGGTGTGGTAGTAGTTCAGTTCCTATCGTCCACCATGTTGAGGCCCAGACAGCCGGGTGGGGTACTTGCTTACTAAGAGTGCTGTCTTAGTAATTGAAATTTAATTTTCTGCCGTCAAATCAGACATAATCGGTCAGGACAAAAATAACAGGTATGTTTCGCAGTTGAGCCCCCAAAAGGGAAATGGCATTGTTTCCCGCACAATGCAGATACTTTTGGTATTGTCAACAATGCCATACCTTTATAGGGGCATTTGAAATTTGACATCGTACATTTGACTGCCATGGACGTACAATTAGAAGATGATGGTGAGCGTCATAATGACGTATTTATTTAAGCCGACTTCTTGCTCCCACAAGTCGCTGGGCTTTCTGCCTCTAGGACCATACAACCAAACGAGCACACAACATGGATCGGACCTATAAGCCCGCGCAATCAGCACCTATCGTACGCCTTATGGTCCTCGAGACCGACAAGCCTCACCCAGACACGTACTCGGAGCGCGGCTCCTTTGGCCAGATTGTACACAATCACTTTGCCAAGGCTGGAGCCGCCCATCACCCGCCTCTGGGTGTAGAGACAGATCAAGTCTTTGTCGTCTCCGAACAAGGTGGACGGATCCCGACCGTGCAAGATTTCGATCGCTTTGACGGGTTGCTCATTACGGGGAGCGTGTACGATGCCCACGCGAACAATGAATGGATCCTGAAGCTGCTGGAGCTCCTTAAGACACTCTGGATCAAGCGCCCCGACTTCCGCTTCCTGGGCGTCTGCTTCGGCCACCAGCTCCTCGCCCGTCTCCTCGGCGGGTCTGTCGGGCCCGCGCCCTCACAAGACTGGGAACTCGGTCACTGCCGCATCACGCTCACACCCGTCGGCCAGCGCCTCTTCCGTACGCGCGAGGACCACGTCCATCTGCACCAGATGCACCAGGACCATGTCGTCTTGCCGCCCACGGCCGCGTTGGCGGGACCCGACATGCTCTCCCCGGATACCGAGATCGCGTGCTGGGGCCGTAGTGAGCATACACCGGTTCAGGGCCTGTACATCCCGAACCGGCTATTCACTACGCAGGCGCATCTGGCGTTTGACGAGGACATGGTGAAACGACAGATCCAGATTAGGGTGGATGGCGGCGGGATCAAGGACCTCGAGCACGCGGATCGGGCGGCCGAGACGGCGCATCTGGAGCACGATGGCGTCGAGGTTGCCAAGGCTATACTGCGGATTTTTGTGTATGACGACGATGGAATGGACTAGGATTGCGGTTGTCCATGACTATCAATCAGCGAGAGAGCTGAGTAAAGGTACGCGGGTAATGATGTGTAATATAATTAGAATCCTGCATCATAGGTGCAGTTATATGCACAAAAGCGTATGATAGAGGACAGTCCATGGCTAGATGGTTAATGGTCTGCCGTAGTTACCAAACGCACTTCATGAGTATACAGTAGAAGTGTGAAACATTGCTTAGACTTCGGCCCTTAAATTCTTTTTTTGAAAAAAATGATAGATGATCTCTTTAGTTCTTTTCTGCCATGAGTCATTTCGTCTAGCAAATAAAGACAAATAAGAAAACTGACCAACATAGATGCGAGAGAAGAAAAGTACTGACTGATACCCCTGAATACCTCAGCCTCGGACCGGTTCTCTCACATTTTTCATTCTCAGATCCCATTCCTTCTACCCGCACAAAGCTCCTGTCACTCATTCGATCCCGCAATGCTGAAGCATAGAAATCTTCATCAGCTCTTATCTCCTTCCACCCCTTCTGTTTTTCTCTCCTTGCTCGTTACGGAAATATTCGCCCCTTTGTGTCTTGGGTTTTCCGCCTTGGTACCTCTGGGCCCCGAAAGCTCCATGGAATTGCCCCGAAAATTTAAAGTTTCGGACTTAGGGGAGCATCGGGTCATCCCGAGGCCTTCTTTCATTCGTCCAACCACAACATACGACCGAAAGAGTTGTGCTTTGACCAAGCTTTTCGGGTCTGAAGAAGGACAGCCCCGAAAACCAATCGAAGCATCAACCCGCGATCGGATTTAACGGTGATATCAAGATACCTGCAATATAAAGACCACTCTTCAAACACTCACATCAAGCTGTCAAGCAACCCTCTCTTCTTGCTCACTTATAACCGACGTTATGGCTACCAAGTACGAAGCTGTTCACCAGAACCTCAACGGCCCCGGAGATGCTCGGCCCACAGCACTTCAGATCATTGAAGATGAAGGGCTCAATGAAAAATGGACCGGTAGGTCTGCTCTGATCACGGGCTGCTCCTCTGGAATTGGTATCGAGACAGCCAAAGCACTTTACCAAACCGGCGCTACCATCTACGCTACCGCAAGGGACCTGAACAAAGCTAGGTCTGCCCTTGGATCTATTCTCGATAGTGACCGTGTCCACCTGCTCGAACTTGATCTCGAGTCCTTGACCAGCGTCCGCAAATGCGCGGAGGCATTCCTCGCTATCTCTGATCGACTCGACATCCTCATAAACAATGCAGGTGTTATGGCTACTCCCGAAGGGCGCACTGCCGACGGATTCGAAACCCAATTCGGTACCAACCATCTCGCCCACTTTCTGTTGATCCAACTCCTCCTGCCGGTTCTCCAGAAATCAACAACGCCAGAACTCCAATCCCGCGTTATCATTCTCTCTTCTGTGGCTCACCGTGATGGCGAGGTTAACTTTCAGAATCTCAACTTCGAGGGCGAGTATGATTCGTGGAAGGCTTATGCACAAAGCAAGACGGCAAACCTTTGGACCTCGAATGAGATTGAACGTCGTTTCGGCCCGAAAGGTGTGCACTCGTTGAGTGTGCATCCTGGCGCTGTCATGACTGGACTCATGGTGCACTTCTCAGCTGACCAAGTCCAATCCTTGGGAGCTGATCGTCACTTAGCGAAGATGTTCAAGAGTCCCGCCCAGGGCGCCGCTACTACGGTATGGGCAGCCACCGCGAAGACATTTGAAGGCCGAGGAGGCAGGTACCTCGAAGATTGTCAGATCGCGATGCCCCCGAAACCAGATGCTGCGCAATTCGACCCAGGGTATGCAGCCTGGGCGTATGATGAGAAAAAAGCGATACTGCTGTGGGATAGATCTTTGGAGCTCGTGAAACCATTCCTATCTTGAACAAGCAGCCATGTGAACGATGAAGGGCTGTCTCACAATTCGTTTGGTCAAGCTGTATTGAACAAAAGGTCACCTTGTTGATTGTCGCTGGATTTCCCAGGCCACCATCAGAATTTCTGTACCTAGCTTCTAGCATCTACCTTTTACCATCGTGTATCACAAATATATTCTTCCTCTTCTTCATCGATGGCATATATGTAGTATTTAATTGCGGATGTGATATTGTGGCACCGGCTATCCTAACCACGCCGTAAAAAGAGGCCTTAATGCTCAATCAAAATAAAAATTTCCCCACACCCCGTACGCATCTTGCTCGTAGAGTAGAGATGGTTGGATCTGATTCAGTTGCTCCAACCAATACGTTTGGCTAAAATTGTCCTGGAATACGTGGGACGTAAAAGCAGAGGAACCGAGCTCAGGACTGCGGGCGTGTTGACGGGAATCGCGCAGCGAATTCACCGATGGATCGTGGGATTCCTCGTTCAGGTCCCTCATCAGGTTTTGCAAGACGGTGTTGGAAGGGCCACGCGGGACAGGGGTTGGTCCAGAAGTGTTACTGGGGGGTTTGAAAGCTTCCTTGAGCTTTATGTAACAACGTTGGACAATATCCAACCCCGTTTTGGCTATGGGATTGTAACGCTCCATAGTTGAGAGACTCTCGATAGATCGATGGAGAATGTTTTCGATATTTTGCCTCGCTTCGTGATTTTCTGGAGGACATGAGATCGCGATGATCGAGAGAAGAAAAGCGGCATCAACAGTATAGAATGCGAGGCCAAATAGGTGATACTGATGTTGTTTAGCTTGTGCGAAAGAGCGCAATTGGGAGTCAAGCGTGGTAAACGCGGCCTGCAAAGCGGCTTTTCGACTCTCTGTACTAGAGAAAATATACGGCCTGTGCAAATTCATAAGGAACAAGTTCGCCGTCATTTTAAGTTCTTCTCTCAGATGAGGAAGGTAGGGACATTCCAGGTCCCATGACGTATCCGGATAATCGGGCCGAATTGAGGATGGCAAGCCATTTAGTGATGAAGTAGTATCCTCCTGGAGCTTTCGGACGACAGAGTAGACTTTAGGATGAGGATAATCCGCTTTAATAGCTCGCATTTCATGAATCTTGCATGCGATTGCATATCGAAATAAAGATGCCGATACTGTTGTAGTGCTGGGACTTTCGTCAGGACGCACCGCCATAGGTACAGCCGTGGAAGGGTTCCTGGGTATACTGCACTCCATAGGAAGCTTTGCATCACAGTCATCCCTGTGTATCATCCGTGGACGGCCAAGGATCATGGCCATGAAACTACCTCCTGTTAGAACATATATGAGCTTGGACATTCGCGGTGAAATGAATTACCTATCCCACACAAATAAATTGATCCATAGGTGTTTCTTGTGTTCTTCATACCAGAATAAACTCAACGTCTTGTCAACGTTGGCTTGATCTGGCTGATAGATTTCCTTATGGCGATGCAGTCCGAGTTCCTGGGCTTGCCTTTCAAGATGTGAATAATTGAAAAAACGGGAAAAAGATAGGGACGTTGTACAAACCTGATGGCATGTCCCAATGCATGCCAAGACTCAGTCCCCCGGCCATAATTCTTCAGACATGATGATCTCAGGAAGTCCGCTTGGACTGCAGCCAGAGCAACCCCTGGCCTACCTAAAACTGACAATAGCTCATCGCCCAGATCGCTGTATGTTTGTGGGGCAGCTAGCTCATTCGCCGACAATTGAACCAAGTCTAATGCGTCCGGTGGTAAGAATTGCAGTGTCAAGGCAATGAGTTGGAAAAGCACAGCAGAAAAGTAACGTAACTCTGTGAATAGCTGTTCGCGGCTCAGATAGCTCACAGGCTCTGTTTCCTCACCAAGTGGCCAACGCGAAAACAGGTCATCAAAATAAAATCTCTCGAGGATAAAGTAATGCCAGTTGACTTCAACGAAGAACAAGTTAACTAGACTTTGGATGACAGGCCTTGGCGGCAGGTTCGAAACTAGTGTCTCGGCATTGATTCGCGAAAGGATGGGTATTGAAGCGTTGCTTTGTGCGGCAGTCATGCTCTGAAACTCTTCATTCCCGAGAACCTGATTTGGTCAACAAACTAGTCGAATGTAGCTACTAGACGATGTACTTACCTGTTGGAACCCCACAAAGGAGTTGCTTCCAGGGACCAACGAATAACCCAGGTTGCCTGAGCCCGAGTGACCTCCCACTTGGTCATCTCGCGTCGTCACATTTTCGCCTTGATCTTCCGGCATTCTCGATTGTTGATCCCAGGCCCCAGAAGACTGTGGCATTCTAGCAATAAGTGTTAGGGCCTTGATGAAGACTCCGTCCACAAGACAGGTAAATGCAGATAAAAGCAACTCACATCGAGGCTACAAAAGCGCATTTATTCGGAACATTTCTCGCTGAGCAATTATTGCACGGATTCTTACGATCGCACTGAATAAACGTCAGACGGCTAAAGTCTTCAATAGCGGGAGAAGTGGAGGCCGGAACCTTTTGCTTTCTGCGATAACACTCCAAGCAAGATGTCATCGTCCTTTTGCGCGTTGATCTTAGACTACCACCAGCGGAAGGCATATTGATTGCCATACAATGCATATGTAGTTCATGAAATATGAGTTAGATGCAGCACAGAACGTGATTTGGCAGAGAACCCTGGAAAAGTGCTATGCTTACATAATATGACCAATTCGGCCGTAGGCTTCGACTTTGGCCGCGGGGCATAAGACTCGGATGCCATCTCGCAATTGTAGCGTCTAGGAAGCCAATTGATTATTCATTGTCCAACATTGAGCGCCTTTTGATATTTATCCAGGAAGTATTGTGCATGTGGCAAGCATGTTTTAAGAGCGAGCAATTCCCAAAGGCTCCGTCCACAGTGCCAGTAAAACATGCAGGTGTCGCTTTGGTCAAAGTGCTTTAATATGGAACTAAAACAAAGACAGGGGCCCTATTGATACACCCATGCATCGCCGGAACCGAACATGTGATTGTGGGAATCCTAATTTGGAAATACTGTTGCCGCGCGATGGAGAACCATAAGAGGTTTCAGATGTCGTGACATTCCTATTGAGTGATGAAGCTGAGTATGTGCCCTGCGTGGTGAGGGGGGGTTGGCAGAGCAAATGCTTAAAAGTCGCATGCCTATATGAAGTGAACGGAACAGGATGCATATCTTGGGGAACATAAAGCTTGATCCAGAAGGCTGATGATATCCGGACCTGTGCATTTTGTGGTTTCTTTAACCATGCACATTACGTGGTTGGCTTCGAGTCTGCTTTTGTAATGCACCCCCAAATTATCTCACTGCGAGCATATTGCCCAAATAGAACTACACTTGGAGTTACCATATGTCATAAATATCAAACCAATGACTGCTGGCTTCTATGACACCAGTTTATCAGTGGCGACTGTAGGTGTCTTCTCCCTGGTTCAGTTCTTCCTCTATGCAATCTCTCAGAACATGCTCTACCTGAAGTGCAATAACTCAATAAAGATTGTACGTAATATCATTACATAGATAACACGTGTAGTAAAACCTTTCTACTCCTAAAATAGGGAAGGGCAGGATGGAAAGTCCGAATAATTTCGTCTCGCCCGAAATATTTCGGCCCTAGAAAAGGGTACGTCCGAAACTTTATTAAAGCACGAACTTGATTCTTCACTACCGCCACCTCCGACAACATTGCATAACTAACTAGTGCCACAGCGGACGGTAAGTATGTAGTTGCTCAGGATTTAGGTTTCACTAGTGTGAAGCCATAGGGTTCTCTACGTACCAGACTTTGTCAACTTTCTCACCCAAGCTTGCCAAGATGAATCTTAGGAGCCACTCCAGCTGGCATATCCCAATATAAGGGAATTAAGGGGCCTAGATATCCATCTTCCAACCCTTTGTTGAAGTTTCGGCGATTCCCTTCACGGGGAACATGGAGTTATTGCCAATCCTATCTCCGATGCTGGTGGATCAATTACTTGGCGTCCTCAATCAATTCTTCGTCTTGCGAGTAACGCTCATGTCAACATGCACTTGGCACTCTGACTACTCGGCATAGCCTCAGCAGCTTACGTGGTTTAATTGCCTCAGTCAACACCCTTCAACTGCAGTCAAGATATATAAAGCTGCCGATGTATGGACATGGCCGTGACACAATCATAATCTGAAAATTGATCTTATTCTTTGTTTCTATCATCTGTTTCCGAAACCCGAACAGTACAAACCCTGACCATGCTTCCTATCTCAATTATTAAAGGCTCTATCGCATTGGCCGGCCTCCTTTTCCAGCCGGACAAGATAAATGGTACTTTGCCAGGCCTGGTGGTCGTCCACCCTGCAGGAGGCGTCAAAGAGCAGGTTGCTGGTCTCTACGCTGAAAAGCTCTCTCAGCAAGGCTACGTCACCGTCGCTTACGACGCCGCTCACCAAGGCGACTCTGGGGGCCTGCCGCACTTCCTGGAAGACCCCAACTCCAGGGTCACGGATATTTCCGCAGTAGTCGACTACCTCGAGAAACTTGACTATGTCGACCCTGACCGTATCGCTGTGGTTGGTATCTGCGCTGGTGGAGGATACGCAGCTGCCGCTGCCAAGGGTGACCACCGCTTGAAAGCTGTTGCCATAGCCAGCGCGGTGAACATGGGCGATACTGTCCGTGAAGGCTGGCTTGGAAACGAGGAGGGAGCTGAAAAGTTGGCGATTCTCGAACAGATCACTGGACCAATTCAAGCAGAGTCCAATGGCACCGAAGCCGAATACACCACCTACGTCCCCACAGTTCCAAATGAAGACACGCCGTACGACCTCAGAGAGGCGTCCGAATATTACCTTACACCACGAGCTCAGCACCCTAATGCCCAGAACAAGATGCTTCTCAGATCTCAACCACTCGTCCTGAACTTCGATTCATGGAACTTCGCCGGACAGTATCTTACGCAACCCACCCTTATCATTTATGGCGACCTAGCGGGGAGCAAGTGGCAGTCCGAGAGGCTCTACAACATTCTAGAGGGCAACAACACTGCGGTCAGGCGGCGTGTATTTCCAGGTGGTCGCCACATGGACTTCTACGACAATGAAGCATACGTCAACCCATCTGTTAAGGAAATTGCCAAGTTCCTCCGGAAGATTTAAGGAAATTTGGGTGAAAGGCCAGCCAAGAGAAATGCACAACATCCTGCCCTGCAGATATGCAGAAAGCAAGCTGAACAACCAAGAGACTTGTTGCTATGGATGGATGTCCCAGGCATGAACTCCTCATTACTAGATAGTTGATTAGGAGCATGTCTCTCTCCCTTCTAATACAACTCTCTCCCTTCTGATCGTTGGTGCCTACACATCGTAGTCCCTAGGATTTAGCCCAGGCTCCTTGCATGTAAGGCCTACCCCACCCTTCAGGTGATGTTGGTATTAAGTTCTCATATATTGGATTCGAAATGCAAGTATAGACCTAAGTAATACCTGTGATAATCTAGATAGGCGATGGTTCAAATAATAACACCGTCTCGTCCGCCACGCTGGCGGACTGTGGTAGTTGTTCGATAACCCTTCGTGCCGAGGATTTTCGGCCGATATAGTGCCAAGAAATTCACTGGAAAGCACCTAGGGTACTTAGTGGATACACCACCTGCAGCATAATATATTCCGAATGCTCTGGCTCACCTACACCTTGTTAGGTGCTGTACGGTATTTAGCTTCCTTTTGTAGGCCCTGTTGTTGTCGACTAGGTTAGTCTACAATAATACTATAACTCCTCTCCGTCCGGGGCGTCCTGCATGGAGCTTTTTAGGGGAGCAAATAATAGGAAAATCCCCTGCATATGCGTAATATTATCTTAAGATACTCTATATACTTGACATCATGTAGTGGTCTGGCTCCTGACTAGCCTTCTTTCTCTTTAGTATAGGTAGCAAGAGTCAAACAGACCATATAGTAAGGGATCTTACCTTGGCAAGAAAGGCTGCATATGTCAACCCCACCAAACCCTAATATTGATGTCTGACTGGAGTGGATGATAGAAAATTTCAACTATTCGAAACGAGGCCAGTCAAAGATAGAGCTAGGGTTTACGAGAGTGTGGATGGCGCCGTCGGGCATAGCGCCTGGTTTCGGAGTGGGGACCCGATATTCCCGATATTCCCGATCCGATATCCTCCAGGGCCGACACTCTCTAAGCAGGATACACGGAGATAGTTAACTCGAGGAATGGCCGAAGTCATGGATTTGGCTTCGCTATAATAGGTAGTCTGGATCAGCTGCAGAGCATGCGCGGCGGCGCTATTCCACATGGGACATCCTCGGCTGATCTATACTTTGCATAAAGCCTAGCGTATCAGATGGATCGGACTCGGACCAAAAAATAGCTGTTTAGCCTTCTTACAATGCCTAACTGCGAGGGTATTGGTAAGATATCCATATATCATAGGCAGCAATTGTAATCGAATAATGTCCTACCTATGTACCGTGGACCATCCAGCTGCGCGATCAAACCAAGTCGCCAAGCAGCCCAACTGGTGGAGGGCCGTTTTCGTCTGCTCGTGGAACTCACATAAATCGGCGGGCTCAATCCTTTCAGCCATTTCACATTCACGCTGTTCCTATTTTGCTGCTGACGGCAATGACCGATTCTCCTCCATTCGATACCACCTCACTAATCTCCACCGGTGGCCATGTTCAAGCGGTAGATAGCTGGTCAGGATTGACCGACCCCACAGAACGTCGCCGAAGGCAAAATCGCATCAACCAGAGAGCGTGCCGTAAGCTGCATTTGTTCAGTGAATCCAACATGAGCTAACACTTGTCAGGTAGGAGGAAGCGGCTGCAGTCAAATAGAAATATCCTCCCTATAAGTGAAGCGAATTCGTCCGTTTTGGGTGTCCAATTGCAAGACGCTGCCTCCCCGGACAGTGCTTTGAAAGACGACTTTTCTAGCAGCCCCGGACATGTACATGATCTACTTGAGCAATTCGTCAAGTCAGCATATCGGAGTTACTTACGAGGGGACCCCGCCGCTGATCACCTTTTGACCCTAGTCAAGGTCAATGTCTTCCGGGCATTCATGCAGAACATGCAGTTAATCGGACGGCCGGCGTACTGGATTGGCCATAATGCCATTTCGGCATTTAGTGTCGCTCTGCCACAGGAGACATCGTCGCAACATGACAATAGCCATATTCCACCCGACCTCCGACCCACCCGAGTTCAAAAAAGGATAATCCATCAGCCTTGGTTGGATTTGTTTCCCTCGCCTAAGATGCGCGACAACCTTATTGAAGCTGGGAATACATTGGATGCCGATGAACTCTTTCACGACATTATGGGGTTTTGGGGGTTCCCAGCGCTTGACGCTGAGCTATGCGTGTGGGGGGGCTCCATGGGAGGTGCGGAACTGGGAGGTTACGGAACCGTTTTTGAAGAAATGGCAATGGGTCGTTCGAGGTTGTCCTGAACTGATGACTGCGACAAACACTTGGCGTGCGCGTCGAGGCGAGAAGCCGATATTTCGCTATATTTGAGTGTCTGTATGTAAAATATCACGCCGTATATCTACTTAGCATAAGCAGTCTAGAATGTATCGGTAAATTAGCAACGTTGAATGATTGGATCAAGCTCCAGTATAGCATGCTTACTATTTAGTTGCGCTTAATCCAAATCCGATTCCAAGCACAGTGGAGATCGAGCAAAGCCGGCTATGACACGCTTAGCTTCGACCCCTGGATCGGAATATATCATCCATAAGGAGACTGTGACAAACCTGTGACAGCTGGTCAAGCCGGACGGATATATTGATCTTATTGGATAGGACCATAATACTCCCAATACTGGTGGAATGGCAACAGCCGACTAGGTAGTTTGGGAATTGTTCACCAGGGTGGCCGGGGTTTAGAAAACTGCGGTAGTTATTGAGGATATCGGCATGGAGGATATCAAAGGGGTGTTCCGATCGGAGCACATAACCCCGGTCTCGAACTGGTGGTCAAGCACACTTGGCAGATTCGCTCGTGTCTCGTGTTTCATGTCTCGTGTGCCTCGTGTGCCTCGTGTGGTTCTACGGGACTTGCTGGTAAACAACGCAGAAGGTATTTGATGTCCTTTGCTGTAACCTTGTCAACTTGTCTGTATTACCGACCTGATATCGTCTGCTAAGCGCAATGTCGTGTATATCCCGACAGGGACAGGTTCTTCCATACACATCGAACGTCCGTTATCAGAGATAGAATGTCACCAGACTAAGAAATCGCCTCATAGACATTACCATCCTCTATCGTCGGCGAGCCATCGTCTGGCCTTTGACTCGGGGCCCTCTCACTCGACCTTGTGCGCGGGGCTTGCGGGATTCGTGGTCCAGCCCTGAGAAACGGTAAACCAACCAAGAGAGAGACTGATGTTAGTGACTCAACTCGGCCTGTCAGGCAGCTGGGATATTCTTGCTGGCGACGGGAAGATACTCTCGGCGGACTGCTTGGTAGGTGACGTCGGCGATTGAACCTAGGTGAGGCCTCAACTCAGGGAATAATTAGTGACGTTACTTGAACCGGTGGCGGCATGCAATATTCTCACAGGTAGAGTGTAGATTTCGAAGGCTGGCATAATGGTAGCAATTCAAGTGCCATGACAGGTGAATGACGGCGATGTCGGCAGAAATATGGAGTAGCGAGGAGCCAAGAAGATGATCTCAGGTTCTGCTCGAAAAATTAAGATGGAGTCTCTATGGGACGATGATATACGATGGTAGACGATGGTACAGATCGACGTAGATCCCGGAAACCTTGATAGTTAATTGATGTCATTGTTCTCACAGGCTATCTCAGGATTGAGGTATCAAGCTGTATTCCCTACGATCTGCAACAGCGCCATTCACACTCCCATGGCCAACTTTTTCCCCGGGGCGCAAATCCACGACCATCCGACACACTTCACTCTGCCACGGGACACCAATCGTAGTTCCCATTTTCGTTATTTCCCCACCACGATGGGAATGGGTGCGAAACCCCAGCAGCCCCAAAAACGGCAAATGAGAGGATGAAGAGAACCGTCAGACTAGCGCCATCGAAAGCTCCCGTAATCAGATACGAATACTCCCTGAAAATCCGCGGTCTATAGTTTCGGAGATAATACTGAACGTAGAAGCCGGCGGTGATCCAGGTGAAGAGGACGCAGGTCTGGCTTTGGTTGTAGGGAATGTAACCGGCGTATTGGATGAACTGCGGTAGATTGATTTCCGAGATGTCAAACTTTCCGATTTTGGGCACGAGCTGGAGTTCAAATGGCCGTCAGCTTCAAGTATAATAGGGATGGCTGTGTGGTTACTTACTTGATAGAGGATACGGTGAATGACCACAGCAGCAGCGCCTGCGGCTAAACCAACAGGTACAGCCCCGTATGGGGTACCAATCTTGTAGATATAGGGAGCCAGAGCCCATGATGTGGCATTGGTGTTGTAAGATTGTACAGTTGCACCGCTCCAGGAGGAGTTTCCGTTACCATCGACGAGAAGTGCTCGATTGCTTGACACAATAGAGTTCATAATAGCGTAGTTCACGAAACCACCGAGAATTGTGCCATATAGTTGGGTTAGAAACATGATGCGTGGAGGTATTTTGACTATAATATAAGTTAAAAATATGTATCAGCTTTTGTTCAAAGAACGACGGAGATGCTCACGGTATTCGCCCATCTTCAGATCACTGGAAAGATTAACCGCATTCGAAATGACGTTATGCGACCAAGCAGCGAAGTACATGTTACCGACTGGACGCCCAGGGAGGATGAGTCCAGCTAGCATTTTCGACAAATTGTTGGTAGCAATACCATTGCCGTAGCGAGAATAGAGGAGGACACTCTATAGCACGTTCATAATCAGCGTCGCTGCATGGGGATCAGCACCAAGGACCCTGTACTCACGAAGGGGGCGATAATGCATCCTAGCAGCAGTGAGATGACGTATGCCCAAACCGTCAGACCGATGTTCTCTTTCACGGTCACAATTATACCGAGAATAAAGCTTCCAACAAGCACGATGATATACCACCACCACGGAACCTCTTTGTAATGCTTGGCCATGTGCGCATGGTGCCGATCATCATATCTGCCCTCTTTTGCACTTTTATAGGCCTGCCGGATATCGCTGCCCCAAAATAGGATGCAATGAACTATCAGGGCACCCATTGCTGCGTTGGCCATAAACATCGCGAATGCGAACGTTCCAGTGATCCTCGGCAAACCATGTTCAGCCAGAGCGACCTCGTCGAGGATACCACCGGGGAAAACGTCGCTCAAGGGGTATGCGGTGCCGTTGTTCGTAAGCAGTCTCGTCGACATAAATGGAAGTGATCTCGAATTCCAGCCATTTCCGTAATATATGCCTATCATAATAACGAAACAGGAAAAGAGTCCAGCCGCCTGATGAATTTGCAGCTTGAGAGGGAGCGAGGTTTGGGTAGATGTGAGCTACCTCTGTTAGCTGACTTGCTAGATCAATGCGTGGACACAGGGGGACATTGTCTCACATATTGCCAATCGAACGAAAATGAGAACAGGCCCAGACCTTGATTATTGGTAGCTCCACCAAAGACATTATTGAGTACGGCAGCAGTCTCACCGGTGGCCTTTTGTGCAGCGAGACACTATGCGAGTTCGAAGTTAATAACTCTTTTTCCGATGAAATTCCCACAATCATAAAAGTTCATCTGAAGCGACCAAACGTACCGGGATAGAAACCGAGTTTAGCCACGGGAATATGTAGGCAGGAATAATCTCATATATCGACATGCCAGTGAATGCATACCAGAAATACCTGAGCGGTTTCGAGTTTTTGACTTCCTGCCAATGAAGACCTTGCAGAGTCTTAACTGTAGGCAAAGTAGACCAGTAGACAGCCTCGGTGTGCCAGACAGAGATAGGACGCATAATTCCGCAGATCCCATACCCAAACAGCCCGATAGAAATGACACTCAATATCACAGTCGTTGCGCTCAAGGGAAGATTGTAGAATAGATCCTGTGCTGCAAACACAGTTGACGTAGACGAAGCATTCGAAGCTGATGTTGCAGTTATTGCACAGATGGAGTGCTCTTTCAGACTCCATGGCCCGTTATTCAAAAATTTCATCACCGTAATCCACCAAGGTAGGTTTCCCTGGCCGCCTTTCGCCCTCCAGCGAGCTTCGAATTTGTCTCCACGGGGAAGGAATTTAGCCCAGGCATTGCCGACGAAGTAGGAGATGAGCACGATGAAGGTTCCCTGAATCATAACCAGAGTCGGTTTGAACTACAGATTGAGTCGTTAGTACCTCTGTAGAAATAGAAGGATTGGAAGTACCTGATAAATCTGGTTCATCACCGCCTGGAAACACGCAAGACCAGAAGCAAGTAAGATACTGCGAAAGGTGAGGACACTGTCAAAGTCATCTCGAAGAGGTAACAGATGAGCAGCTACGTCGGCACCGGTAATGATAATCGTGTCCGGATTGGTGTTGAGGTCATCGTCACTGAGTGTATGCTCATCTTTGGTAGCAAGCACAGCAGCAGGGGTCTTTTCGCCCATGGCTTCCTGGATAACCACCGAGATATCGCTGGTCTCTGTAGGCGATTCAGGCATATCTGGGGGTATATCACACATGTGATTCTGTGTTCCGGTGAAGCTGGGGTATGGCTGCAGGGCTAAGCTGATCGCGCAAGTTTGCTCCTACCTAGGTAGGTCGTACGGACCTCTTATAATCCAACAGAGAAAATAAATCCTTATCTGCCCACTACGGCGAATGTTTCTATGATACCATGCAGCTTTAAAATGAGCCATGCTTGAAGTGACAGGATATTGTTTTGTCTCACTCAAGAAAAACAACTGAACCCTGATATTCTTTTAAGAACACCTTTATTTGGTCCCGATGGTAACATTTCCCCTAAGATGTTGACATCCCAGCCCTGTAGAGCTCGGACCCTTTACTTTTCATTTCCTAAACGCCATTCTAATGGAATTTTTATATTAGCAGCATTCCCAACCTGAGAAGTGTCGGGATTGTAATATCTGTAAGTTAATACCACTGTCAAAACATAATAAGAAAGACACAATTATGTTTATCCACCGAGTTTTGAGGGCATTCTTTAGATAAGGTAGGGCCGTCCCATGCTACTTTATTGGATATTTGGCGCTAACCTAACGCGTTCTTTGTCCGATCCTTTCGCACTCTTTTAGGCAATGCGCGTCACTTTCTTTCCGGATTACCTGGAAAACCACTTGCTATGATCAGCTGGTAGGCGCTTGGCGGTCGGAACTCCGACGGAACACCTACGCTAGAATCTGCCCTAAGCTAGGGATGTAGTTTTCGACTTTCTTCCAGGCACGTGTTGAGATGTGGCCTTCGGTTCATCTTTCTTTTTATTTATTTGGACTGATTGACTCTATACCGAGGCCCTAAGAAGTCGACGCAATGGCAAAATGGATATTCTCCGTGCTTTCCTTTGCTCCATTTATCCCCTCCTTTCTCCCCGGTTTCTCCTAGGCAAATAGTACATAGTTTGCCCTTGGTCTACCGTTACTGTTGGTTCCGACCATCTCTGAATATTATTATAGTGAACTTTATCTTGAGATCCGGATCAAGTTCGCCGTTAAATAATGAGAAGGGTTGTATACATATCTCTTATTCGAGGAATAAGACTAAACATTTATTAACTACAGACTTGATTAATTAGGCTAAAGTGCGATTATTGGGTTTTACTAAGCTTCCTACTAAGGACTAGACCAAAGCTTGAGGTTACATTCGATGAAAATCCGAAACATTGTGGAGGCAGCCACGTCAGGGTATAAAATCTGCCCGAGGCCGAGAATAGCGACAACAACGTGGCATAACTGCACGGTCCTCAAAGATCCCTGCTAGTCAAAGATTCCGAAGCTAGGCCACTATCATAACAGCCACCCTCGCCCAGGCAGGAGATAGTGAGATGTTGTCCGTCCGTTCAACAGTAACTGGCATCCGTCTCCCCATCTTCCTTTGGTGTGTCAACAGCCTTCAAGCAAAGTTCAGGATGGCATTAGTCAGCGATTGGTTACACCTGGGCACCTGGGCGCTCGTTGCCAACCCTATAGTGGTGGCAGAACCGACAGTTGCCATTTGACTGCCGTATGCAGTCCTAGTTAGAGTGGCAGCCAAGATCGTAGCAGGAGTCATTTCGCTTCGCAAGTATCTTGTCCAGGTCGTAGGTCACCAACCAATCGCCGGCGGGCTCATGCTCAGGCAGTTTGATTTCTGGGTTGTGCCTGTTTATTCCCTTTGCAAACAGTACCCTGGCATAGGAGGCGTCAAACACGAATGTCGTTTCGCCGGTCACGGAGTTTTTCAATTCTGCTGTAGCCGAAACCTCGTCTATAGCGATGTACTCTTCTGGGTCGGGCACAGTTTCCTTTTCGATCTGTTGTTTCACGTGCTTCGCAGTCTCAGCGTCGAACCGGGTGTCGATGAAGTATAACTTGTTTGGACCGGCTGCTGCCACATAGGGAGTATCCGGCGCCACAACCTGGAGGCCATATCCGGTTTTGATAACCTTTGGCACGTAGTTGCCTCGATATTCCTCTAGGAAGGTTGGCGAGCCCTCACATGGTCGGAACGGGTTCAAAAGCATTGTGATTAATAGTAGAAAGAGCATTGTATTTCAGAGAGAACTTGATTGTGTTTTCCTCTCATATATCTGTGTGGGCTTCTGCATACGGTGTTCTCTTAAATAGCCTGCCGAGGACTTGAGAGATTATAATCGTATGATAGAGGATTACTGGCGGCTTACCACGCGCTAAAGGCTGACATGAATTTGACGTTCGAGATGAGTCACTATTGGCCATCACATTGCTACGTTTGCAGACCCTTGTATGCAGATCCCTGCAGGCTTACCTCGTGTAGGCCGACCTCGAGCAAGCTAGCCTCATGATTGACCAACTTCCTGCAGGCTTACCTTGTGATTGGCCGACCTTCTGTAGGCTTACCTCGTGACCGAACTCATGATTAGCCGACTTCCTGCAGGTTTACCTCATGATTGGTCGAACTCATGTAGGCTTTCTCGTGCAGGCTGATATCGAGATTGGCCACCGCATTGCTACCACAATGCTACGTTGCGAACCCCAACATAAGCCTTGACATTCAGGATCTACCGGACTGTTCAAATCTCTCATAGTCACATGACTCCATATAGGTAGATATATATACCTTTCTTCGTTTGTAGTTGCTGTCGCAATGGTATCACCGTGAATGTATAATACGCTCGGCTGCGCATGGCCTCGTCGTAGCCTTCGCGAGAGACCTCGCCATTGTGTTCAATAACGTGCATTCGGCGGGAATCAAATTCGCGATGACCGTCAAACTAAGCGTTTCCTGTCTTCGGTTATGTTCGATGCTTGATGTTGGACAACGTGGGCATATATACTAAAAAACCTGTCACAGTTGACTCTAATCAGAACGGACCACGCTCTTGCTCACCAAACATAATCGCGATTTCTCTTTTCCGTAGCTTTCTGGAGATAGCTGGGTATTGGATGCTGCATATAATCTGATGGGACATATTGGCTCTCCTGTGGACCTTCAATAAGTCGCGGCTGTAAGAGCAATGCAAGTGTTTTCCTTGAATAGGTACTGCATCAAATCGGCCGGTGTTAGGCCGGAGATGGAAGTGCTATAGAATGGAAGAGAACAGCATCCGAAATCCTGTTGCCTCATTGCTAGTGTGGCTGTGGCAACGAACACTTTTCCAAGATCATGGAAGGGATTCACCGATCCAAGGGTTTGCGAAGCCTAGTTCAGATTAGGTTAGAACATGTAAGCAACTTGCATTAGCGTAACTCTAATTTAAGATCAGCCAATCACATACAGGCTTGGCATAAGCACACTACATCTTTAAAATCCGACGTCGCCCCCATGATCGCACTGCACATCCATTCCCCATGTCATCAAATATGGCGCCCGACAATCCACGAATTCAACTAGCCCGAATGTCACAACAGGCGGCTATCCGGAAACCCGAGGATGATTGGACCGGTACTACCGATCGGGCCGAACGGAGAAAGTTACAGAATCGCCTCAACCAAAGAACATATCGTACGTTTCCTCCTTTCTCCACATGATATAATAACTACTGACATAGTCAGGGATGCGCCATCAGGCCCAAAATGCAGAGGACAGGGCACAGCTCTACAGCAACAAAACCGGAGTTGTACCACCGAACTCCACTCCTATCCGAATCGACCGAGGCGAAAGGGGGTTTACATGCAGTATCGCGCCACCTCAATTACACTCAATGATGCGTCAATTCGAGTCCCTAGCATTGGAAAGCTACATTCGCAACTCTCCCAACATCGACCACCTCCTCTCCCTCTCCAAGCTAAATATCCAACGTGCGATCATCGAGAATACACGCTCCATTGGTATGACAATGGAGTGGATGGAACGTGATGACTCTATCTCCATTTTCAATGCCCCAGTACCTGGCTTCTCGACGTTACCAATACCCGCGAGTCTTCAACCTACAGAATACCAACGACGTGTCCCTCACCACCCATGGCTGGATTTCTTTCCCTTTCACAATATGCGTGACAATCTTATAGCAGCTCAAGACATTATCGATGAGGATGATTTGTGTCATGATCTCATGGCGTTCTGGGATACGAGAAATACCGGGGCTAGTTTATTAGTGTGGGGTCCTTCTTGGGAGCCAGAAAATTGGGAAGTCACGCCGGCTTTCCTACTGAAGTGGGGATTTTTGCTCAAAGGTTGTGAAGAATTAGTGATAAATACTAACCGGTGGAGAGCGAAGAGGGGAGAGAAGCTTCTTGATTGGAAAACAACGTTAGCTTTGATATATCGGTCGCCTAGTGAATAGGCATCGATACCATATCTCGACCTGAGCTGGGAAAGCTTCTTCGTTTATTCTTCTCAATGACAATAAAGTATTGCACTTTTCAATACTGTTCAAATGGAGTTGCTAGTATTGGCGCTATGCTAGAGATTTCACCCAGGCATCTAGCTCGATTTGCGACTTGTTCACGCAAACAAGCCCAGAGAGACAGGTGCCGATTTCATTTGATCTTCTTGTATCTCCTGGATCAGTGCATTCTGCGGGTAATCCTCCAGATCGAGATCAAGGTATCCATTTGGAGCCCACTTCCTTCCTGAAACGAACAACGAGTGTCCGTTTATATTGACGTCGCCGAGAATCCTCAGCAGGCATTGGCCTGCATCTTCGGCCTTTGCAAACTCAACTCCCACATTGGATACATGGTTGAAGACATCTTCAGATAAAATGTTCGTTTTGACGTACCTGATGATGCTTTGTCAGAAATGGCAGTATGCAGCACTGAACGGGATTGACCCTTACCATGGAGAGATAATGTTCACCCGACTACCGTAGAAATGAGCGGTCCTTCTCAACGAGTGCATAATTCCGCGCATGGCCCACTTGCTCGCACTGTACTGAGGACTCCGTGGACAGTCCAGGAAGGCCGCACCCGATCCGATCAGAACCAAAGAAGAATCCTCCTGCTTTTCCGATGCTTCTGTGCCATTCTGTCGAATGAAATAGTGTGCGGCCAATTTTGCGGTATAGAGCACACCCCTGATGTTGACGTCAATGACACTCAAATTGGGCTCTTCTGGCTCTTGGTCGTCACCAGCGTATGAAAAGACTTCGTCCTCGCGATGAATACCCGCGTTGGCTATGACATGGGAAATCCTCCCTGTTGGAGAGAAGAGGGCGGCTTGACGAAAGAGGTCGACCTGATCACTCCACTTGGCCACGTCGCAGCGGATAAATTTCGTCCTTTTTAGACGATACATGAGCGTGAAGCACAGACATGTAGATGGAACCGTGTACATACCCAGAGAGTTCTTTTTCCAATTTGCTCCCCCTTTGAACGTCAGGGTCACCGATGCATACTTTGACTCTAATCATATTGTTAGCTAGCACTTCCTTTCTCTGACATGGTCTCATACCCTGCGGCAACTAGAGCCCGAACGTAGGCTTCTCCCAAGCCGTTGGCGCCTGTTCTATAATCAGTGGACTTTCCATAGTCAACTCAATGTTCCAATACGACGCACCGCCAGTGACAATTGCCGTTTTACCCTTCAGGTTCTCCACATTGATTGGCTTGTTGCAATCGATAGGTCCCGTGTGGGTGTATTCTTGCATTGTGATAGTTTGTACGTAGATAGATGATATTGAAGTTTGCGAATCCGAGGATGGAGACATAAAGAAGGCTTTATAAACACAAATATCTACATATTGCCTATTGTGTCACCGGATATTGGCACACAAGAAGTCCGGTGCCAATGTAAGCTGCTTACACCCAAGCCCCACCGCAGGCCAAGCTATCCACGCTGATTCGCCAATTCACCTTCACCCCCTTGCCACACTACAGTTAAAAAGTGGAATTAAATTGTCTGGAGAAATCCACATACACACGGAACTATGCAATCCGTTCTTAATTGGAAGCGTAAGCATAATATCCATTCTGTGGCCTAAATAAATTGCGAAAGAAGATCGATGATCCCTATATACACCGAGCATTGCGAACCAGCTGAGTATTTCAGACCTTTCATCCCGCGTTGCCACACAATTTCTCTAGACGAGGTTTGTTTGGAAGAAGCGAGTGAGTTTCGCGAATGGAATCAGATCGACGCGATCATAAAGGTCAACGTGGCCTGCACCAGGAACCCAAACCAGCTCCTTCGGCTCGCCCGCACGCGCGTAAGCATCTTCACTGAACTCGCGCGAGTGTGCCTGGTCACCGGTGATGAAAAGCATCGGACGGGGCGAGATTGTTTCGATATCATTGAAAGGGTAGAAATTCATAAACTTCGTGTTTGTCGAGAGTGTAGGGTGCGTTGTAAGATTCGAAGTGGTGCTCCTAGGAGTAAATTCACCACGCGAAGTACGGTAGTAGTCATAGAACTCACGATCCACAGCAGTGGAATTAGCTGTGAGTCTGTGCGGAGTGCCGCCCGTGTATTCAATTCTGCCACCATCCGCCTCGATCCAGCGCTGCTGCGCAGCCGCGGCGATGACCTCCTTACGCGCAGGAAGCCCTTGTGACTTCTGTAGTCCGTCTCTGTTGACAGCACCCATGTTATACATTGACGATGTTGCAATGGCTTTGATACGTGGGTCGATCTTTGCTGCACTAATGACGAAGGAGCCGCTGCCACAGATGCCGAGACCACCGATTCGCTCACGGTTCACGCTCGTGAAGTTTTGCACACCAAGGTAGTCAACTGCTGCGCTGAATGCCTCTGCGTATAGCTCTGCCGACACAGCATTGCGTGGTCTGCCCTGGCTGCCGCCCCAGAATGGCATGTCAAGTGACACGGTAACGAAGCCCTGTTCCGCCAATTTTGTGGCGTAGAGGTTCGCGCTCTGCTCCTTGACTGCACCCATTGGGTGGCCCACGACAATGGCCGGTGCAGAGGCACTGGGGTTGAGATTGTTGGGGGTGAAGAGGTTGCCCGCGATAATCGTGTGGTATTGGCTTGGGAAGTTGATCTTGTGGACCGTCACATTGTCACTGCGGTAGAAATTGTCTGCTCCGTATGACATATTCTGTGCCATAGCTGACATGCTATGGGCCATTGCCATGCCAAACGCGACGACACTGCCTCCCACGAGCTTCATGTTGCTGCTGTCCGCTGCCAATGTCTCTGCAAGAAGGAAAATGAAATTGTTTGGATATGGAGCACTAGGGATGGTTTGTCTATGCCTTTATAGTATATAAGATGGGCAATGGGACTGGGTACATCGTAACATTGGAGACAAAACCAAGGCTGGCGTCGTCATGCCAAGACATATTATTGGTGATGCCTGAACTGATTTCATTTGAAATTCCAATGTAGATAGGAATAGAAACGATTAAGCTTGCTAAGATACTGTGCAACTTCCGAGGTTATCTCCGGTGCTGACATGCCAAGATTCATGCCCCTTGGAACCTTGGAATGGCTTCGTAGTTGTTTGGATGTTTGGATGAAGACATCCATTGAGGAATAGTGGAGAAATGCCAAGTATTTACTAATGCAGGTTGCTTATATTCCTAACGGTACGGGGTAGCGAATCAGGATTCACCACTGGGTGACGATCATGCTAAGCCCCATTCCCGGTCAATTCTTCAATAAGCTTCACTTTATCAACTAGAGCCCAAGTAGCAAGTAGACAATGAGAATAATTTAGCGGCGACGAGGTACTATTGATATAGATATCGCTCGATGCTCTAATTCAGGAGACATGAAGGCTGCCACATATCATATAAAGACCTCCCTTGGATAATCCTTTGACATAGATGAGCATGAAAGAGAGTACCATAAGAGCTCAGTAATCTGAGTGCTACCATCCGTAGCCAAACATCCAGTGCGCTCTTTAATCCTGGCCCGGTGAGGAAAGTGACTGTCGATCTCTCCAGCCCCGGAAGCATTGAGCACCTCACAAAAGCCTCCAATGGAGGTCTGGCAAAATCCGATTCACCAAAGGACCTTAGGATGCTGGTTCCTTGTAACTTTCTGCCCTTCGGAGCAGAGTGCAGAGAGGCCGCGAGAAGAAATCTATTCGAATGTTTATACAAACCTTGGTACCTATCCGCCAACCTGTGGGGTATAAAAAGGGCTCTCATACTTCTTCTTCTTCTTCTTCTTCTTCTTCTTCTTCTTCTTCTTCTTCTTCTTCTTCTTCTTCTTCTTCTTCTTCCCTCCCCACCCTCCCAGGTTTCTTCAAGTCTTTACACTATTCATCTTCTGCTATAATCTTCACTCTCGGTCGTCATCTTCAGTCATGGACCCCTCGGTGCCGTCTCTAGGGCCTTTAGACCTTCCTACACCCTGTCTCCTCGAAAACGACGCCGCCACCTTCGTGAGTCCGATGATGTAGAAGGCGACATGAGTCTTGAGCGGTACTTGCAGCGCGTCAAGCTGCAAATGTCGAATCAATCTTGATTCAGACTGTGGGAGAAGTATCACAACAAGAATGCGGAAACTGTCTCCAAAATGATGGACCTTGGGCAAAGTGTGTCCGTTATCACGACATCGATCCTGTTTTCCCAGCATGTGGCAACTGTCAGTGAAACGGGCGCGCCATCCGTTGTGATTTCTTCCAGGTGCCCTTGTTCCCGAAACTTCACGTGGTCACCGGCGAAACCGATCCTCTCAATCATCCATGGAAATTCGCGTGATTACTCATCACGAGCAGGCCGAAACCGGCCTATAAGTTGTCGAACGTTTGGAGGAGTATGTTCACCGCATGCAGGCAGAGCTTGGGCTGCATGATTCTCAAACTGCCGCCATCCACAACGCAATCATGGCAGAAAACCTCGCCGAGCTTGTCGTTCCTGCACGGGCCTTTATCCCAACCACAGCCGACGACCACCAGGCGCAATTCAATCGCATGCTCAGTATGATCAACAGTGTCAAGGAGCAGTTAGTCAATATCCTACGCACTTAATTCAGGCCGTTGTGGCGATCAGAAGACTTGCTCAGTTCTGGATGATGGCGTAAAAATACTTCCACCATCTGCTCATGACCCTTTTCAACTGCGTACGCAAAAGGCATGTTTCGCAAGTAATCTTCATCGTAGACTTCCAAACTGGGTCCGGCGATCCGGGCCCATAATGATCGATTCAAAGACATGTCGTGCCTTATGAGAAGATCGTTTCGCTTGTTTGATTGATATGTGCTGTTTGCACTAGGATGTACGTGCAAGCATGGGCAAATCAGAAGGGTTGTAGCGAGCGACAAAGCCATAACAACGAATTGAACGTATCTCTTTTGGGGCTGTGTGCATAAGCCAAGGGTCAGGTTCAACTTGTATTCCAATCATATCACGCTCTGTATCACTTTACCTCGGGTGATTCTCACCCGCTTCTCACCCAGCTTCTCACCCAGTGTATATGTTGTAGTGCACTCACCCTTATCACCCCCGAGCGACCGTAAAGCGGCGCTCACCCATTTTTCGCCCAGGCGACACCCACCCGACTAATGACTGTATATAAGCCACACACCGGTGAAGTTAGTAGTTGGGTGGGTGACCACCAGCGAATCCTCACTGTCATATGTTTTTTTCGTCTTTTTGTTTTTGCGTCTCTCAGCGGCACTCTAGGCGGGTGATATGGAGAAGTCTGGACACTGGGGTGATAGAGGTAAGAACGGGGTAGCAATTCTCACATTATTCCCTATTGACAGAATTCCAATTCCAGGAACGAAAAGAAAAAGAAAAGAAAAAAAAAGAAATGTCATAGGTGTTTTTGTAGGAAACTATATTCTGAGTATCTATTGAAGGTAACTTGCGGACCTCCCAGCTCACTCTTCGACGGGACGAAAAACCACGGAGTCATGGAGATCAAGACTACTGAAGCCAGCACGGAGGATGAAATCACCCTTGGGTATGAGCCACATTTGTTGAGTGACGTTCCAGTAACTTAGATCTCGACGCATTAGCGGGAAGGTGGCAGTGTAGCTCTCTCCGGGGGAAAGATAAGTCTTCTCAAATCCACGTAGTTGGAGTGAAGGCGCTGAAACTTCATCCGGGAAGGAAATGTAGAGTTGGGCAACAGTGGCACCAGGTGTCGACCCTGTATTCTGGAGTGTCACCTCAGCCTCAAACAGAACGTCCCAAAGAGCTGGATTGCCACCTGGGCGCGTTGCAAGAGCCTCTGGCTGAGACGAAATGCGAGCTTCTGAGTTTGTCGGCTTCACTCTCAACGACGCCATACTGAAGTTTGTGTATGAGAGACCAAATCCAAACTCATACTGAACCGGTATTTTATGGGTATTGTAGTAGCGATAGTCAATCTCGAGGCCTTCTGAATACCAGGATTGCCAGTCATCGACACCAGAGGTAGTGATATTGGTAGTCGGGGCTGTGTTCACGCTACTGGCATTCAACGGAATCGTGTAGGGAAGCTTCCCAGAAGGAGACTTGGATCCATAGAGGATATCAACGATAGAGTGCCCCGACTCTTGACCCGGGTAATGAGCGACAAGGATAGCTGTGACGTTAGGATGGTCTGCCCATGGCATGATGTTCATGCCCCCTGAATGGGTCACAACAATAGTGTTTGAGCATTTGCTAGCAACACTCTCAACTACAGCATCACCGTGCTGGTCCAACGCGAGGCTCTCGCGGTCCAACCGCTCAGTAGCCCGGGACTTCAGGAAGACAAGACAGGCTTCAGGAGCAGTCGCGCCCCAGAGGCTCTCCACGTTTGCATCTTTGATGATGGTATTGTTGAGCCAGAATTGGACCAGAGTGTTATCCTGAGCGGCCCGTGCCTTAAGAGCCTCTAGAGGTGAGACAAGGTAAGTGAATCGCCCATTGCCTGACCCTCCACCGATGGCGAGGGTACCGATCTCTGATGGTCCACGGATGAAAGGCCCCTGAGTATTGGGAGCCGCGTCGCTGCCGAAGATCGCTATGCTAGTTGGGGCCTTCAAAGGGAGAGTATTGTTCGTATTTTTGAGCATCACAGTCGATTCAGCTGCGTGCCGTCTGATCTGGCCGCCATGGTCCTGTCGAACATCACGGCTCTTTTCCCCGAACACGAACGAGTCCATCGAGTAGTTACTACTCGAGAACTGGGTGTTGTAGTACGCCATTGCCGGATCTGTGGCCGGGAAATGTTGATCTTGGCGGAGGAAATAGTATGGTGTCATTATCCTTTTGATCATGTCATCGAGGCGACTCTCAGGAAGTGTGCCGTTCCGGACAGCTAACGTTATATTCCCACCAAAGTATGAAGACAGACGTGTCTGATTGAGAAGGGTTGTCATGGGCTCAATGTGACCAGGTTGATCCATGTCCGTTCCTGCTTGGGCAGAGGCCACTCCGGAGTGGAGACCAGACCAATCAGTCATCACATATCCCTGAAATCCTAGTTCCTCTTTTAGGAGCCCGTTGAGAAGTTTGGAATTCTGACACGCATATGAGCCGTTGACACGATTGTACGAACACATGGCAGCCGAAGCCTGAGCGCGAATAGCGTTGGCAAAGGGCCACATGTAGAGTTCATCTAGGATTGGTGTCAGCAATTACAAGAGCTCCTGATTCAGAACGAATGTAATCCCATATTACGCTAGCGGCCATGTCGTCAGGCAAGCAAGAAAGAAAAAAAAAGGTCGACTTACGTATGGTCCTGTCGTCAGCATTTGACGAGTACGCTGAGAACTCGAGAGTGCCATTGGGATATAGGGTGGGGGAGCGTTGTGTTTCTTGTTCGTAGAGAAGCCAGTGCTTGATCGTCGCTTGAACTCCAGCATCTTGCAGGCCCCTAACGCCCGATTCCATAGCAATTCCAGTGAGGTACGGATCCGGGGAAAAGCCCTCCCAGTTGCGGCCACCATATGGCGTTCGGCCCAATGCGCCTCCAACGGGCCTAATGTCCCAAGTCAGCCGGGGCTAAAAAAGAATTTTCAGAGCAGCGACGTACCCCAGGGCAACTTGAGCGCCTTTACCCTTGTACTCGAGTCCCAGGTCATGGAATCGGTCGTAAATGAGGTCACGATCCCAGGACGAAGCAATCGTTATTCCGGAAGGGAACACGCTCACATAGTCGGATGGTCGTACTGCATTTGGGCCATCTTGGAGACAGAGGCCTGTGAAATTCAGACGCAAAACCGGTCCAATGTTCCCAATGCAGGGTCCGGGAACGCCTGTGACAAGCCACGCTTTTTCATCAAGGGTGAGCGATGAAACAAAGTGCTTTGCCTTGTTCAATGCTGTCTCCCATTCGCTTGTTCCAGTAATTTTGGCTAATCAATATCAATAGCAAGCCAGCATCAGTGCAAGAAGGGCAGACTTACGAGAGGGGTAGACCGGCGGTGAATGCCCGTACTCACCCAGGATGGTGGTGTTTGCGGGTTGGATCCATTGAAAAGCGTCTGGTGATCTTGCCCCGGAATCGCCAGCATTGACCTGGGAATAGGCCAACGAAGGTAAAAGCGCCGACACGATAAGCGTCTTCGGAAGAAGCCAGTGGTGGTACATGGCAATGGAACAAGGGTAGATATACCTGACAAGAAGCAAAGGGTCGGCTGCTCTTTATGTACAGTCAGGCTGGATACGTTATGAGAAATATCATTTCCACTTTGGTCCAAACGTGCTCCCATGAGATTCGGCCCCGCTTCTTTTGAGCCATGGCGCCTCTCCCCCATGGGGGCGTGATGGGGGCAACCTTGGAATTGCAAAATGGATTGAACCTTGGAAGTCAATTTCAGAGAGTCAATGCTTCCTGGGCTCCACTCTCTTGAACTCTATGATCTAGGCGATAATACAATTATTCCTCGCTATCCACAGATATCTTAATGTAATTGCGACTCATGGCGCGTAAGTGGCGTATCTCGGCGGATTCTTCATGGCGAACGAGAACAAGACGCAGAGTAAAGACCTGTATTAAAGGCGAACAAGGACTAGGGAGGAGAGAGAGGAAGAGAGAGAGATGCCGAGAGAGACGAGATAGTTCAACAGATATTCCTAGCCTGGCAAATCAGGCATCCACTTAGGTCACATGACCGATGCTCCAACAATTAGAAATCCTTCGCCTCATCCATGGATGTTGACGATAGCCCAATATGGATATGGTTTCCGCCAAGAATCCAGTTAAAGTTCAACCAAACCCTTTGCGTCGGCAAGGCAGTGTCCGATGTAGTAGTATTTCCTAAGACGGCTCGATAATTCGCCGAGATCTTTTAATGACAATTTATTGCCATCGGCATCCCACTGGACTCTATACGTCCCAAGGTATATAATTCTGAATTTGTCACCAACGCCAGTGGGATGGGCGGGATAAGTGGGATGGGCGTGAAGTGATCCAGTCCAGGTGGGATCGCCGATGACTTGTCCCCCGCAACCTTAGAACCCCCACGGGCTTTCTAAGCAATAAGTACAACGTATCTGCCTATAACACATGTTAACCCACTCTTCATTTTAATAAAATTTCTACTACAACGCAATCCAAGCTTTCATTTCCCGACCTCTTTACTCTACAATGTCTTCTACCGCTCAATCCTTCCGTGAGATCGTCGGGATTCCCCGTTCCTCAGCTTCCCCGCAGGACTCAACCCTCATCATTATCGACGCTCAGAATGAATACGCCACAGGCGCTCTCAAGACGGTAAACGTTACAGAAACCCGCAAGTCCATTGCCAAACTACTGGAACGTTACCGTCAAGCCGGTAACGGCAAAAACATCGTGCACGTCGTCCATGAGGTGCCCGAAGGCGCACCCGTCTTCACGCCAAACACCCCCTTAGCCCAAGAATTTGAGGAACTCACCCCCAAAGCGGGCGAGAAAGTGGTCACCAAGAACTTTCCTAGCTCGTTCGCAAAGACCGATCTGCATGCCTATCTGCAAGGTCTAGGCGATGTAGGAAAGAAAATCGTGTTGGTTGGCTATATGGCGCATGTCTGTGTCTCCACCACTACCCGAGCGGCTGCTGAGCTTGGATATGATGCCCTCGTAGTGAGAGAGGCAGTTGGTGATAGGGATATCCCTGGTGTCAATGCCGAGACTCTGGTGTCTGTTGTGTTGAGTGAGCTGGCGGATGGTTTCGGCACTGTTGTTTCCGAGGAAGATATTCGTGCATAGACAACTGATGTAATATGAAACCGAAAGGGCTGTTGGATCACATTTACCTCGAAGGCTTACTGTATGAAGGACCGCTCAGCAAGTACACATGTGGCATTACTCTTATTGGCGCCACTTGGACTGGACGCCAAACGATGCTATTAGGCATGGCTTGGTAATAGACGAACGCTTTTCAGCAGTGTCTATATTATACATGGTCGTAAATTAAATTGTAACGAATGAAAATTACATGACAATCTTGTAGAACTGCGCAACTATGAAGGAGACAAAAGGTAGACTGTAAGGTGATATCAGCAAATGGCTAATGAGTGACATATAACTACGAATATTCTAGTAGTAAGCGGCCATTTAAGCCTGTCACTTATGATTATAAGCGACAGACGGGACTGGTATTCGCGAATATGCAGCAGCTGAAACGTAGGAGGGCTCACCCTTCCATCCAGTCATACACAATCCTGCCCGTTCTATCATTCTTTTCCAGTTATAACCTGATACATACGACCATAGGGTGTGGAAAATAGGGCTTCCCGTCCGCTCAGCCGTACTCAAGCCACACGCCGGTGAGTTAGTAGTTGGGTGGGTGACCACCAGCGAATCCTCACTGTTGTATGTTTTTGTTGTTTTGTCCTTTGCAGTAATTCTTAATGCGCCATCAACACCCAAGTGGCTTTCACGTGCGTGATGGTAGATGGAGAAGTCTGCGAAATAGGATGATAGCCGCCACTTAAAAACTACGCCCATTCCCAAGCTAACAATAGGAATTTAAGCTCATGGCCCTTTTTCTACTATACCTCTAGGACTTATTCTGTAGGCGAATGGAGATATTTCTATTCATCAATGTATATATAATATCGCGTTTCCTGGCTAGCATCAAGAAAATAAAACTAGAGAGCAATGACAAAGGTCCAGCATACATCACAGATGCACCTGTCTGTGCAACATCGAACCAAGGACGTGGCTATCTGCTATGTTTTGAACATTGCGCGGGATTTGCCAACCAAGGGCGAGTTGCTCGGAAAATCAGTCGAGAAGACGTTGACGCACGGAAGCCGCGCATCGACGATGGCGGTTCACGACGCGGGAACTTTCAGTGGAGATTCTATAGCGAGGAATGTTTTTTTTTAGGATATTATAATCCGCAAGACCTATCGCCTAGAAACCACTTGGCCCGTCTTCGAACCCATCACAATGTGCTGGGCCGTCAGCACATAGGGGAACCCGTTCTGCTTCGCCTTCCCCATCCACTGCAGCATATCCATCGTCGGAAGCGACGCCCATACAGGATCAGCGCTAACAGCAGCAGTGGAGCCTTTGGTATCGAACCGTTCGTTAGGGGTGTATAGCACCGTCCTGAAGACAGGCGCATTGTTATCGATATCTTGATGCCCGTTCAAAATAACTTCGGATGCTGTCGCGATGAACCCGGTCGTCTGACTAAGATCCATATGACCAGATGTACCCTCAAGATCGGGCCGTGCACCTCTAGGCTGGATCCTGCGGCAATTCGGTTCCAAAGTACTATTTTCTAGTGAGTGGCGCGTCCGGAGAGGATGGGAGTTATAACAAACCTTTTGCCATTGCCATTGGAGGTTCGGATCCATCATCATTGCTGAGCCTGGGAACATCTGACTGGATCCCATGAAAGGAAGTCCATAATGAAAATTCTCTTCCAGACCGTTGCCATTGAGCCCTCGAGCGGGAAAGGGCATAGACAGGGCTGAGCTATCGTAAGCAAGGACATGGGGGAGAAAGTAAGACCGCCGACTGACCTGAATTTAGGTTGAAATCATTGTTCATAGTCTGACCCTCTGCGCTCACATTAGAATCACCTGATCGTTGAGCAAGAACAATGCTGAGAGTATCGGCTGCTGTCTTTGCTTCCATCGATGAATTCCTTGACCTCATCCAGATACCATGCGCCCTTGTTAGCGCTGCTATGATTTGGTCCAAGTTGTGACCATCACTCAGAGCATCTGGCTGTCGTGCGAGAAAGCACAGCAGCATCGTGGCTGTCAGAAACTCATGCTTCATGAAGGAGGAAGCTCTCCATCGCATCGAATAAAGCCGGCCATCTGGGCTGGTTTCCTCGTCGCATATATGCTGAATCTCCAAAATACCCAAGGCTGCCTTTATGCAAGAGCTACGTGAGTAGGTGTATGATATGTGGCTCTCGGAAAATGTGGCTGGGTCCGGGTTTAAGTACCTGCAGTGTAGCATAATCTGACCCTTGTGAAACATCAGTCTAAGAAAGAGCCGATGCATAATCACCTGCGGGGGATCGGTCACCGCCCCAGCCATGGCCTTCATGCGGAGATGGGCAGGGACCGTGGCCTCCGCATCATTCAGAATCCGATCTAGTCGCATTACCTCGTCGTAGGTCACCGGTCGCACCGACGCGGTGAAATCGACGATCACACCCAAGGCGCCAAAGATACGTCGCCGAGCGACCAGGTGCGAAACCGTAGTGATCTCCGTCTCCGGTCTTGATAGGGGAAGCTCGGAGCAGTCCTCGTCGAAGTCCGAGTCATTCAGATTACGGGGCTCTACTGTGTCACATTGCCAATCCTTGATCATGCGTGGCATACCCATTTGGGTCGAAATCAAGATATCTCCCTGTAGAATGGTGGCCCAGGCCCGCCGTCTCATCTCTCCCTCAAATGGAGAGATCCCTGGCAAGTGCGACGGATCCCGGTGGTAGCCCATGCGCAGAGCTATATTGACTGAAATTCCCGAAAGGATCCAGATGTCCTGGTCAGCATCCTTGCGGATGGAATACTCGATGGTCAAGTAGTGGTATAGGGTTTCAAACACGTAACGCCCGGATTTGGTGTATTCGCCCAGAATGAGGCACTGTACTATCTTTTCGCGGTATGTATCCACCAACGGATTTCGGAATCCCGGAGATGAGCTAGAGTCTGCCGCACTAGAAGCCAGCACTGCGAGACATATCATAGAAAAGAGAAGACCGAGCCACATGACCGAGGTCTGGGATGGATTCTCCCAGAACCGTTCATACTACATTCATTATTGTCAGCACCACAGTCTACTCGTGTTATTTGGCGAAGTCGTTCGCATACCTCTCGTGAAAATTGACCACTGTGTAGGCAGGCTGAAGCATAAGATGCCCTGTATTAGCCGGTACTCCGATATTGCAGATCAGGGGCTTACATGGCGCCAAGTCCAACCGATTGAAGTATTGGGAAATATAACGATCGACGGCGGGTCGATCGGGCAGAGCTGCCAAGATACCTTCTTTACTTGCTGATTTACATCCATACAGCAGGAAGGTATGCAGCATAGCAGGTTTCTCCATGTTCCGATGGTCTTCCCGTTCAAGCTGCTCCTTGAGGTCGGCGATCCCATCCAGGATGGCAGCCCAATGGGTTCCTCCGACGTACTGGACATCTGAAGAGCTAAACCATACATTTCCGCCGTCAGACTGAGCTGGAGAGTCTTCGGAATTGGTGGCCCCTTCTGGTGAGCCCTCTTCGGGGCGATCTTGGGGAATCGACGCGCCTGAGATGCTGGTCCGGCCGGTCTTGGCCATCGGAGGTGGTCTTCTGCATCAGCGAAACAACGATCCGCTCCAACTGGCCCAAACGGTCCTGAACGGTTGCTTGGGGGGCGACCCCTGTGGGTCTCATATGGCCCAGGCGCCCGTCGGCGCTGGGATGGGGCTTGATTGTTGGGATAGACGCACGAGAGCGCCAATCCACGAGCGGTGCATGTCGAACAGGGCTCCTTGCGATCGCATCGGAGCCTATCGGAGGATTTAGTCGGATTTTATTCGGAGAGTTGAGGATCTTCGGTACTTACTTCCTCCGACGACATAAATTACAGGAGAGCTGGGGTTTGCTCCGACGATTGATGGACGCTGGTTGGAGGCTGGGTTCGTCCGCGGGCGAAGGATCCATCGTGGCTGTCAGGGATATGCAGGTGCACGTTTTCCACCTATGGACTGTGTGGTATTATAGGCGATATACTAAATCAGAACACTTGTCTGGCAGACAGGTCATGTAGACTAGACGAAGTTGTCCATCATGCGTGGGGTGGGGTGAGTGGAGTTCTCGCCGTAGAGCACGCTTCTATCGCCACATGGACGATAGAAAATAGGCAGAACTAATAGATAGAGATTTCAGGGGCAGTGAACGTGCATTATGCATTGGTACGAAGAATGGTGGTAGATGGAGATGTAGTCGGATTGTCTGATGTGATTGATCGGAAGTAAACGCTCATCCGCTATGCTCTAACCTGATTAGGCAAGGCGCGGGTGATGCGGGAAGGATCCGTGGATCAACAGCTCTCTAACCAATCGGACGAACATGTTCGTCCGTGCATTCATCCGTCTTCTCATCCGCTTCAGCTTCTCCTTCGATTCCTCCATCCAATATTCCTCCATCGTTTTGATCCATCTACGACTCCCCGATCTCCGTCTGTTCCTCCGCTCCGTTTCTCGTTCGGCTGTCATCAGAGCAACCAAGTCGAGCAGCCATGAACCCTCCGAACCGTGGTCATGGCTTCAAGCCAGTCGGCTTGGCCATTACAACACGGAGGAAACGACGTGTAATTAAGACTGCGGTGGACATTAATCCCAGAAAAACCTATTATCCACCTCATTTTGCGACCAGAGGGGGCATTCTGTATCAGTACAAAGGCACAAAGCTCGTCCTTAGACCACAATTCCTCTTCGTTCAACCGTCGAGTACAGCCGCAGAATGATGAAGCTCTCTAGCAATGACGAGACCGAAGTCAACCTCACGATAGATGAGGAGGCAGCTAAGCCGCCGACACATAAATTTGAGGACGATGTGGTCGACTGGGACGGCCCACATGACCCCAAGAACCCCCTCAACTGGTCCGGCACCAAGAGTTTTGGTCATGTCGTGATTGTGGCCGTCTTGTCGATGGTCGTGTAAGTGAGCCGCCATGAGAGACAAAGCAACCGGCCATGCTAACCCAAGCTACTAGTAACATCGCCTCGACCATGGTCGCTCCGGCGATGGAAGGCGTCTCCAGGGAGCTGGAGATCACTAACATGACCCTAGCAACATTGGCCGTCAGTATCTACCTGCTGGGATTTGCATTGGGGCCCCTTGTCATCTCCTCGCTCTCCGAGATGTACGGGCGCCTCATCGTCTATCACATATGCAATACCATCTTTGTCATTTTCGTTGTGGCCTGCGCCCTGAGTAAGACTTCCGCTCAATTTATGGTCTTCCGTTTCATAACTGGCTGCGCGGGAGCGGCGCCACTTTCCCTTGGCGGCGGAACGATCGCCGATGTTATCCCGATCGAGAAGCGCGGTGCGGCAGCGGCCTTGTTTGGCCTGGGTCCCCTTTTGGGACCGGTATGTAACTCCAATACCCACTACCTAATTGTACTATACTAACCGATGTAGGTTCTGGGACCAGTAATTGGGGGCTTCGTTGCCGAAGGAAAGAACTGGCGATGGACCTTTTGGGTGGTCGCGATCCTCGTGAGTGATCTTGCTCTCAGCTGATATCCACAAATTCTAAAACTACCAGGGAGGAGCAGCGGGTATCGGCGCGTTCATCTTCATGCGCGAAACACATCCCAACACCCTGTTGGAACGCAAGGCCGTATACTTGCGACACGCAACCGGGAACCCGCACCTCCGATCGAAACTCGATCGCGGCCTCACAAAGCAGCAGATTATTGTCGCCGCCCTCGTACGCCCCACCAAACTCTTGATATTCTCGCCAATCGTCCTCGTCTTGTCCATCTACGTGGCTCTCATCTTCGGCCTTCTATACCTCCTCTTTGCAACCTTCAGCATGGTCTTCGAGGGCCAGTATGGATTCAGCACCGGCATTTCTGGTCTGGCCTACCTGGGACTAGGTCTTGGCGAATTGTTGGGTTTACTCACATTTGGCATCCTGAGCGACCGGCTCTTGAAGGCGAAAATGGCAGCGGACAATGTCCAGGAGTCTAAGCCCGAGTACCGACTGGTCCTGATGATGTGGTTTCCGCCAGTCATTGGACCTGGGTTGTTCATTTACGGTTGGTCCGCATATTATCAGGTGCATTGGATGGTTCCGATCTTTGGGACGTTCATTGTCGGGTTTGGAGCCTTCTTCGTGATCATGCCCTCCCAGCTGTACCTGGTGGATCTGTTCGGGTCGGATGCGGCGGCATCTGCGCTAGGCGCCAACATTCTCCTCCGCTCGATGTTCGGGGCCTTTTTGCCGCTTGCTGGGTCGCATATGTATTCGACGCTCAACTACGGATGGGGTAATACGCTGTTAGGATTCCTGGCACTGGCATTTGCGCCCGTGCCAATCTTATTCTATCGCTATGGAAAATGGCTGCGGAGTCGGACGACAGTCACGCTGTGAAAGATATTTATAGGTAATTATTATTTATAGAAGATGGGCTTTCCGGACAAAACAAAAAAGAAAAGAAAAAAGAGAGAAAAAGAGAGAAAAAGAGAGAAAAAGAGAGAAAAAGAGAGAAAAACACATACAACTGTATGTCTTAAGGTTGCGGTCACCTAGCGCCCACGGTTCGGGCATAGGCGGCCCGCCGCTCTATTCAGCCCTCGACTATCTAAGCTAATAGGAGCTTATAAAGTAGTGCTAAGGCTTAGTAAGTGACTTTCTACCTAGGCTAATAAGTGATACCTACTATAATGAAGTGGAAATAATAAAATAATAGGATAGGGAAAGTGTAATTCTAGCTACACTTCGGCATAACCCGCTCTAACCCGGACCTAACCTAACCTAACCTAAAGTAGGTTTTGGGTCTATTAGTTCGACCTAATAATAGGTTTTAGGTTATTATTTTCACTATTTAATCTTCCACTTACTAGAGTTATAGTGTTAGTTTATCTTAGTTCGTATCATTTGTCTTCGTTATCCACGTTTAAAAGTTTTGAGGATTACAAAATATCCTAGTTGATAAATTCTCTAAATTCTTTAGTCAATAAAATACACGTATACTAATTTTGCGAAATGTTCTGCTGGCAAAATACGATATGGCGCACTGGCGGCTCTACACTGCCGTAAATAGTTGGGTTGGTGACGTTCATCCTCTGCCGTAGTATCCGTGCGCAGAACGGACCGACGCACATTCCAAGATTCGTCCTCACGGTTCCATTTTCAAGGGGTATTTGGCACATAGGATGAACAGTGAATTCTTAAATCGAGTAGCATATAATATCGAGGCCTAAGCAATATGCCAATCTTTACGCTAATGCCCGTACATGGACGATAAAAGCATTGACGATAAAAGGGAATTCGCCGATCAACCGTCATATGCATTGGCGTCGCCTTCCAGAGACACAATCAAGTATATTAGTACACTAGAAATACGAAAGAAGCAGATCGATCTCATGTAGCCTTGATTGCTGCTTCAGTACGCTCCTCCAACGCCAACCCGAGGTCCTTGTTGACTCGACTAAAAAGGCCTATATCGGTGTTAGATCTCTTCAAAGGATACTAGTAGGGCACCTACTATAGACAGCTTTGCGTAATTCCGGGTACTTAACCTCACTGACGATGAGAACAAGGTTCTCAATGACCCTATCCTGGTGGCCAGGCTCCCGGCCAATAACCCCCCACAATGCCGCGGGCTGGACAAAGTCTGCGTCAGTGATCTCGCTGGTATAGGCCGAAACCTCTCCCACCCACTTCTCATGGTCGGTATGTAGGGACAATGCTTCAGGGCTTGATCCTTTCATATCTTGGTAGAACTTAGTGGGCTTGACCGAGGAGCCAATGTAATTAGGGTCCCCGCCATAGTTGTCATCAAGTCGCATCCTCCCGTCCCTCTGGAAAGGGGAGTAGACTTGCGCCTTGGCAGCGTTGGTTGGGAGTTGCTGGTAGTTCACCCCGAGTCGGTAACGGGCCGCGTCGGGGTATGCGAAGAGTCGTGCTTGTAGCACTTAGTCATAAGTTAGCCTCGGGGAATCCTAGGAAAAGAATTGATGCGCTCTCCCTACTTACCTGGGTCGGCGGACGCAGCGAATCCTGGAACCATCGTCGATGGCAAAAATGCAGCCTGTTCAATATCTGCGAAATAGTTTCGCGGCTGTTCGAGTTCAGTCTAGAACTGATATTGGGTTGTTCCGAAGACTTACATTGCGGTTCATGGTAAGACGGCCGATCTGCTGTAGAGGAAAATCCTTATGTGACCAGACCTTGGTCAGATCAAAGATGTTCACTTCGTATTTCTCGGCCTCTTCGGGGCTCATCAGCTGAACGTAGACATTCCAGACAGGATTGTCGCCTCTCTCGATGGCCTGAAACATGTGCTCGATCATATAGTCAGGATTCTCTCCGGCAATCTTGGTAGCTTCTTCGCGGCTAAAATTTTGTATTCCTTGCTGCGTTTTGATGTGGATTTTGGCATATGTAAATGAGCCATCCTAAACGTAACCATAGTAAGAGAAAGTCTTAGCATCTAGGTAGTAATCAATGTTTACCGCCTTGGTGAACTTATATGTATGTCCACTGTACGCATTCATGTAACTAGGGGATTTTGGAGTGCCACGGTCGCTGAATAGAATTATAAGTTGATGTATGCCTTCAGGGTTGCCAACGTGGAAACTGAACTGGATTAGACCTGATTTTCACCAAATAGGGTTCGAGAAAAAGACGTACTCCCAGAACTGCGCTCCTCATTAGATTTGCTCATCTCAGGTTAAAAACAGATGGACTTGCCATGGTTGCGTCAGGAAGATGGGATTGGGGGTGCCGCTTGTGAGATCGGTTCAATGACGGGAACTTGATCGGATCGCGAATGAAAAAGACGGGCTGGGGTGGCAATGAAAGTCAGAATCAAGCATTAGAAACGCTACTGAAATAGCAACCGAGCATACCGTGTTGTTGAAAACCCAGTCGAGGTTTCTCTCGTCTGTGTACAGCTTCATTGACCACCCATGCACATCGCGAGAGGTATCAGCAGATCCTGACTCGGGCCCGACCGTTGACACGCGCTGAAGCACCGATGTTTTCTTTCCGACCTTGTTGAGGAAGCTAGCGCAGGTAAAGTCGGAGCAATCGCGGGTGGCTTCGAACTCGCCATAAGATCTCCACAGAGTCAACTGAAGAAAGTTTTCGGGAGAAACTTAACAGCTTACCCCACAGCTTTGGCATGAACGACTCTATTCAACCCTCCAATGTCAGTAGACTGTAGGAAACCCAAAGTCACTTGGGCAAAATATGTACTTACCGCTCCGGGATTCTCTCGCGAGAGAAATGAGCCAAGGTCTCAATGAGATGGGTATCCTGAAGTAATCCGAGCCCGCCGCCCTGTCTCTCCCGCATCAGAATAGCCGTTTTGCTGTTTGCAACAGGGCGGCCTATGAATAGTCAGACGCAAGCATAAATCCAAAATTGTAAAGGTCTTGTACCTTCGGCCAAAGTGTAATATCTGTCGTCACCCATGCTGAATGACAATTTGGGATAATGATAATAGGATGAGACAAAAAGGTGTATGTGTGATTATTGGGTTGGGCTCGCTGGAGGTGTGTAGATATATAGTCACAACCCTGGTAAAAGATGGTTTTGCATTGCTCTGAGTATTACGTTTACATCTTCGACAACTAGGGAGGGTCTCTCAGTCACCATATTCCCATATACATATATTTCCTCCAAACGCGGTGACGCAGGAATGCAGTGATGTTCAATGGCCAATGCCTAAAGTTGATGTAAGCTGATCAGGTCCAGACTATTTACCTACGTCAGTACCTAGCAACCTTAGAAAGGTCTCCATACAAGAATGGGCCTCTGATTGGTCTAATACCACTACTAAATCTGGTTAGTGCAGATCAGCGTCAGTGGACCCACCACCTTTGAACCTTGGAAGCCTTCCAAGGTTGGAAGCTTGTTGGGGCTTGGCGTTATTCTATACACTTGGAGATGTTGTGCCGAGGTAGCCCAACAGATCGATTGGAGTCCAGTCTCTCCCAGAAAACCCATCACCTCACTTATAAAAAGATTCGTACAATTCATTTCTCATAAATCGAGAAAGCCACTGTCTTTCTCTCTTTCAAAAATTTTCAATCATTTTCACTACATTCAAACAGTCCTCTCTCCCTTCATCATATCTGTCCATGGTAATGCTAGACTTGTCTTTATCATCGTTGGTCGCACTGCCTGCAACGTTGTTGTCGGCCGGCCGGCTAAGAACCTGAACGCTAAAAGATCTTAGTTGTTGAAGATGAGATGGTGTTGCCAATTCGAAAGACATCGAGATCAGAATCCCTTTGGAAGCTATGGTCGTGATAACCAATATGACTAGGCCTACGAGTCAACCTTGGAAGTATACTCAAGCGGGGCGACTATAGGCGTATTAAGAAGCCCAACGTCCGTGGTAAGGGCCTTGGTTGTAGTTTGTCCTTGAACTACTTCACCTAGGTTCCTGAATCCAAGGTTGCCTTTTATATGTGTGATGAGTACGGTGGAAACAAGTGAGCTCGGAATCCGATTCTACCTGTGAAATAGCCCGACCTACCATGACGATAAGAAGGCATATGCGCCCGGCCCAAAAAAGATCAGCCAAAATGTCCCAGGCCCGATTTCCCGTTCGGAACTTATTCCCGAGACACTACCATTCCGTGACCTCCTCACCAATGCTGGAAGTCCACTAGTCAGCCAACCAACGACATCAACGACAATATTTTCAACGGTCAAATGGTTGGCCTAATCTATAGTGTCAACTTGATTTACAAGGGTCGCCGCCCTGGCAGTATCCTTTGTGTCCCCAACAAGTCAAACATCGCCATCTTTCTCCAGGTGCACTCGAAGAAGCTTATTATCGACAATGCTGGTAAGACCTGGGGGTGTGACTGTCATCACAGGCTCTGGCCAGGAATTAAACCTCTATGCTACTGATCTGGCAAAGGCCAGAGGGAAGAGAAGAGAGAAAAGGAAGTTGAATTCTCTGACAGTGTGGGACTAGCTAATATACTAGCTAGCAAACATGTGAAGCCTGACAAACCAGGCCTGGCCTGCTTGTCTTTCATAACAGCTACCCGTGAAGTCATCGTCCCTCAAATTCCAGAGCGTCTTCGGGTCCCCTAAGTACCGCCAAGCTAAGGCCTCAAACGGCGATGAAAACCCATTCTGTCCGTACGGCCAGCCTCAGTTCGAGCTCGACTTGTCTGTATTTTTGGTCGCACATTCCAGTGACCATTCCCACCAAGCAAGAGCAACTACATGGTTGTCCTTACTCACCTTGCCTCCGAGCCTGCTGAAATCTAGGAGACGCCTTTGCACAACGGCAAACTCATTAAAAAGGCGCGCTGGCCCACTTCTATACCTCCTTCCACTCTTGTGGTACTTCCGGTCTGTCATAGGAAGTAAAGAGCGCCACGTTGCAGTAAGATAATTTTGGAATTATGAAACGTGGAAATAAAGCAGATCGCCATAACTGGATTTCATGAACCATATCAGGAAGTCGTCTTGCCAGTTTTGACCGTGGTCGGGCGCCCGCTTGCGCGCATGGCGTCCAGTGACCATTGGGTCAGTTTCATGTCGTTCCCTGGAGGTCCTAGAAGGGAAACTACAACTGGCAGTTTTTCTGTTTTGCCCGTAATAAGAGACTGATAAGAAATTTGACAGACTGGAACATGAGTAAGTAAATAGAGTAAGCCTGAGATCCAACCTATATACCGATCCAAAAAACCAATAAGAGGACTTACTTGGGACAGCCAGTTCAGGAGCTCCTAATACCGCTGCAAGGAATGTTGGTCGAATACCAGGTACAATTGGGTTGTTATTGCCGGGATATTGGTTTCGATATCTTGGTTGAACTTTGTCGACGTGCAAAGCAATGATGGTAGTTTGCGATCCATTCATGTAATGATCAATAAACCAGGATTTGAAAATTGACAGCCGATTCATTATCTCCTCATGCTCCTGTAAGGTTACCTGACTTCCTAAATTCCTGTTCTTCCGTGAGTTTTAGGAACAATAACGGGATGAAGCTGTGTCCATACCAATACCATTTGACAACATCAGTCACAAAGGGAGCATGGCCGTGAGATGCCTCATATCTTTGTCTAAAGTCATCAAAGGAGTGGTAGGCCGAGTAATACCAGCCATGGAGCGTTTTCTGTTATCATGCTTAAGTGAGAATTCTTGCCGCGCACCATTATCAACTTACATTGTAAAGGTACTGCTGGAAGTCCTTCTCCCCTACAGGGGATGTTTTTTCGCCAGTCTTCCTTGATGGAGATTTTTCTGTAGGCACACCCGCTAGATTTGACAAAGTCTTCGATAAAGTCATCCATCGCGTGTTCTTGGTCGGGGCTGTCCTTTGGAATGAAATCCGTAGGATATAGGATCTCGACATAAGATTTCTTTGCAATTTCAGGTTCAGCTTTTAGTCCAGGGAGATGCAACGCACGCAGGATGTGAGGGAATATCCCAAGATCCCTACCCATCCATGCAGGAGTGTCAAATGCTGGCCAAGCTTTAACTAAACCCTTACCGGAGATAGATTTGCTCGAAGGACGAAAGCCAAACACTCCCACTTGAAGCGCGGGGATTCGAGCGCTACCCGTAGCTGCATACGTGTAAGCCGAATGCCGAATACCAGTGACGCAAAATTAGACCTACTGTCACTGCAAATGGATAAGTCCAGCCAGTCATAAGCCGCAACAGCCGCAGCACTTGCGCCGCTACTCCCCCCCCGCGATCAGATAGCCACCACCTCGCGGATTGAATGGTGCTTGGTAGTCAACACTTTGCATCAGATGCTCCATCATAGCAAAGGGACTTAGATGCATTTTCCCTACTATATGAACACCAGCATCCAATAGTTCCAGCACTACGTCTGCCGTGTCATTTCTGACTGAGTACGTCTCGTAGTACGCAAGGTTGCCGAGTGATGTCTTTGTACCGCTGATGTGGAAATTGTCTTTGATGGCAACTCTCATACCGTGAAGTGGACTAAATTTTAGGCATACAAATTAGCATAGGTTCGATGGATGATAGTACTAACTGAAACGTTGACATAATGTCCAATCTATCCACTACTTACGAAGGCGTGTGGTTTTTCTTAACCGTGGGATCTGGCTCGATGATATTTTGCGAGTAATATCTTGCTGGGATAGCTATTTCATGTGAACGATAGCCATTACCAGGAGCATTAACCTGCTCAACGGTACTGGACCCGAAGGTTAGCCGAGTTTACTGCAGTACACCAATTTCCTTACCCATTCCCGTCATCTGTGGGCCAAGTTTCTTGTAGAAAAGCGAGCTGTCGATCTTCGTATATTTGCCATGTCGAGTGGAAAGTGCCTCCGGTTATATAGTAAGGGCCATCCTTTAGCTCTAAATGAGGCTCATATACTACACTCACAGTCTTCCAGACTTCAAGTAGAGTTTCTGCGTCACGCGTGAGCTGTACTTCGTTGGACTCGACGCCTCCGAAGATAATTCCTTGCAGAAATTTGGGTTGGAAAACATCGTCTTGATCAAGGTACTCGGCTCGCCATTTCTGAAGGGCTCCGGCATCAATAGTATGGGTGTTCCACACGCTGAAATAGGTCACCAGCGATGGTATCTTTGACTTGAAACCGTTCTCTAGAAAAGATTCCTGTTCAGGTCAGCTTTGCTTTAGATTAGCGTCTGTTGATCACATACACGGTTTGTAGGCATCCGAATAGGCCTTGCAAGGTAGTGACTTCCGCCAAGGTCGAAGATGACAGAGGTGTTAACAGACGCCATACTGCTAATTATCCCAGTGGAATTAGATACGCTTTGGTAGTTCAATAGCTGGGCTACCACGAGACCTGGTCTCATAGTTGGCTGCCCCAAATGTACAGTGTTGGGGGGGGCAGTGCAGAATGCCTCCTCGAACGGTCTTATCGCCCGGACCGCCCGAACTGCCACTTTCCACATTAGACAGGATTTTTCTCCCTTTCGATCTTCAAACAGCTCCCAATCAAGGCGTACATTCGAATCATCCCCAAGAAGTAAATTCGAAGCCTCATTTGCCTTACCCGAGCAAGTTCCAAGGCTCAGCATCGGAATCGGGATGAGTTCATTAAGCTAACAACACCCATCAAGTTGTGAACGTTGGACGCAATTGAAATTCACTAGACTAATGAGAACATAAGAAATTAAATCCATACAGAACAAATTTTGGTTCAGACGGGCTAGGAGGCGACTCCTGTCCTCCATTAGAACATCTTACATCCTACCACTCAACATCGCCCGCTGTGTTCAATAGCACAGATGATGCTGCATTCTGTCATTACCTAGGTCGACCAGCTTAGGATTTGGGACCCATTTCTCCTGGAGTATGGGGGTGGAGGGTGCGCGATTGGAGACCCCGAATCCTATATCGAAATAGCCTCTTGATCCCACGGAAAAGAGCGTTCCGAGAAGACTTGCTGGTCTTTGTTTCGTTGGCAGTGACATCTGCAATTGTAGGAGAAGTCTTTTCAAGAACAGATGACACGATCGGCGACTTGGCTGTGCTCATAGTGGTGATTTGACTTGTCTCAGTATGGACAGGGGCATCGATCTGGAAATAACCTCCTGTAGCACCCTCCCGATCGTGCATCACCCAGTCTGCTTGAATGATGTTTGACAGTCGAGCCTCATGAATCACCTTTGATTTGGCGATATACGTGAAGTCGCTCCCCGAAACCTGGAAAACACAATTGTGCCATGGGGTTGGAATATGCAAAAGGTCATGGGACGGCTTTGCAATGATCGACAGGTCGTCTAAATTGTCAATCACGCGGGTTTTCGATCGATCAAACAGCGAGATGCCAAATTTGGGACCGGAGTTGACATGAGCGTGGATCGAAAGTCGGACATGCATGGGAAAAAACAATTCCACGAGATTGGAGTAGGCCTGGTTGCGCAACAACATCTCAAATGATATTTTCTCGGCGATCTTTTTCCTCTGTGATCGTGATATCGCCTGTGAGCGAGGATGCAATGCAAGATCCTCCAGCATAAACCGTGAAAACCCACGGTATAGCGAGACAATTGCGGAGTCCTGGCCCTTGATCTGGGATCTCAAAGAGTTTCTGTCTGGCTGACAAGCCAGTGTTAAGCTTTGGCGGCAAAATTCGGTTTCAGTTGAGATGTTTGTGTCAAGGAAGTGTTCAAGGGTGGGTAGCTCTATTTGGCAAGCTCTTGTCTCCCCGAGAACATCCTTGGGGGCAGAATGGAAGATGTCTTTCAGAGACTGGAATGTGACTTCCCCAGGCTGTTGCTCTTGGGTGGCAATGGCTTCATTGAGCTCATGCAGCCGGAGGCCATACTCGTCCACCTGGTCATCATCCACTCCGACTGTTTGACCAAACATATTTAGAACTATCAGACTTCCACCAGGGGGATTCACTCACTGCAGTCACTAAAGACATGTCCATCACTTATAATGCAAATCCTCACACCAGGCTCGTATATAGATTTCAGTCTCCGCGAAACCGAATAGAGCCGCCGCAGGGCTAGCTCTTCGCCGCGGTCTGGAAGTGCTCCGGCAACCTTGTTGGGGTTGGAGGATTTGCAAGGAAAAGCAGGCAAACACATTTCGATAGTCAATCCACGTGAGGTGAAGAAAGAGACTCTTTGTAGGAGATATTCTCGGCCCACGGTATTCCATTGGGAGTTCGAGGGGTGGACCAGCAGTTCATCATTCACAAGATCAACCACCTCTTCTGCAACCGAGGAATTTTTAATGGCCTGTTTGGCCACTAAGGTATTGGATAACCGTGCAATCTGCTGTAAAAGCAGAAAGCAAAAGAACTCGTCAAAACATGAGTCTGAAAGTCCGCTTCCAAGACTTATAGCAACCCCAATGATGACGGACGACACGGGTTGATGAAACTCGTGGATGTTGACAAGCTGAGAAGGGGAAGTCGGCTCATCGAGGGCAATGTGGGGCAACATTCGGTATGAGTTGAACTCTTGCAAGTTGAGCTGTGGTTTGATAACAGACCAGATTGAATGTACCGAATGCTCATGGCCCCCAAAACACTGGATCAGGTCACCCTGATGTGTTCGGCTGTATATGGCAGCTAATCGGTCATAGATACAATCATCCATGCTTGCAATGCCCTTCGGGCCGATTGGTAAGGACTGCATCTTTTGGATGTGAAGAAACCCTCCGGACAGTTATTGATATCCCGTTTTAAACAGGACATATAGGGAGGCAACAGAGTAAGCCTCAATCTCGTCTGACCATGCAATATTACATTTTGGCCCCAGTGCCGTAACCAACAATAACCAACAATACCACGACTCGTAATTATCTCAACGACAATGATATAGACCCACTTGATACGATATTAGGCGAGCCATTCTACATTCAGATTTGGACGAAGCCTTGCGCTCGTAATTGGCTCAGTTGCCATCCTTGGGAGACAAAGGTGAACACTAGAAAAAAACCGGAAATGACTTGCCATAGCCCGCAATGAGGCCAAATGAGGGCATTCATCGAGCTCCAATCTTGGGTCAATCTCTAGCTGCATAAATAGAGCCAACTGACTGAGGAGATATTCCTGACCACCTCTCATATCGAATGCTCCTCATACTCCTGAGTCAGATTTGAGTAACTTTCAAACTCTTGCACGGAGAAAAAGCCCACCTATTACATGATCATGATGAGCACTTGGGCTTTTTTGATTATTTTTGCATTGATTGTACCGCTTTTGTTTGTTTTCACGCCACCACGGCACCCTCGCGAGATACCCTCGGTTCCATTTTGGGTTACTCTGCTGCCAGTCCTTTTTGATGTTGATCAGCAGCAGATCTTCGAGCAATATATTGCGACTCATCTGTATAGACATGGAGCAATCAAACTTTTCTTTGCTGGGCAATGGAACATCATCGTTGAACGACCGGAATTCATCTCGGAGGTGTTGAAGAGAGAGCAGATATACAACAAAAGCGGCAACCAAAAAAAGATCCCGCATAGCGTTCTAGCTGACTTTCTTGGTGAGTGAGCCACTTGCTTCACTCTGCATAATAGGGAACTAGAGACTGAGACAGGGGAACATGTTCTGGCTGCAGGATCGAATATCATTTCCGCGCGAGGTGAAGAGTGGCGTTGTTACCGCACTATAATCAAACCTGGATTACAGAAAGTCATTGACACCAAGCCTATTATTGACAATGCAAGAAAACTACGCGAGACTTTCCGGCAAATGCAGGGAAAGTCTATACAGAAAGGAATTCCTATACAGGAGATTCTTCAGCGCTATTCCAGTGCAAATCTCCTTTGCTGCATCTTTGACTGCCCCGAGCTAGGTGTACGTGGATACTTCACATGATTATTAAAATTCCACCTTTTACTTCGTGTTTGATTTGCTGATCCAAAATGAAAATCCTTAGTCCCAAATGATGAGCATGGAACACGACGTCCTACTCCATACCACTCAATTAACTTTGAAGCGATATTTATTTCGCCCCATCTTCATGAACTTTCCTGTCCTAGACCGACTTGCATCGGTAATACCGTCTAGAGCCAAGGCTCGAAGACTGATACGGCAGTTTTCGGAGCTGCTTCAAGCCGAAGTTATTCCTAGTTCAGGCAAAAAGTTGCAGAACGGTGAGAATGCAAATTGCCTCGGAGACCGACTCAGATCCGCATGGCGCGATGGTACCTTGAATACGAAGCAGCTTCGGGATAACCTAAACGTTCTCTATGTGGCTGGCCAAGAGAATCCACAGCTGCTTATGGTCTCTTCGCTTTATCTCCTAGGAAAGCATTCGGTGAGTCTACAGTCATCTCATACTTTACTATCCTGTCAGATTCATAGACTAATCATAAGAGACCAGGAAATACAAGAATATCTCCGAGAGAAAATCAAGGATCTCAGTATAAGCAACCTGGACGACTTGGATTGGCGATCCTTGCCATATCTAACTGCAACTATATTGGAATGTCTTCGGTTATTACCGCCCATCTCGCAGCTCGTCAATCGATATGTGGCAGAGCCTGCATGTCTCGGAGGTCGCATCCACATTCCCAGAGGCACATACATTGGTTACAATAGCTATGCCACTAACCGGGATCCAGTTGCATGGGGCCCAGATGCGAATGATTTCCGACCTGAGCGATGGGGTTCCACAGACGAGCAGATTTCCAGGAAATACCGGAGTGCCAAGGCGCGGGCCAAATTCATTTCCTTCCATGGCGGGTCCCGCACATGTCTTGGAGAGAAATTTGCTCTCTTGCAAATGAGGATTTCCCTATTTGTTCTCGCTCGGACATTCCGATGGGAGCTTGATCCTGAATGGAAAGACCAAATGACCCCTGTAAGTGCATGGTCCTCTCTGACCCACCAGGCTTGCCCTAATTTACTTCACAGGCCGGTCCCTTGCACCCACGAGGTGTACGTCTTGTTTTTAAAAAGCTTTAATTTCCTGGCTTGGTTGGTCTTGGGCTATGGGTACAGGTAATCATGCTTTCTGTCATGCTTTTTTCTCGATTTGGTAGTGATTCCTTGTTACTAGACAGTAATGTTGGCCAAGGAAATATTCCAACGTTGACTTCGGGAAATTTGCTTCATTTGATCATGAGGCACTGCTATGAGGGTATTTTGTCAGGTAGTCTATCTTAGAACATGTGAAATGCTTCGGAGGCGAAGTCAGCCGGAGTATTCGATCAAACACCGAGATCAGCGAGGGCAGTGCTCGATCCATGGATATCATTTATGATCTTGTAATTTACTCCAGCCCATGTAATTCCACATGCCTTTTCAGCTGGAAATGGCAAATGCTGGCGCAAAGGCGAAATTATAGACGAGGCTAGACTCTGTGTCAACGGTAATTGAGAGTATACTTTTTCGAGCTTGTCCATGATATTATTTGCTAATGATGCACCGAGCTCCACCTAGAAAGGTGTCCACGCTGAATACTTTCAGAGGCCAATTTATATGGTCTGGTAATGAGTGCAATCTCAGCTAACACCCCTATATCCACCTTTTGATGATGCAACGATCAGATCCAACTCTCAATTCTTCCGATTGGCCTATTGACTCAAAGCGACCTTTGCCTGTTCAATACCCTTGGAAATGTCCACCTGTGAGTAAAGTCCCAGTCCAACGAGCATCAGTAAAAGGTTTGGAATCATTGGGAATCGTAGGTTGTGGGTCCGATCCTGGATGATACCCATTACCAAGGGATTGATCCATCCAGTAGCGAGATCCAAGGTAATCTCCAGACCAAAGAACTGGGCTTCAGAGTTCTCTGGAATCATGGAAGAGTAAATGGCACGATTGTATGCTCGAAGGGCACTGCTAGCGGACATGAACAGGACCTGCTCAACCCAAAACTCGGCCTGGTGCTTGTAACCAATTGTGACATGGTTGCTGATTCCAATGCAGCCCCATAGCACACAGAGGATATTGACCATGAGGAAACCGTAGGCATACGATTTCACGGGCAAGCGAAGCCGCGGGTACAGGTACATGAAGCTCAAACTGCCTATGCAGGCAAAGATGATGCTAGTAAATGACCAGACTGAGTATACTCCGGAGCTTCGGGAGAACCCAGTGACTTGCAGAAACAGCGCGCCTATTAGTTGCAAGTGGTTGGAGTATCCGGTATTCCACATAACCCATCCTATGCAAAACTTGAATGCTTCGGAATAGCGGGTTGCGCTTTTTAACAGTTTAAGCCAGTTTCTGAACGCAACCAGCAATGGGAATCGGGTTTTGGAGCGATCGAATTCTTTGCCGGGCATAGATGGTAGGAGATATTGCCCGAGTAGAGCAAACAGGACTAGGCGTGGTCAGCAAAAAAATGGACTCTTTCACTAACGAAAGGGCAGCTCACTTGTAATACAGCCACCAATTGTAATGGCTAGAAGGTAATTGAAATATCCAACCTGCACGTAGGATCCCCGTCCATAGACAAGAATTATACCAATAATCAGGGCGGTCAAGCCGCCAATGTTGCTTGACACCAATGCTAGAACACTGATGGAGACACCTTTATTCCAGGTCGTTCTCTCACCAGTGGTTGCTGCCACTCGGGACTCACGGAACCAGCCTGTGGATCGCATGAAGATTGGGATGTATGACCCTTCAATCACCGTATAGACCCCTCCGACAGTTGTCAAGAAGCAATAAAGGACGGATAGGGCGGTCAGGTGGCTGTAGGTTTTACCCGTGAGCCCTGCAAAAGGCAAAGCCAACGTTCCGAACAGAAAGATCGATGTCATCATCATCGTTTTGCGATAGTCTGGTAAGATCGTCAGCTTTGAATCCCGAGCAACTCGATCGAGTACACCCACTAGCATAGTCTGCCAAGCCGGCAGTGAGAATCGACACAACACCCTCTGTGGCTCTACTGATCGATCGAAGGTACAATCTGGCTTCGGTCAGCCGAAATGATCGGGGGCCACAATATAACAAAGGATTACCCACGTATAGCTGTTGTAGTCAATCTCTCCTCCGCCAAACTTCACCAGACAGCTGATGTTTGTTCCGCGGCGTGAGCATGGTTTGCCTGATCCCGCCTGGTGGCCCAAGAGATTGGCTGCCGAGAGAATTGCTGCCGTCACGTAGTTTGAGACCATGGAAGCTGTTGGGCCAGTCTGTAATTGATCCAGTTTACCATGATTAGCCAGAAGTCATGTCAAAGGGGATCTGAAAAGTCCCTGCGTACCGAATAGCATAGGACCAAGAATGCCCACAGTGCTTTCTTCGAATTGAAGGCAGCCTTCGAGTTGGCCTGCTCCAGGTCATCCGGGTTACTTTGGACATCGCGTTCAGTGGTGCGAAGCCCTTGCTTGTCCCCATCGTCATCTCTATTGGCGGTCTCGTCGACGGAATCCCGGTCAACGTTCATATTGCGGTCGGCCGTGATACCACTGGCAAACAGAACATTCAAATACTCTGAATTGCGAGAGATACTCATTCAATGAGTTTCAGTGTAGAAGGTGAAATACAATAGAGAAAAGAACTTGTAAATGACAAAAAGACAGAGAACATATATACCGTCTTTGTGACTGCAACATCTGGCGACAGGCGCTTTAGTGTTTCAAAATTTGCGGCCATTGAGAGCGGAAAAGAGAGATTACCCATGTCAATGGCAAGACCTGTTGTGGATCCTACCTGCTATTTGGAGTGAGCTAGTTTGAGGGCTTTTACTATGCCAATTCCGTAGAGTGTGCATGGGGGGGGCCATCCTTGGCACTCTATGTTAGCACTACTGTACTCTTTAGCCCCGTTGGACTTAGGATCTAGTGTATTGAGCTAGTATGATTTTGCTTTTCGGTTTTATTCTGGCTCATGTCATCTTTACGATTTCCAAAGAACTGTTTTTTACTTTCGAAATACTGATTTTTCATTTTTCAACCTTTTTTCTTTTCTTTTCTTTTCTTTCTTTTTCCCGAAGAAATCTTCTCAGCTCGTGGACGTGAGCTTTTTTTCCTAGATGGGAGATCGGGTTCGGGAGAATCCGTGTAGGATCCATAAGTATATATAGATTTCCCAACTATATGCTTACTCTCTGAACAATCAAATGCTCAACTCGCATCTGCGCGATGTCGACTTCTGAAATACCCTCTATCAAGGTGCTCCCCGAGACGCAAACTGTTACTGCTTCATCGCCCGACCTCTCTTCCAAGACACCCGTACAAAATGTATGCGAGCAACCCGCACAACCAAAGCCTGCTTACACAGCGATCTCACAATCGCGTCGACGGTTCATTCTCGGAATAATCGCAGTTGCAGGAATATTTGGTCCCCTTGCAGGAAACATTTACCTACCTGCTTTGCCGGTAATGGCCCGGCAGTTTCACAAAACAGAGACAGAGATTAATGTCACGGTAACAGTATTCATGGTGGTGTTTGCTTTTGGAGTAAGTCTTTCCTCTGGCCTCCCATAATACCCATGTATACCTGTGTCTCTAAACATTTTCCTCGCAGCCCTTAGTTTGGTCAAGTTTCGCAGATTGGAAAGGACGCAGACCGCTCTATATCATCTCCATCCTGATCTATATTTTGGCGAATGTGCTTCTTGCGGCCGTTCCAGCCAATTATGGCGCACTAGTTGTCCTTCGAGTGGTGCAGGCTTTCGGATCGTCTGCTGTTGTCTCTCTGGGAGCTGGCACAGTAGCGGATGTAAGACTGACATTTTGGTTGTTTAACCCTTACAAGGAGCTAATTCCAGCTTTTTCACCGGCAGATCATTGAACCAAAGAAGCGAGCTCGAGCAATGTCATACTTCCTTTTCGGGCCCCAATGTGGTCCAATTCTAGGCCCAGTGATAGGTGGTGCTTTAGTCGATAAAACATCCTGGAGATGGATATTTGGTTTTCTAGGTAAATGAAACCTAATCAACACATCCCTGACCTTTCTGACACGGATGATCTAGCAATCTCGGGTGCTACTTTGTGGCTTGTCCTCGTCTTTGCGCTCCCGGAAACTCTGCGTGCACGTGTGGGGAATGGGAGTGTATACACCGACAAAAGCTGGCTTCTTCTTCCTCCCAAGCTCTCCTCTGATCTGGTTCCAGAGTCGGAGAGAGGGCCTCCTCCTCCCAAGCCCACCTTGAAAGGATACTGGAAGCTCTTCCAATACCCCCCCAATCGGCATCACGTGCATGAATACTGCTATCCTCTACTCATCTTACTTCTGCATTGCTATTCAACTCCCATCCGCTCTTGGAGATGTCTACCACTGGTCCAGCAGTGAGGTTGGCGCTGGTTATGTTGTTGTCGGAGTAGCCATGGTGATTGGATCTATTTGCGGAGGCCGGTTTTCTGACTGGAGACGCAAGCAATCAGTTCAAATGCACGGAGAGACCAATATTCACCCCGAAGCACGCTTGAATGACCAAATCTGGGGACTTTTCCTAGCTTCTGCGGGATTGATCATGTTTGGGTTCTTTGTGGAGCATGCACTTCACCCGGCCGCTACTTTGATTTCTACCTTCGTCGGTAAGTGGAGTCATCCGTGAAACAGCCTGGATGACTTGTTCTTATTTTTGAACTAAATAGTCGGAATTGGGATGTCGTGGATGTTTGTTGCGTCGAACGCGTTCTTGACATTGTGTCTTGCGCAGCAAGCTGCAGGGGCTTTTGCTTTGGGCAACATGTTACGCAGCCCTGCTGCTGCTGTAGCTGCAGCAATAATCACACCCTTTGTGCAAAAGATGGGCTGGGGATACTGCTTCCTTGGCTTGGGACTTTTGAACTTGGTTGGGATAGGTTCGATGTTGATTGTTCTACGGATGCAATCCACCCGATGGGCAAAAGCAAGACTAGCTAAGGGGGCGCAAACTGGGCATCAGAATACTTCTCCGAAATCAAACTGATCACAACCTAGAGATGCAATTGCAGACAGAGTCTTCTTGTGTCCGCTACTTGACCAAACAGTTGTTGTCGGTTGATTTCGCTACGAGGTTCCAAGTTCTCATTCGAGAACACGATTTCAGAGAATTAATAACATCCATGGATCTTGCTACTAGGCTGGTTGTCTCAAGAGACTTTGAAATATATAAAGGCCAATAGGTTATACAAATTGAAGAAACACCTCTAAGGTAACACATAGGGTAGGTAGGTAGTCTTGGATGACATTTAAGTAGACTTCCGCAAGCGCCGGGACCTAAATGGGCCGGGCCTTATGCTAATCCTTACCGCCTAGGCGCGGGTTTGGCTTCGTCTGCAGGCCCGTAGTGGCCTCAACTAGACCTTGACAGAGGAAATTTTAGTCCCGTGGGATCCACTTCCATGGGACGAAATGACAGAAATCAATGGTTTACGGGTGTACAGTGTAAAATCACAATGTATGAATTCTCTAACTAACTAAAAAGAACAACCTGCTTCAATTAGTTGGGGGTGGGGTTTAGTCTGGAATATTATGGCCATATCCGTCAGTCCTCTGGAGTCAGACTGCAACATAACCCATGCCTCGGTGGTCTTCTGGTTGCTCAGATACATGAATTTGTAAGCGTCGGATTTGTATACGAGGTTGGTATCGACTACATCATTGTAGTAGACCATATCTCTGGCTTGTAGGTCATGTTCGGGGTTAACGGTGGATGTATCCACCATCATCAACGGCCACTTCTTGATGGGGCCCTCGATCGATTTCCAAACTCTGTCCACAGTCTATTGTCAGAATTGTATATTGAAAAGGACCCGAAATTCACTAGACTTGCGTGACATATTGGTATCTCATCTGGAGGAATCCACTAGAGTCCTCATTGAGTTCTCTCACAATTTTCGAGGTCCCTTCAGGTGTCGAATCTAGCTTCGAATTAGTACGATGCATACCATAAAGCCGGGCGGTAACATAAAGGCTTACCAATGTGAAGGAGACTTGCTGGTTGCTCCCATCTGTAAGGCTTGCCCGTTGATATGGGGAACTTTGGATGGCTCTTCCGTACCTGAAGGTTTGATTAGACGGCACGAAAAACTGACGCACATTTCGATGCTCGCCAATGACTTACGGGGTAGTCATGAATTTGAACCCGGGTGGCACCCAGACGTTCTTTGAGAGATTCAGCGACCTGGGGTAAGTATCGTGACTCGACAGCATCGCCGTGGCCAAACTTTTCCGCACTCATTATGTCTTCTAGATCCATCACCACGAAGCCATTTTTCTCGATCGAAAGGTCTCCCTTGCGATTTCTGATATCCTCTACTCGAATGTCGTGGTGTTGTGAGATCTGCAAATTTTTCCGTGGGAATTCATTCGGGGGGTCAAACCGGAGCTCATACGGCTTCTCTCTACGATAGAGATCGAGCCTGTCTAGACAGCAAATTGAAGTGGCAAGGGATTGCTCGCTCATTTTTGGCGTAGTGCAAGGGTTCTGGATGATTTCTGGAGAGGCTGGAGAGGTGTGAAGGGAATAAGTCCGGCCGAGGAGACACGAGGATACTACCCGTGATGTTACCATGATAACTCGGAGCGAAATGCATGGCAAATATTTTTTAGCGCCGCAGTAATGATGAGCTATCAACCACCATGCTTTGCATAATGCATTCAAAGTGCGTCAGGAGGTCACTTCAGGGGTGATGAAAAGTGAGGGGGGTGATGCGTCTCCTCGGCGCTATGGCTTGTGGTTGGGAAAGGGAAAGTGAGGCGTGCCGCTAAGCCTACCACACCATAGTATCTGAGCGATGTTAACCTTGAGGGTTCTCTTTTTATCTTTAAATAAATTTCTTCTCATTTGACTGGATTCCCTGGCCCTGTGACGAGTTACTATACCCATTCATTCCATGCCATGGCTAGTGCGCAGCTACGAGAAGTGCGCCATAGCACTAGTCCGGAGACTCTGTAAGAGATCTAAGCAAAGTGTTTACGATATTAAGCAATTCCTAAATATTAACAGTGTTATTGTTGTTCCCGGTGTTGGCACGGCGAGCCCAAGGACATGGTTTGAAGGGAAGGGTGAATCATGGCTTGATTTTCTCCCTAGCAGTGCATTGCCATCACCCGCAGTCTATCAATACAATCACGGGCTAAACTCAGGTGAAAAGGATTCCCAAATTTGGCATAATGTCCTAGAAAAGGGCCTCGGACTGCTCGAAGCTCTGTTGATGCTGCTCGGGAACAAAGAGAAGGTCTCGCCCACTTTGCTTCCCGACGACTTTGAACTGACAAAGCCGGTACATAAATAGTTTCAATCTTGTCCAATTGTATTCATTGCCCATAGTTTAGGGGGAATTATTGTCAAGCAGGTGATTTTCTTCGAATTGGTTGTGAAGGCCATGGACGCTGATTCTTGCAGTGCCTCACCAAGACACTCGAAAGGACAACGGACTTCCAGGACATCGTACGTGCGACAGCAACATTTGTTGCGATAGCAACGCCGCATTCCAAATCAGTTGAACCAAAAGATTGGAACCAGCCGCAAGCTACTCGCGGGGACTCATGGCTATCGTAAAAGAGGATATCCAGCATCTGTCAAAGACGCGACCCGCTTGGCAGATTTGCGTTTACGCTTCGAAGGGGTCGCGACCAATCTTCACATAATAACGTTCTGCGAGACAGAGGAAACCCCAATCAAAAGCTTGTTTGTCCGAGCATCCAAGGCATCCAAAACAGTCGTCAGTGTTTCGTATATCTCATTTTACTTTTTTGGGCAAACGCGGTACTAATAAAATAAATTAGATTGTGCCTAAGGAGTTGTGCAAGGTGAACGCTCGCTTGGAGGAGTTTGTCGAGGTTACAGCCAACCATCTTGATATTTGTGAAGTGATGCCCTGGCCTTTATTGGAAGAGCACGTTCGAAGAGCGGTGTCAACAGCCACATTCCGCATCAAGACGGTGCTAAGCGAAGGTCTGAACACCTATATTTATCTTTCGGAAAGCGTTACTGTTACTGACTCGTGCAGACCAAAGCCGTTCTTTGCTGGACAGGTTTACTATCGCAGATCATACCGCTGCAAACCAATTGCGGAACGAAAGTGAACATCTCGGATTGAAAAGTACAAGCAATCAGGCCACCGCTGCCTTCAGTGAAACACGGAGAGACGGCATGGCTCACTTGCCAGATTTTTCGACGGCTAGAAGAGACCCTCGTCTCCCTTGCCATATTATCCCTAATGCGAAAAATAGAGACTTCTATGGCAGAAGCGACGTTTTGGCCCGAATTGATGATTGTTTGACACCATTTGATGATAACAAGGAATCCAAAAAGGATGTCAAGACTTTTGCTCTTTGTGGACCTGGTGGTATGGGCAAGACTGAAGTCGCTAACGAGTTTGCCATTACTCATACTGAAGTGTACGAGGCCATATTCTGGGTTTATGCCAAAGAAGCGACAACGCTAGCCGATGAGTTTAGTCAAATCGCGGAAAATCTCGGTCTTGTCTTGGAAGGTACCGCAGATGCTAGAGACCCAGTTGTCACTCGTGAACTTGTGAAGGGCTGGTTGGAAAAACCGGTTAGGTCCTACAACAAAACGAATACCGACCCAGAGGACGAGGTTTCCTGGCTTTTGATCTTTGACAATGTTGAAAATCCTGACGTGATCGAGGAGTTTTGGCCACCGACAGGCAGTAATGGGTCCGTACTCATCACTAGCCGAGACCCTCTAGCAATGACACCTTACTATCAAATTCAGGATGGTATTGATCTACCACCCCTGAGTAAAGAGGATGCAGCAGATCTGCTATTGAAGTTGACCTGGCGTGAACAGGATGCTGAAGAGCAAAAGCTGAGTCTTCCAGTGGCTGAGAAGCTTGAAGGCATACCCCTTGCGCTAATTCAGATTGCTGGTGTCATTATTCGGCGTAATCTCACCTTCATAATTTCTTGAATCGATACAACGAGGAAGAGACACGCGGCACACTTAGTAACTTCCTTAGTCTATCGCTCGAGCCTAGTCACATAAAACGCAAGAACTATGGTTATACAGTCTGGGCGTTGGAGGAGCTGAAACATAGCTCTGGCCTTCTGGATGTGATGGCATTCCTTGGTGCGGACAAAATCTCCGAAAGATACTTGACAGAAATCATTGGGACAGCCCAACTTCCAGATTATTCCCAATCTTTGGCAGAATACCAGGATGCCAGGAGTGAGCTTCTCACATCTTCGCTGATAAAAAACGATCGATCAGCATCGAACCTGACAATCCATCGTTTAATCCAAGATACCGAGAGAGCAAAAATGATCCCAGATAGATCGACGCGCGTCTTCTCGGCTGTAGTTAATCTACTAAAGACGATGTGGCCAGCTGCAGAGCTCGGAGTCCGTCACCATGTAGCTCGCTGGAAAGACTGTGAACCGCTGTCGCCGCACATACTACAGTTGAAGGAACATTTTGATCGCGCCGGGGAAAGTTTGAAGTCACGTTGGAAGAAAAACTTCGAATTTGCGAATCTACTGAACGAATTGGGATGGTGAGTGATACTTATTAATTAGATCACATCCTGATATCAACACACATTTAATCAATTATAGGTATTTCCAAGAACGAGGGTACACACCCGAGGCGATGGAATGCTACCGAATATCGCAGGAAAACATCGAACACATCATCGACGATGGAAGTCACCAGAGAGCGCGTGCTACCCACCAGATGAAACGTGAAGACAAAGAAATGGCCCTGCTTGCCGAGATTCACAATAATATTGCTGGTGCGGCGACAGAATACAACGATCCTGATATGGCAAAGAGTCATTTCCTCACATACAACAAAATGCTGAAAGATGAGCACGGCGGTCTGAATACAGTGGAAGATTCGAGACTCACAAGTTCTTTCTTCAATGTAGGAATGAGTTTCATGATGAAGGGGGAATATGAAAGCTTCATTGTGTGGCTCAATCAAGCGTTAACGGAAGCGGAACGACTCCTTGACATCCGAAAGGTCAAATCAGCTAGGAGTCTAGCCTTGATAAAACTTGGTTTAGCGTATTGGCTTATGAACCGCCCAGAAGAGGCTTCTGAGAGACTGGAAACCGCGCGCAAAGAAAGAGAGGAACTATTTGGGCCTAACGATCGCCAGTCCATGATGTGCGTATCTTGAAACAAATCTAATGGCACGAACAAGAACACTGACTAACATGCAGTACTGGACGGGTTTTATACGGCTTAGGCAACGTTCGACATAGTCAGGGCCTTCTTGACGATAGTCTAGACTATCATCAGCGAGCGTTACTGCATTTCAAGGAGACCGTCGGGAATAACCACCACCGCACAGGAAACTCATGTTTCAAAGTTTCTGAGCACTACCTTCGGATCGGGAATTTAACAGAAGCTATGTATGTGATATAACGAGCGACGATATTTTGCGATTCGCGACTAACATATTGCGCAGTGAGCTCCTAGACCAAGCAATTAAGATATTTGACCGGCACCATTGCTACCTTGGGGAGAGGGGGCGATCATACTTCTTAAAGAGTGCTGTTCTAGAGCAACAAGGGCAAGACGAAATTTCGCAATCGTGTCTTCAGGCTGCACGCACTCTCTACAACACCCTGAATGGCGACGTTTCTGGTGCGGATTTAAAACTGCAGGACTTTGATATTCATGTCCATGTGTGGGGACGCTGAGCGTGCTTATTTGATTACAATATGCCTTGGCCACTACCCGAAGTGATCAAATCCATGTCAACTAGGCCTCTATTATCAAGAAAGAAAAAAAAGGGCCTTTGGACTATCAATATGTCAAGGGAAAGTCAGCGCAGTGACGAAAAATTAGTAACTATACACACGCCTCACTCCCGAGATAGCTGATCCGAGATTTTAGGAGCCACTCAAGTGTTCAAATGAATAGTATAGTAAAGCAAAGGATAAGCGCTATGGTTGAGAGTAGATTTTTGACTTCAAGTCGTCGCCGACGATGACATCGGATGTTTCGTAACCACACGAAGGACAGATCACAAGACCACCTTAACTTGAGGGACGCTCGCGGAAAGACTGCATACCAACAGAATTGAGATTGGCACCCCTAGAAGATCACGAGGAGAGACCTGAAGAAAAGAGCAGTTGGGACATGTCAAAAAATTACTAGGACCACTGAACTTAGAATGGAGCAACTACGTGAATTTATAAGCGATCGCGGTTTTCTACTCTCCCTCGATATCTATCCGGCGAGGTCCCCTTGGATTCATAGAATCCGCTGAGCATATAGTACAAATCCAGTGTAGCCATTTATTAATTATTACTCGCAACCATACGATTAAACAGCCCGTCTTCTCCACGAGCTTCATTGCCATTACAGAATGGATTTAAAAAATCTACATATGCTATTACAAATTCTGACCAAATGTATTCCAAGATACCAAGATTAGTTACTGCCCACTGCTCCAATTTGGCGACTGAGAGGTGGGTTTGACATAGGGTAAGGATCCGGCCTGTATTCACTGCTTGGTTGAGTGGAAGGTTACCCTCAATGCCATACTACAACAGTGTCAAATGATACAAGACAAGATCTTGTTCTAGCCACTCGCTTTTGCTAGAGGCTCGTCCTATGGCTAAAGCTGAAGGAGCTGATTATGCAAAGTGTCCACGACGGAAACTCTAAGCGGATGACACGTCTGTTTTCGTTTAGCCACACGGCAGAAGCGCCTTAGTCGGAGATTTGATAAGACCTATATTGACTGGTCCTTCGATCGGGCAGATCTCTTTCTTGATGGGGAGAAACTGAGACTCATTACTTCTTCAAAAAGTATAGAGATCCCCCGAGGCTATCAGCCGCTGGATGGAAATTGGAAATATAGGATACCTGTTCAGGTGCGCTACACACTTCGAGGCTCCGATAAACTAGAGTAAGTGGACATATATACTATTCAATATGACAATCAACTGAATTCAATAAACTACGTAACACAGCCTGGACCTAGATATGCGAAAGTATATGAACAAGTCATTCGATACCGACGAAACATCAGTACGTGGGTGACAATGATATATAAAGTATGAAGGCATACAGCTTGTTTCCAATTATGGATTGCGCCGATGCATGGCTTCGGCTTCTTCGTACTTGCCCTGGCGGGAAAGGTATAAACCAAGCTTGTTGATACTGGTCAACCTTAGTTTATACCGGTGGGCGTGTCCGAATTAAATTGGGCAAGGGATTGGATAAAGTGAAATACTTTTTTATAAATTTCGATCTATATTGTGGGGATAAAATTCACGCAGAACGTAGAAACTCAGGGTAAATAGCAACCCTCCTGTTCGCCTCGTGACATCATTGGGATCAGATCAGGGAACGATATTAGATGCAACTGTACAAGGTGTCATCCAACTGGAACAGGTATGGATCTATCATATTGGCGACAATTTCTTACGCTTGGTTGACGCAGCGGCATTGAAGTTAAATTGGCCGGGCTTCCGAATGTAACACCGCTGAAGAAGTATCGGCCATGCAAGCTGCTATGGTTCGGATATCTCGGGGTGAGAGTAATAATTAAACAGTTTCTTCAATTAATGAAGTAAATTACCCAACCGCCTGCAATATATATACGGCTATCTGTCCGCTTCCATCCTCGCAACTAGCCCTACCTGTTTACAACTGGCCATGTTGCTCACTTGGGATTGGAAGAAGCTTTTCGCCGTCCAGGCTCTTTTCGCACTCGTCTGGGCACAGGCTCCCCAGGAAAATTACGATGTCATCGTGATTGGCGGGGGTCCCTCTGGCCTCAGTGCAGCCAGTGCGCTGTCGCGCGTCCTAAGAAAGGTAGCCCTGTTTGACTCGGGAGAGTATCGCAATAATCCCACCAGACACATGCACGATGTCATTGGAAGCGACCGTACGTATGTCCCTTCCTTGTTCTCAGAGGAAATCTATTAACATTCCGGGCTAGATGTCGTTCCGGCTGAGTTCCGAGAAGCTGCCAGAAAGCAAATCTCTTTCTATAACATGACGACTTTCTTCGACCAAGAGGTCATAACTATGCAAAAAACTGAGAACACTTTCCATGCTACGACCGCCAATGGCACCTACACCGCACGCAAGGTCATCCTGGCCAGCGGCCTGAAGGATGACCTCCCCAACGTCCCGGGGCTCCGGGACGCATTCGGCAACGGCGTGTTCTGGTGTCCATGGTGTGATGGGTTCGAGCACCGGGACCAGCCGATGGGTGTCCTAGGAGATCTCTCCGATGCGTATGACAGTGTGAAGGAATTACACCCAACTCTCAACAAGGACATTCGCATCTACGCGAACGGCACCAACAACGCCGCTCAACTCAACCGGCTTAACAGTAAAAACAGAGACTGGCAGAAAGTTTTCAACGCGTACAATGTTACTGTCAACGCTAAGCCCATTCTGAATATCACGCGAACACAAAGCGGGAGCGACTACCAAGACTCGGCAATTCGGAAGGAATTTGACAAGTTCCGGGTTTACTTCTCGGACGGAACCTACGAGGAACGGGGCGCATTTATCACCAATTACGGTACTTCTCAGGCATCCAATCTGCCGGAGCAGTTAAAAGTTGGGTTTTTGGGGAAGAAAATGAACACGACGGCCCCTGGCTTAAGAACCACTATTCCCGGAGTCTGGGGTGTGGGTGATGCCAACAGCGATAACAGCACCAATGTCCCGCATGCCATGTTTAGCGGGAAGAAGGCAGCCGTTTTCTGCCATGGTGAGTCCGGATTCTACCCAAATGTGTACACTATTGCTAACTCGGTGCAGTTGAAATGGCTACGGAGGAGCTGGCACAAGTCAGTGGCAGCCCGGCCAAAAGAGCAGCCATGCTTGATGACCGGTCTATACATGAGCGGACCGCGAGACAAATGGGTGATGAAGTCGGCGATGTTTACAGGAGACTTGCCCGCTTCTGAAATCTCAGAATATGCGTACCTTTGCATGCCCACAACGGCATCCAAGCATTGTTTGAGGAGCAGAGGATGTTCCGTGGATACACAGTCCTGTATGCTGAAAAGAATTCTGCGTCAATCGATTTACTCAACGTAGGGAGGAACATGTATGGGATGCTGCGTCTAGGTATTAGTACTTGTTGAATAATACTAAAAAGGGTGCCTCGTACCTTCAAGCGCCTTGTGCAGCACCCGGTGAACCGCGCTTGGGAAGCACACAAGGCGCAGTCGGAAATAATATTTTGGCGGCGCTAGAAAGGGCCTTTCTGGTTAATTTGAACTAGCCTTCCGCGCACAAATCGTATATCTGCGACACTTAATATATACTGCATTGTGTACAGGCAAGCTCAGTTCCAGCTAAGCGCAGGAGTGGCGGCAGGTTGAATACCTTTTTCCATATGGACAGTCGGGCTCTCCAAAGGTAAAGGGACTTCACTATCCATTGTGTGTTCGAGGTGTATACCAGATTTTTTCGAGCTCTATTTCATATATTATACTTGGGACGGCCTAAGTGAGTTAGCCCTTATCACCCCTAGGTAAATTGCTACCCCGTTCTCGCCTCTATCATCTCGGTCTCCAGAATTCACATCCATATCACACTCACCCCAGAGTGCCGCTGAGAGATGCAAAAACAAAAGGAATGCAAAAACATACAACAGTGAGGATTCGCTGGTGGTCACCCACCCAACTACTAACTCACCGGCGTGTGGCTTAAGTACGGCTGAGCGGACGGGAAGCCCTGTTTTCCACACCCTATGGTCGTATGTATAAGGTTACAAGTGGAAAAGAATGATAGAACGACACAGGCTGGAATCAATTGGTTGTGGATGAGAGGATGAGAGAGCTATGTGTATGGGTGACGAGGGTGAAGCTCAGGCTGAGACCAGGAGACAAAAGGTCGAGGATCTGGCCTACAAGGTTAGCTACGTCAAAGCCGAGCTTGGAGCAAAACAAGCGAATATGTCTGCAATGTATATTTTAACGGATATATATGTGATGTGTATATGGAAGGGGTATTGGATCTAGACTTCCATACTTCCAGTTTGCCGTCCATGGCCAGGTCGTTATCTGATAGGGATCAATTTCAATAAGAAGTCTCTTTTAACCCGCTAAGACACGGCATATAGAAACACCGGTATAGTCTTTTTAGCTAGAGCTAGATCCTCTATATTGTTTATATTTCTATCTATCGACTGGTCATGACAGAATAATAATTACATATGTATTGCCTGGACGAAAAAACAGGGGGAGGGCGTCCATCCCTCAAAAAGAGAAGAGAAACCAAATCTATCTATAATGTACAAAGTTACGTCCCACCCTGAACTCCAAATGACCCCCAATCTATCCATAGTGTACAAAGTTCGGGCTTACAGGTCTCGGCGACCCTCAGCTCCCGGTGATCCTCAGCACAAATTCATATACGCCAAGCGTAATGACAGCCGAGGGTAAAGACCGAATCATATGGGGAGCCAAGCCGCCATACAATCCCGCCATACCTTCCTCTTTAGCGACCAAACGGAAGCATTGCAGCAAGCCCGTGTATTTGGCCCGGCCATTCTCCACAGGCGCCTGACGCAATCTCGTTCGAATAACCTAAGGATGTCAGCGTGAGACGAGAGACAACGGCTTGGAATAGCGTACCTCATGGGGATATGTCATTAGACCCGCGGCTAGCTTTGCAGAACATGCAGCACCGCTAGTACTAACCCAATGGAAGAATTCGTCCAAAAACGCAGTTCGTGTTCCTTCGGTAGTTTCTAACGACCGATGAAAGCTGGTTTTCAGACGTTCGTAAAGCACTAAATGCAGAGCCGTTTCAATCGAGCCGAGATAGCTAGCGCTTAACCCTCTGTAAAACCCGCTTAATCCCTCATTTCGGAAGACCTGCCGGATGCAATCAATGCTATTGCGATATCGACGAGTTGAAACGCCCCCGATTTCTGTTTTGTCAAGTTGTAGTCGTGTTTTGACCAGCCATATAGGATTTGTTGCTGTGGAGGTTGCTATCCCCGCGCTAATTGCAGCCTGCGCGTGGACGAGCGGGGAATCTTCCGTATGTCCTAGCATCTTAGCACCGAAATGTTTGCAATTCCCGTAGACATAAAACTTGATCGCAGTCGCCGGGACCACGCCGGCCATGCTTGGACCGAGGCCTCGGAAAAAGGCTCGCCAGCCTTCGGCACGATAAATGGAGTTGATGACCTGCATCGTTCTGTGATTTGATCCGCGTGGTTGTACTGTCTGTAGAGGCTGATTTAATTGATTGGAGGCGCTAGTGTTTTTGGTTCGATAAAAGTCGGATTGAAGGCGTGTTCGCAACACGTCGAGGGGCGACGTCACGATAGCAGTAGCTAATCCACCGCTCCTTTATTGAAAATGTCAGAAAAGTCAAGATGACCAGCTGGAAATGACTTACGCGCCTGCGAGAAGGTGCACCGAGGGTGCAACCGTCTTCTTTTTTGCAACATGGGTAGAGGTACTTGGTTTCACTCTATCTGCATACCGGGCCTGGTCATTGGCCTCCATGTTGATATCAACGATGATAAGACTGCGGAGAAAGGGCTGAAAACATTTTTCCAAGACTATCCCTATCTATCTTTCTTATCTATTCATCACATGATGTGTGACAAATGATCGCGACACGAAAGCACGTGATGATAAAATTATCACATGCAAAAGAGGACTACCCAGTCGAGAGATATATATCTAGGAATGGTGCTCGACCTGTAGGTAACTACCAGTCATTTAAGATAGAAAGCTTATAAGTGAACACTAGACTAGACACGTAGCAAGTTGATAGCCGAATAAGTGCACTAGCTAATATATATCGACACCAGGTGCTAGGTTATACTATATATTGTACAGACACTATCCATATACTACTCGGGGAATCCTATGTTGTATACCACATGGGTCTTGTTGACATAACATATAAACAAAACATCAAATATAACAGCCCAAAAAGACACCGGAAGCAAACCCAAATGTACCAAGCTTAGACCCGAACTCACAAGCTAACCGAAAAACTAATTCGACTTCCCCGAAAACGAAACTAGAGCATGATAAGACTCAGTCAAAGGCCACAAACCCTGAGCAAAACCAACCGCCCCAGCAACAAGAAGCACGTAATAAGCAACCGTCCACCCAATACCCAAACCCCCATCCCCTCTCACCCCAACTTTGACATCATCAGGATCCTCCTTACTCCTAGTCACAGGAGGACCAATCGACTCAGCAGCCTCCACACGGCCCCAGAACCTCGGTAATCCACACCAGTTACAGAAGCTATGGATGACAACAACGGCCAGCAACGAGCCCGTCCGCAAATAGACAAAAGTCGCATACCAGCCGAAGATAGTCGTGTAGCCGAACTGGAAGAGCGACCGCAGTAGCGCGGCCAGCGCCGGCGTGTCCGGGTGCGTCAGACAGAACTCGTAGAAGTGGTGCACGTGCGCGATGCCGAAATACAGCGGTGCCAGGAACACGATTCGGCCCGGCGAGGTGTGTGCTAGTAAATGTAGCGGTACCATCGCGGATCGGAACATGACTTCTTCTGTGAAGGGGCCCTGGGAGGATGTTAGATTGTTTTATGTTTATGTTTAATTTTATTTTTTGGTCCGAAAAAAAAAAGGGAAGAAAAAAAAAACCCTACCGCAACAAAATTCCTCCATCCAATCCAGCCACCCAGACTCTCGGAGAGCTTACTAGGCCGGAACCAGAACTTCCATTCGCCTTCGACAATGCCACGCTCGAAGAGCGGGCCGAGGAATAGAATGGCGGTTAGGAAAAGACTTCGAAGCGTCTCCAACAGGCCGACGGGCCACCAGCCGAGGAGTCTGAGACCGGCGCCGAGAGAGGAATTATCCTCCTCAACGATGACCCAGAGGACGAGGACTGAGCTTACGATACATGAGCCCGTGACGGCGCGGATGCGGGCGCGAATCACGGACGGGGCATCGCGACTGAGACTTGGAGATGGGCGGGTTGTTGGGGAGAGATAGAATGGTAGCACGTAGAGTAGTGTGAGGATGACCTGGATGGGTTAGATACGAGTCTTTTTTTTTTCCCTTTCTTTTTTCTGGCATTTTTTGGTTGTCTAGGAGTCTACATACAGATAGAAAAGCGACCGTTCGTTCTGACAGGGCAGGTTCATCTGGATTTGTTAGTTGACACTTTTTTTTAGGGTTTCCCCCTGACTTACCCTGCTTGGAGTATAGACTCTTGAGTCGAGCCATTATCCCTACGGGAGCCATGATCAGCAGAGTTGGGGGAGGTTTACTATTTATGGGATTGGAAGTTATCTTAAGAGGGAAGTGGATGTTCTTTGTTCCTGTTACCGTACGGAGGGGAAGATGGTGATTGGTTGGCAATGGTACAATACAGTATGGTATTGTTATAGTGCCCCATGGACTGGTACAGGGGAATCAATGGGAATTCCTACGATTGTTCTTTTTGATATTCGCTAATATTCGATTCTATATATATCTATACATCTATATATAAGTATATATACTAAGAGTATAAGCAATTCCAACAGCTCGAACAGGGGTTAAAAGCCAATTCGAACCGGTGGACCGTGCAAATACAAGATGTGATCTCTCACTCCCCCCTTGAGTGTCATTCATTTCAAATGTGAGTCAATGCTAGGGATCGTGGACAGTTATTCTCCGATCACGAGGAAACAGAATATTTATTGGCAATGAGCGTCTGATAATTCTGTCTGATCGGCCATTCTGCCGGACGCTATAGACTAGTGGCAGTTCGTCAGGGACAACGCACACAGTCTCCACATCGAAATTACATCGAAATTAAATGAGAAAATATGTTTGAAGGGGTCAATTGTGGTTCTCGATACTCCGCATTATGGAGTTTAGTTAGAAATTAAAGATGGCTTAGCACGTAGCAGTAGAATATAAACATAGCCAGTACCCATATATAAGAAATATAAGAAATATAACCAGAACAACCACATCCACCAGGAAAAAAGAGAAAATCAGTCCACTCGTACTTTTGAACGCATCTTGACCAATCGTTAACAACCTCCAAGTGTCAATTGACCCTCCAGTCCAGTCCAGTCCATGCAGGCTGCATCATCCCCCCTGCAGTCTAAGATCTCACCTGCTTAGACGCTCACCGCTGGGAAATTCTTTCCCCCTTCCCCCAAGTGTCTCAAACTTCTTTTGCTTCTGCTTCTGCTTCTTGTGCTTTTCGTGTCCCTTTTTTTGTTTTGAAACGTTTTAATGATTGTTTTTCCGCCAGTCACTCTCTTAATGGCCTTGGATGTTTGAAACGAACTAATTGACTCTGCACGTCTACCCACGCTCTTTTTTGATGAACATCAGCCTATAGAACAACCCTTGATATCAAAAGGGTACCACATTCCTTACATCGAATAACTCGAATTACTCGGAAAAACAACCCACTCTTTTGACGTTTTGTTTACACCTTGTTTACACTTGCTTGGATTGCCGTCGCCTTTTCGCTTCTATTCGAATCTTTTCAATCAATGCTCCAAGTGTGTCCAAATAATGTCTTTTCCCGTTCGCTCGACCTCGCCGCGCGTGCGAAGGGCATTGCACGAGCGTACGCCCTCTCACTCAAATGAAAGATCACCAACCCGGTCATTGCGCATGGTGCCCGATGAAGAGCTTGATATGTACACCACAACGCCATTCCCGACCAAACCCGAGCAGATTTTGTTACCGCTCCCTGGCAAAGGACAACAATACATATCCGACACCGGTTTCAGCTATTCGGATCACCTGGGCCCGTCCACGTCAACATATGCCTCACCGGCTTTCAGCCAAGCACCCAACAGCCCGAGAGATCTCTCAATTGGTAGCTGGGATGTATCCTCCACCGTGGATACCGGTAACTCACCTCCGCAGTTGTGGGATGATGACCCATCCTCTAGCAAGTCGTCGCTGCCAGATGTCTCAGGGAAAGCACCAGACTACGGGTCCGAGAGTTCGGAAGCCGAGTTCTCAGATGACGAGATGATGGTCTTGCCGACGACCACGCCAACGATAAAAGCCGTACTCTCAGAGCCATCCATGTCGCCAAAGTCCTCTGCGGAGTCCGTGACTGACTACTCCAGCCCCATCATCGAACAAATCGGGGCCCCGTCAAGTCCCAACTTTGTGATGTTGGATAACTCAAGTTTCCACCGCCCGGCTACAGCATCATCAGAGTCAGACCAGCGAAGGAACTCGCTCTCTTCGTATAACTCACGAGGAACCGTCGTCAGACATGCCGGCTCCGCACCCTGGTTCCAGAATGCCTTCCAGCCCGCCTCATCCGAGCAATCGAGCTATGGGGCCCGTTCATTCCACTCCAGCCCGCCCACGCAATCTATAGCCTCATTTCACTCGAGCCCGCCGGCACAGTCCATAGCTTCGTTCCGCTCGTCATCCAGGGCACCATCAGGCAGCCGTTCCCAATCAGCGACCTCATCTTCGCGCAGCCTCCGTTCCGCTTCTGACTTGCAGGCAGCCATCGACAATGGCGTGCCTATTCAATACCCACGTATTCGCGCGCCATCGTCTTCAAGCTCCCGCGCCGGCACATCAGTCACATCAGAACGCGACTTCACCCCTGGCCCTGCATCCGGACGTTGCAACCCCCACTTGGCATCAGGACGCTGGAACCCGCATCTATCAACAGTCTCCTCCATCTGGTCGGCCGATGAATCAACCAACCTCGCGGCAGAACCAGCACCAGAGACAGACTCAGACCGCGACATGGCAGAGCCAACCCCACCGCCACCAGCAGCCCTGGCAAAAGAAACAACCCGATCCTCGGTCTGGCTCGTCGAGCCCTCCAACGACAGCGAAGACGAACGCCTCGACAGCCTAACCAAGCTCCCCACCCGCCCAATCTTCTCCCAAAGCCTCTCCTCCGGCTCAAAGCGAAGCAACAGCATCCGCAGCATCCAACGCCCAGGCACGGGCTCAAGCACAATCTTCAACATCCTCCCAACATGGGCAAAGGTCTACTACCTCCGTGAACCAATGGGCCTGAACTCAACCCTCTCCATGGTCGACGGCTCCCGTCCGCCAACCCGTCCCGGAACCTCAAACTCAAGCGTCTTCAACCTCGTCCCAGGACCCCTCAACATCCCCCGTCCCCGCTCTCCAGAACGTCCCCGGACCCCCTCCCCACAACGCCAAGCACTCCCCCAACGCCGTCTGGAAAGTGACCCGCGCGATCCACGCGCCCACTGGGTCCCATCCCCACAACCCGAAGACGGCGAGTTCACGGGGAGCCACCTCCACCGCCTCCGACACAGCTGGTCACCGCATCTCATCCCGGACCGACGTGCCTGCAGCGATCGACAAGTCGATGGCGGCCGCCATCACTCGACTCGCGCCAGGAGCCTGTCCTCGGCCGTCGAAATATCCAGGTCTATTCTTTCTGTCTGGGGTTCATTTTCCCGCCGGCGTGGTGTGTCGCGGCGTTCTTGCCGTTGCCGCCTAAACCCAAGGTTGCGATGGTCGAGTTCGAGGGTTCGGATGTTGGGATGGCGCTTGAGGCTCAGTGTATCAATCTCCAGCAGAGGAGGAGGGATAATGCGCGTTGGTGGAGGAATCTTAATCGATGGATGATTTCCCTTGGGGTTGTTATTCTGGTTGTTATTATTGTGCTGGCGGTTATTGGCACTACTACGGGATTTTAACTGATCTTTTTACGCTCTTACGACTTGGACTTGCAACTTTGAGACTTTCTTTGGTGATCTTTTTCTTTTTTTTCCCCCCTTTCTTTGAGGTTGAGTCCCCTCGACCAGTCGACTGGTTTCTTTTGCTGTTCACTGATACTGCAAACCCTTCTTCTTCTTCTCTTCTTGTGGTCGCTTCTATTCAGCCTTTCATCTTCTTTTCTTCTTTTCCCTTCTCTGGCACATTGCTGTGAACGACTCCACGACTTCAACGCACATAAATATCCTCTTCTGTTACATTTTTCTTGACATTTCGACATTTGCCTGGTGACTTATGGGCTTCATATGGGATTCGATGCATGGCGACTGCCTTTGTTTGCATTTATGCTATACGTCCATGTAATGGATACGTATGTATATGTTTCTTGTTATTTTTGCTTTTTGAATTTGAATTTGAAGGGTTTTATCACATATTCTCTTTTGCTTTTCTCTTCGGTGTTCTGTGTTGTATCATACATTGGTCAATTCACTTATCGTATACTCGACTTCACTGCTCTGCTTGAAAGTAATTGTAACCCAATTCCTATTCCCTAAACCATTCAACACTTGTAACATCTATAGACACAGACCCAGACAAGACCAACCCCAACCGAGTCACCATTAAATAGAATAAAAAGAAAACACTCCTAATTATGTCTTGTAGCAAAGCGGAGTAAACCGAAAAAGCCAACGGCTATTCAACCCCTTCTATCCAATGAAACCATCACACAGTCTCAAAACTGAGTCTACAACTTCCGTCCAATCTTCTGCTCAACAGCAGCCTTCAATTCCTCACCAGTAGGCATCTTCACTGTACTTCCCCGTCTACCACGGGTCTCAATCTCAGCCTTGATCTCAGCAACAGCCTCGTCAAAGTCACGCTCAGGATCATTCGGCAGGCCGAGGTCAGGGGGACGCACGGACTCGGTGCTAGCGGTGCGAGGGACGTGGGGACGGTTGCGGCGCTTCAGCTTGGAGACGAGGTATTTCCTGAGCGGGGAGAAAGAGGCGAAGCCGACTAGGGAGACGACGATGTTGATGATACCGTAGAAGTACACACGGGACCAGACGGTGAAGGAACCATCAAAGTTGAGGATAATGAAAGGAATAACGGTGAAGGAAAGGGTTAGTTGTGTGGCTAGCCAGCTGAGGATGTCGTAGTAGCGCTTGTTTGGTGTTGGCTTGGTGCCGTCCGGTGTGAGGAAGAAGGGGCGCACGTAACGGCGGAAGTCTATTATATGGTTAGTTATGGGAGGGTTAGATCATGGAGGAGACATTTTGGTCGGCTTACTCTTTGCCACAGTCTGAACGAAAGAGCCCAGTACAAAGGTCATGTAGTATCCCGGGTGGAAACCGTGCCAGAGGGCACTGGTAGCGAAAGTAGCCAGGCTGGCGCGGAAGCCGGGTTTCTTGCCCTTGGGAGTGACACGGAGGTAGACGTAGTTGCGCAGCCAGTGGTTGGTGTTCTTGTTCCAGTTGCCCAGATAAGCGTGCGAGTTCTGCGCCGTCTCCATAGCCCAGGGATCGACGTTCTGCAGTCGGTTCCAGAAGACCTTGCCTGTCTTCGGATCAAAGCTGTTGTATCCCATGCCAGATAGGATACAGGCGCCCTCCGTCAGAGCCCAGACACCATAGTACTTGGTACGAGCGGTGAAACCAAGCATGTGCACGGTGAAAATGCGACGCAGGAAGGAATACTGCATGAACTCGTCTGAAAGCACAAAGTCGGTGGTAAAGTATGAGCTCAGTTGGATGAAGGCGAAGATCCAGATCAGTCCAGCAGCAGCCTTCATTGCGGCAGGTCTTCCGCTACGAGGAATCTTGCGCTTCTTTCGGGTAGGTGGCACCTTGGATGGGTCAGTGCCAGGCGGGACTTCGAAGAGCGTAGTGTCGATCCAACGGCGGTAATCCACATATTCAAAAGAAGGACCAGCAAAGAGAGAAGGGAAGAACATGATATAGCCCAAGTAGTCTATAATGCTCGGGAACTTTGTAATAGCAGAGTACTTCTGCGGGTCCGAGAGTTGGTCCTTGGGCAGACGGCCGTCATGAACATTCCAACAGAATGAGGTAAGTTTCATGACCATGACCATCTGCGCTCCAGTAATGTCGACGGCTGACTTTTCGTCTACCCTCTGACGCTCGATGTGGTTAATTGACATGTGTCCCATCAAGAAAAGGAACCCAATCCAAGGCATCAGGGACCCATCCACGTAGTAGGCGATTGCATAGGTGGCCGCGGCACTGTATAGGAGGGTGCGAAGACCATCCCAGAGGTCGAAGAGTCCGACAATATAGAACAATGACACGGCGATAATGAAGACATTCTTTTTCCAGGGTTGACCGTCGGGGATACGTTTGAGGAGGGCGGCCAGTGGGTAGGAGAGGAGGAACGAGCCGATCAGCTTGACTGGAGCTGGTCAGAAATTGCTAGTAATGTCGGGAGCTTATGGAAAAGGAAGATCGTACGCTCATCAGTCGATGCGCCAGTGAGTTTGGCTGGCACCTCGAATACTGCGGGGAGAAGTGTTAGTGACCGAGGAGCTTCCAGCTATTTAGGGAGTTGACTTACTCTGGTCTACATAGGGCAACATATTGTTGGCCTTGTAGAAAGAGAACAAAACAGACAAAACAGAAAGAAGAATAAGAAAACAGATGAGAGCAGAGAAGAAAAGAAAAAAGAAGCAAAGGAAAAAAAAAGGGCGAGAGAAGAAAAACAGCTTGTCATGTGGAAAGTGGAATTTCCCCCAACAACTTCCCGCTCCACATTCAACCCCTCGATCTTCAACAGCTTCAACAGCTTACAGCTTAAACAGCTTCCATAATATAAGCCAACACTTTGAGACATATCCCCTGGTGAAATATCCCATCATGGATGTCGTCGCGGCTGCCTCGGGGTACATCTCCAAGATGGTCACCGTGGGTGAGTCCGGGGCTTCGTCATCCAAGATGAAGATCTTGCTTCTTGATAGTGAGACAGTGGGTGATTTTACCCTGATAGCAATATACTGATTTCGATCGCTAACTCCTATGGTCACAGGTCCCTATTGTTTCGACCGCCATTACCCAATCCGCCCTTCTTAATCATGAGGTCTACCTCATCGACCGCTTGGACAATGCCGCGCGCGAGAAGATGCGACATCTGCGATGCCTCTGCTTCGTGCGCCCATCACCTACCTCTATTCAGTTTTTGATTGACGAGCTTCGAGAACCTAAATACGGCGAATATTACATCTACCTTAGCAACATCATCCGAAAATCCGCCCTTGAGCGGCTGGCAGAAGCGGATAGTCACGAGGTTGTCCAGACCGTCCAGGAACAGTTCGCCGACTTCCTCGTCATCAACCCGGACCTTTGCTCTTTAGGGATGGGTTTCCCATTGCAACGGTTATGGAGCCATTCGCCGGACTTATGGAACCCAGATTCACTACAAAGAGCCACAGAGGGGGTCCTGGCCTTGCTCCTCGCTTTGAAGAAGAACCCGCTTATTCGCTACGAGAAGAACAGTCTACTGGCCCGGAAATTGGCCACAGAGGTCCGATACCACATCACGCAGGAGGAGCAGCTATTTAACTTCCGCCGGACGGATACACCGCCTATCCTGCTCGTTCTTGACCGCCGCGATGATCCCATCACCCCGTTGCTGACCCAGTGGACGTATCAGGCCATGGTGCATGAGATGCTTGGCATCAACAATGGCCGCGTGGATCTACAGGATGTGCCAGACATCCGACCAGAACTGAAAGAGATTGTCTTGGCTCAGGACCAGGACCCGTTCTTCAAGAAGAATATGTACCAGAACTTTGGTGATCTGGGCCAAAACATTAAAGAATATGTGGAGCAGTACCAAACCAAAACTCAAAGCACTGCGAATATCGAGTCCATTGCGGACATGAAACGTTTTGTGGAGGATTATCCCGAATTCCGCAAGCTGGCAGGTAATGTGAGCAAGCATGTTACCCTGGTGGGCGAACTCAGTCGGCGCGTCGGCGAGGATACCCTTCTTGACGTGAGCGAGTTGGAGCAGAGCTTGGCATGCAATGATAACCACTCCAATGATCTCAAGGTATGTCCACAGGTTGAACTGATTATGTTTTGCTCATGAACTCACTCTTTTCCAGTCACTACAACGGATCATCGGGCTGCCAAATGTGCCCTCAGATAATAAGCTGCGCCTGGTGGCTCTCTATGCCCTTCGCTACGAGAAGCAACCCAACAATGCGCTGCCAATCCTCCTTGATCTCCTCGTCACAGCGGGCGAAGTCTCATCTAACCGCGTAAATATCATCCCCAAGCTCCTCGCCTATCACCACTCCCTCCAAGCCCCACCAGTCGCAGGTGGGTTCTCCGACCTCTTTGAATCAACGTCCTTCTTCTCCGGCGCTAGCAGCCGCTTCAAGGGCCTTAAAGGTGTGGAGAATGTCTACACGCAACACTCCCCCCGACTGGAAGTGACTCTCCAAAATCTCATCAAAGGCCGCCTGAAGGAACTGCAATACCCCTTCCTCGAGGGCAGTGGACACACGCGTGACAAGCCGCAAGACATCATCATCTTTATGGTTGGCGGCACCACATACGAGGAGGCCAAGATGGTAGCGCAGGTCAATGCCAGCTCCCCGGGTGTGCGAGTAGTTCTAGGCGGCACTTCCATTCACAATAGTACAACCTTCTTGGAAGAGGTTGACGATGCAGTAAGTAGCTGGCCAGAACCAGGACCTTCGACAGCTGCAGGACGGCTGCGACGGGAGGTGGGACGATAATTGTGTTTTAGTGTATATGGATAATGGAATAGCATTATGTCGAATAAGGCCTGCAATGAGAGTCAATTTCAATAGAAACTAGAAAAGAGAGCATTTGATGGCAATTTATTTTCGTCTGTGTCGCTGTCGCCTTCCGTATGAAGAGAGAACCCCAAATGCGGAGAGATTCATCTCCCTCTTTCTCCCCTCACCTGAGCCCACATCATGGAGCAGACATCCCCAAAAGGAGGGCCTTCCTCTCCAGCACCACGCGAACCAAAACTCCATCTCCCTTCAACAACCGATCCACCGGGCCCCCAGAATCCCGCCAAACCCCTCGTATGGCTGGTATACAACCCCTCCCGCACAAAAACCACCAACACACTTAACACATCTCAGATCTTCGGCGCAACCGGCCACATGGGCCGCTCCTTAGTAAAAACCGCCCTCACAAACAATGACCTAGTAGCAGCCGTCGGACGGACATACGAGAACAGCCCCGCAGCAATGAAAGAGCTCGAATCCGCCAACTGCATCGGACTCCTCTGCGACGTACGAGCACGCGAGACCGTAAAACGCGTGATAGACCAGACAATCGCGCACTTCGGCCGAATCGACATAATCGCAAACTGCTCCGGCTACGGCGTCATCGGCGCCTGCGAAGACCAAGATGAATTCGACATCCGCAACCAATTCGAAACAAACTTCACAGGAACCCTGAACATGATCCAGCTGTCGCTGCCGCATTTCCGCCAGCGTCGCGCGGGCAGATATCTCATTTTCAGCTCGACGTCTGGTGCTCTCGGCGTGCCCGGGCTTGGACCTTACTGCGCCTCTAAATACGCTGTCGAGGGCTTGATGGAGAGTATGCTGTATGAGGTGGATAGTTTTAATATTAAGGGTACGCTTGTTGAACCGGGTCATATGCGTCGGGACGATATTGGGGATTTGGTTTCTTCGTCTGCGCTTGCTCCGAACCCCTCTGAACATCAGCTTTCGTCGCCTTTGCCGCTGTACGGTCATTTCTTGGTTAAGCCGCCCAGTGAGCCGTATAATACGACTACGTCGCCGGCGGCGCATGCGCGTCGGATGCTCATGTGGTTGGGTGATAAGCAGCCTGCTAGTGCGGTTAAGGCGGCGCATTTGGTCTGGCAGCTTGGGCATTGCTCTTACCCGCCTCTGAGGCTGATTCTGGGTACGTATGCTGTTGAGAGTGTACGGGATCGGTTGAAGTGTATTATTGAGGAGATTGAAGATTGGAAGTATCTCAGTTTTCCGACGGGTGAGACGCAGGCGGCTGGAGGACGTGAGAGATCTTCTGCCCAGGAGGGGGGTGAAGGGAATGAATTGGGCAACGGATGATTTTGTCCTTGTTAACGTCTTATAAGTCTTACATGATACCCCGGAGGATTCCAATAGTTAGTTGACTAGTTAACAGTCCATACCTAGGACCTAGGCATTTAATTGGATGCTACCCGAAGGACAAACTCCCGAACTGGCTATAGTATCTGGCTATAGCAACATGAAAGTGAAAATGAAATTTCATCAGGCTATGGATAAGGGTATAGCAACGCAAAAGAGAAAACAAAACAAAACAAAAAGAATTCTAGTCAAGGCTCTCAAAGCTCAAAGCCGCTTCATTGACTTGGTCAATGCACCCATAAGGTCAGGTCCCTCACAATTGACCAATACCCAGAAAGATGACAACCTTGTGCTGGCGGGAGAGTCACGCGATGTCATCTTTGATGGGACCGAGATGAGGAATGTTGGGGTCAGATTTGCTGAGATAGATAGAGAAGTTCAAAAGGATATCACCGCCAGGATATTTTGTTTCGCTCATCTTCCCACATTGGAAGGTTGCGGTGACATCCAGCGACGACATGGAGATGTGTTGTCGTCAATAATCGATGAACCAGGTCGTTTATGGACTTGATTTAGAGCCAGGCGGAAAGCCGAACATCATTCGAGCAAAGGTCAGTTCGACACGCAGACCAATACAAGGTGGGCAGCTTTCCTGGTCCGTGCTCCGGTGCCCAGATGGGCCGCCTTGACGTCTTTCTGATTTGAGGCTGGTTGGTTTCCCTCAGCTTTCGTGACTCGCGTGACCATTGTGTCTCGGTAAGCTCTCTCGAGGAGGGCTTCATCGGGTGGCCCATGGCATCTTTGTCGCTTCTCAGCCGCCACAGTGTCATTCAAGCCTTCCCCCAGCACGTTTCTTTGGCGCTTGAGGACGCGGAGTGTCGAGCCAGCGAATCGAAGCTTAGATCGATACCATTTGCATCGAAAATGGTGACAAGTCTCTGGCCAACTCTCTCTTGGAAACGGCCCTTCAGGCGGTATTCACTTCCACATCTAACGTGTCCCTCGGCTGGATCATTCAGAGTCGGGACCACGTGGTGCTTCCAAGGTCGTGTCATGTCCTGGTTAAAGGAGGCCCAGCGTGCCAATCGACCCACGTACTTGACTTTGTGGATAGCACTTGAATTGTTATTGATGGGCCTGTCTTTGGATCAGGCGGAGATTTCTGGAGGAGCTTGCTTGACAGGAGTAGACATTTTGTGTTTGGTAATTCTCTCAGTTTAGAAAGAAAGTGAAGCTAGGCTAACCAGATGCCTAGGTATTCAGGGTTCAAGTTGGAGTCTGTACTCGGCGTTCTCGAGAGCCCTGTTGGCGTTGGCTTCATCGAGTTTGGCTTGGATCTCGGTAATGTAATTTGATTCATCCTCTAATTGTGCAACTTTTGATGCAAGGAAGTCTCAGTTGACCGAGAGCTGAGAGATTTGGGAGCTCTTGGACGCTGTGACAGTTTTTGATGGGCGATCTCAGGGATTGTCATCCCTGACAGTGATTGGGATGATGAATGGAGATGAGAAAGTGGAGAAGTGGGAAAGAGCTATTTAAGGAAATGGCACGTGATTGAGTTTTATATAGTTGGGAATAGCTTCATCTTCATGTCTATTTTAAGAATATGACCGCACTCATATAGTTGAGTCTTTTTTAGTCTCTTCTTTGGTCTTGTCTTGTCTCCTTTTTTTGGTGTCTTTTCGAGTGTCTTCTTTCCTATCTTAGTGTAGCGAGTTACATTACGAGAAGAATATGGTCCCAGAAACGGTTGGACAGTAACCGATCGCCATTTTCAAGAAGCGTCCTATAGTAGACATAGAATATATGGCCTCATATATAAAGATAAAACGTCCCTTTCGTTAGCCGATGCACACGATGTATGATGGCTGTGTTTCTATAACTAAGTTGGACACCCGGAATGTAGAATGCTTTAACCCGAGGGTGCCCCGGTTAAGATTGCAGACTCAGCCGAGCAGGTGTATAACGGGCCAGAGGCCAATCGGAAGTAACCTATATAGATCAGACCCCTATAAGACCTATCTACTTCGTAGAGCTAATTTCAATAAGAGATTATACCGATCCGGCCGGAAACACAGAACCTTTATATGTCTGGGCATCGTTATTATAGATGTCCCTCCTTCAAATGTATATCGAGATGATGAGAAAGTACGTTTGAGATAGATCAATTGGTACTAAACGAATCCTCGAAGGATTTATAGTGGTCTGCACATACGCGTGGCGCTGCTCGTCCGCTACTTCCTTAGTACTCCGTGGCCTGTCTTTTATACTTAGACCCCCCTTCATCGGTCTACCTCTCCTTATCTTCGAACACTCACTATGACACGAGTTCTCCGCGTATTCAAAGTCTTTCACCATGGATTCCAGGGAAATGTACTCGACTTTATCCCTATGAGATTATAGTGCTGACACACTTACTAGCAATGTCGACGTTTTGGTTATCGGTGCTGGCCCGACTGGTCTGGGCACTGGCCAAGCGTCTGCAGCAGATGGTAAGGTTGAATTAGAATATCAAAGCTGGAGAATATTACCCAGCTGCTGACAGAATTTAGAAAAGCGCCTCGTGGTTAATCATTGACTCGGTCGAAACCCCCGGCGGACTGGCCTCCACTGACATTACTCCAGAGGGCTTCGTAAGTCACTGTAACGAGGAAAGCATAACATGATCGGATAGTAATTGCTGTGCAGTTATTCGGCGTCGGTGAACATGTTATCTTCTCCCACTACAAGTATTTTGACGACTGCCTCAATGAAGCCCTTCCCAAAGCCGAGGATTGGTACGAGCATCAACGTGTCTCCTTTGTCCGCTACGAGGGGCGCTGGGTCTCCTACCGTTCCAGAACAACATTTCCGTCTTGCCCAAGAAGGAGCAGGTCAAGTGCATTACCAGTCTGATGGACGCGGCCCTGGAGGCTCGTGCCCGTCCGGCCAGCGACAAACCCGCCAACCTCGACGTCCCGTAATGTCGGCGAGCGACCGAACGAGATCTCCATGCGTCCGTACAACTTTAAGGTCTGGGCTGTGCCCCTAAGCAAGATGACCGCTATCTGGCTTGGTGAGCGTATGGTCGCCCCTAACCTGAAGCTGTTGACTAGTAATGTCATCCTTAACAAGGTGGCTGGCAACTGGGGACCTAATGCCACTTTCAACTGGATGCCTGGTCTTGGGCCCGCCGTTCTGGGAGAAAGTTCATTCCAAAATATGGCTGTCAAGCGAAGCCATATCTGGACCAAGCTGGGAATGCTGGCTAACGCGGGAGCCGGAGGAGCAGATGGCAGCCAGATTGTGCTGTTCCTCCAGGGTGCTTTGGCCAACATGTCTTCGTTGTGGGTGGAACATGCTGCGCAGGAGACGAGAGCATTGCGCAATGGTTCAGCGGAGAAAGGTTTTCTGTATAGGCAGTGTTGCGGACTGTGCGCCCTTCACCCTAATGGATCTCACCGTCAGATTCCCCTCCCCCATGGGATAGAGTAATTTTACGACTTCCTCGAGCCTTCGTCTGCAGCTCCGCAATGACATAATTCAGGATCCTAGATCTGTCAGGAAAGAACGGAAGAATCCACTCCGACCAGGAAAGACTATACTCTTTGCCTTATGGTGGGGCTGGACCTCGTGGGGGCAATATTACCGTATTCGGAAAGTTGCGGCGCATTGTGGGCCTTCCCCCACGTTTCAACGTTCCCTTATGGGGACAATACTACCGTATTATGAAGGTTGCGACATATTTTGCTGCGAATGGATGGGGACTGAAACTTTGGATCCGCAAATAAATCGCCCACTTGTTACTCAGTTAGGTAAAAAGAGTTATCAAGTCGACATGTCTCGGGTCACCGGGCAAGTTTCCCTGACGGACCCGAACTTCGCCTGATCTCACGCGGGGCCACTTACTGTAGGCTATGCGATATGTTTCTGTTGACATCAGTCCAGGCGAAGACCCTCCTAACTATAGAAAGGGTCCCATTTATAAACTCTTTCTCGCGTCCTGCGTGATTCACTCCGAAAGTGTAGCATAAAGCCACAGGTCCCTACACTTCGGTCTCCCACTACCATCATCTTCCATCACAACCAATATGGCACCTTCGACTCATTTCAAGCTTAATACCGGCGCCCAGATTCCCACCGTGGGACTTGGTACGATACAAAGCGCTGGTTTCTGCGGGCCTTAGCGATTTTTTGCTGACAAGAGATACAGGCACTTGGAGATCTGAACCTGGTCAGGTACGTCAAGCAGTCTCGTTCGCCCTCAAGAACGGATATAGTCACATTGATGCTGCATTGTAAGATTCCCATGTCACTTTTGTAGCGCATACTCTTGGCTAACAAATTATAGGATATACGGTGCGTTGTAACAAAGAAAAACAAGCAAGTTTTTGGGGTCTAACGCTCTAACGAGATAACTAGGAAACGAGCATGAAGTCGGCCAGGGTATCAAGGATAGTGGTGTCCCCCGCGAAAACATTTTCATCACCAGCAAGCTGTGGAACACCCACCAGCCCAATGTTGGGGAAGGTCTCCAAAAGACACTTGACGCTCTCAGGGACGGATTACCTCGATCTCTACGTAAATTAACCCTTTCCCTCTTTTGGGCAGACGCGGCACGCCTGTCGACAGCTCGGCTAACATAACATCAGCTCATCCACTGGCCAGTCCGACTTGTTCCTGTAAGTCACTCCGCTATTTCCCTCCATCGGACATAAGTATGGCTAACTTGAACGCACAGAACGAGTCGAGCGCCCTTCTCCCAGTCAATCCCGATGGCACGCGATCTGTCGACCGGTCCTGGGACCAGAGTGAGACCTGGCGCCAAATGGAAGACGTATACAAGGCCGGCAAAGTGAAGGCGATCGGCGTGGCCAACTGGTCGATTCCCTACCTAGAGGAGCTGAAAAAGAAGTGGACCGTGGTCCCTGCTGTCAACCAAGTCGAGTTACACCCTTTCCTTCCTCAGCACGCACTGAAGGATTGGTGTGACAAGCATGGAATCCTCCTCGAGGCGTATTCACCACTTGGTTCCGAAGGTAAGTGCTCCTTCGCACGCTATGTGGAGTTTCCATAAGATGTAACGCTAGCTAATCTGGGTTGGTTTCAGGTGCTCCGCTCATGTCTGATCCCGCAATTCAGGAGATCGCTAATAAGAATGATGTTTCACCCGCTACTATACTCATCAGCTACCACGTCAACAGAGGCGTTGTTGTACTGCCCAAGTCTATTAGCGAAAATCGAATCGTGAGCAACAGACAAGTCATCCCTCTTTCACGCGAGGATATGGATGTGCTGAACGGCCTGGCTGCACAAGGAAAGGCGAAGCGTATCAATACGCCTCTGTTTGGATGGGATCTCGGTTTCGATGACTGGTACAAGCAGTGAAGTCCCCAGATTTGGATATGGAGTACAATCCTTTATGGGAAATGCCACTTTTTATAGACTGAAAAGGAGATTGAGATGTAGATAGTGAAATTTGCTGATCGCTAAAACCTCCAGGGCTGTCCTGCCTGAAATCGAAGAAATAGAATGTAATCCAATCGGGTTCCTGTGTCTCCCACAGCGAGTGGCAGAGTACATGCAGCGATCGAAGAAGTGAAAATAAAGAAGTGAAATCACTCGTGCTGAAATGATAAGAAATCTTTGTCTAGTTTCCCTCTCTGCTCCTTGGGACGCAGATCAAGTCGCTAAGATTCTTTAACACAGATGATGAAACTGCACTGCGAGATCCTTCGATTCCCCCAGAAACATCTCAGCGCGTGTTTCTTATTTACGAAATCCTAGTTGATGAACAAAAACTCGGTCTTTTAAAGGAACAATATATTTCATCTACCTAGGTATGAAACCTAGACTTTGTAAGGAGGTGGGGAAATGCCCTCCTTCAGCGCTTTCAATCTCAAAGCCAATAATTTGGAGGCATACCGAGTCATTGGAAGGAAACCAACCATGATCCACATGTTCGGCACTCCCGTCTCCCGGTAGGCCGTCTTGTACTCGCCTTCCTCATCAATACCCCAAATAGGTCCGCATTGGCTGGCAATCTTCTCACCCAAAGTGGCTCGAATGGAGTCGATGGTGTTCGTAAATCCCGTGGCAAACACAACTAGGTCAAACTCCTTCTCACGGCCCCCGTTCAAGATCACCTTATCTTCGGTGAACTTCTCAATGAAGCCTGGCTCTACCTTGATGTTGCCATTGATAATTTCCTCGCAAGCACCGGCATCGAAGTAGAATCCACCGTTCCGCGTCTGACCTAGTGTGAAGTTGCCAGTATCACGCTGGCCGCGCCATGTTCGCAGTCCTCGAGCGTTAAGAGCTTCGAGCAGGGGCCTGTCGAGATCCTCAAGAACCTTAGCGGTGCGCCTGGCAAGTTCCTCGCCAGGTCCAACTGGGGTAGAGAACATGAGGCGATCCTGCACTTCCATATCGGGGAGATGGCCATTCACGTCGGGTGCGTAACCTCCAAGCATGCGTGGAACAGAATGGGTCAAAGACATGACGTAAGTCGGTGACCGTTGGAGGAGGGTCACATCAATCCCCAGGCGGGCGCACTCGTAAGCTGTGTCAAAGCCCGAGGACGAGGTACCGACGACGCAGACCTTCTTTCCTACAAAGTCACGAGCACTCGTGTGGGCGCTGGAGTGACGGATCACGCCCTGGAAGTCAGCCATGCCAGGCACGGCCGGGGTGGAAGGGACGCCACATAGCGACGTGGCTATGATGAGTTGCTTAGGGTGCAGCGTGCGAGTCTCCTTTCCCTCCTTGTTGATTACAACGGTCCACTTACCCTCGGCGTCCTGCTCAGCATTCACAATCTCCGATTTGGTCCAGACATTGAGCTCCAGAGCGGAGGCATACCACTTCATGTATAGACCCTGCTTTTGAGCCGGGGTATAAGTGGGCCAATGCTGAGGGTAATTGAAATATGGCAAGGCATCGGGCCAGTGTGGGAAGTGCAGTGAAAGATACTCGTAACGCTTCTTCCAGATATCTCCGATTTCGTCGCTGCGTTCGATGATCAGGTGTTCCATACCAAGGACCTTCAAGCGCGCTGCCATAGCGAGACCACTAGTAGAAATAATTTAGCACTATATCATGGACCTCACTTGCATGGGTTCTTACTTTTGACCACCACCGATGATCAGCACCTCGGGGTCAACAGTGTTGATGGCCTCGGATCTCTGACTCTCCCAGCTAGTGATACCGGTCATGTGCCCATCTGGTGCGGCCTGCTCAGGGAACTGCTTGAGGCTCTCGGCAACAGTATGCATGGTGTAAATCCTCCAGCCATCTTGAGTGAGTACTGCATTGATGACGGCCGAAGCAAGGACTATTTCAGTCTCGAAGGATACAACAAATTGCAGCTGAGAGAAGTCGGGGTAAGGGCGAGACACCGAAGGTGCAGGCTCGATAAAATTGAAATTCCTAGCCTTGGTTTGAGGCAAAAGGTCGGTAGCGGCTTTTAAGATGGCCTCTCTAAAGTTGAATGTGCGGAAGTCCCAGGAGAATGAGAGCTTGTCACGCCACACGCCTGTACACCCGAGGTCAGCTAAAATTGAGATTGCGGCGCCTTGTTTACGAAGGATCTCACCATAATCGAGGAACAGCCCCGCGAAACCTTGCGCATCTCCCTCCGATGTGGCTGCAGAGAGATGGGCAACGATGCCCTCGGCCTCCTTTTGAGCATCACAATTGGTGGGGATCTTAACGGCTAAAATGTCGGTAGTGGGGAGACTGTGGTTGTACTTGAAGTCGTACATGAAGTCGTCCGCTACAGGCTTTGGGACCTGGTCGTGGTTGAGCACCGCGCTTTCAGACAGGAGGCTAGGCTTAGAGACGGGTTTGGCGCCAGCGGACTCTTGAATGTAAGGTGCCATTTTCTCTTATTATGATGGGAGTGATGCTGAAAAGGTGCCTCGTAACCAATGTTCACAGTCTGATCTCGCGAAGATTCGAATGATATCTACACTGTTCAACGACCGAACGATTGAATGATCTATATATCTACTACATATCATATCTACTATGTGTCCACAAAATGAGAAGTTGATCAACTCAAATCTCCGAATCGGGAAAGTGCCGCCGCATTTCAACCGTATTTAGTCTTATATCACACCCCGCACGATTGACTGGTCAACTCCTTAATCCTTGACTTGCTGTTTCTGGATATGCCCGGCGATGATATACCCTCGTGGCAAGATTCGCCGATATTGCCTCGCGGGTTCTGAATCGGATGAAGCCCATTAACAGTTACGATATTTATATTTCCAGCTAAAACTGTCTTTCCTTTGTAGTTAGCTCCGTGCCTACTCTCCAGTGTGTCCCTACTCCTACGGGAGGTCAGCTTCCCTTACAAGTCCCGAAAAGGCATAGAATCCCGGCCCTGGTTGCTCCTAGGATACCGATTGATATTCCTAAATCCCTCAGGCCCCGTAGGGATCATTTGTTAATTCAGGGGAGTCCTCGTGCATTCCCCGGAGCTATATCATGTCTGCAAGTGAGAAGACTAGGCAGTCTAGGAAGACCAAGTGGTTTGGGGGGACTAGATCGTTTGAATGGGCAAAAATATGATGTACTGTTGTAAATGATAAAACGCGGTGGTTTATTCGGGAGTCTAGTTCAACCTTTACACATGATGTGAGTACTTCGTACCTGCTACAAGGCCGATTTGATGGGTTGCAATACTGCAAACCTGAGACAGAGTACACTTCTTCCACAAGTGGCATGAAATTGGAGATGAAGACTTCTGATCTTATGTCTATTTTCTTCCTATCTTGTAATATATGCAATCAACTACATACATTATTCCATGATGGGTAGACCATTGTCGTCGAAATAAACGGGAACACCCTTGCGGAATGAGTACTGCAGAGCAGCGCAGATCTTGCCCGCCTCGAAGGCATCCTCTGGTTGACAAGTCAAGGGCATGTTATCAAGCACAGCATCGGCGAACTCAGCAAGGTCAGTCAGGAATGTCGTATCGAAGAGAGTGAACGCATCAGGCACAGATTGTGTGCGAATACCGAGATGGTCGCGAATCTCAACATTCGAGTTAGCGCTGATGATCGAATGTCCTTTGGTGCCACACAATCGAGTTGTATCCTCAAACCCGCTGGTGAGGGTGCGACCAAGGTAAGTCTTGAGAATCTTGCCATTGGCAAATTCCACCAGGCCCCAGGCGTTGTCGGCGTCGCCATACTTGGCTAAGTCACCGTAGACGGCCACCTGACCGAAAGCGATGACTCTATTGACTTGCTTGTTAGGGCTGGAGATGCCTGACTTGACATCCAACAGGTATCTTCCGGCGTCGACCTAGTGACGTGTTGGTGAATAGGACAGTGAGTGAGGAAGAATACTGGGACTCACAGTGTGGATGCCAAAATCAAGGAAGATGCCGCCAGACTGCTCAGAAAATGACACAAAAAAGGCTAATCAGAACGGTCAGTCCATCAGCCTATACGAAAGATAACGACTGGGGGCAATTAGGGAGGTACCGTTGGGGTCTGCTTGGTCGATACCAGTCGTCTCAACAGCGTGGATTTCACCCAGGGTTCCATTATCGACCAGGGCCTTAGCCTGGCGGTAGGAGGTGTCATCTGGTGCGAGTCAGTCTCTGAACTCTGTAAAGCGCGAAGCCTAGTGTTACTTACATCGGCGAGTGAAGGGAACGAGGAACTTTAGGTCAGGCCTAGAAGCAGACTTCTCGACCACTGCCTTGGTAGTAGCGATGTCCACAGAGACAGGCTTCTCGCACATAACGTGCAAGCCTAGATCAAGGGCCTGCAATATCAAGGGCGCGTGAGTAGCCGTCGCGGTGCAGATGAGAACAGCCTCAGCGTCGCTGTTCTTCAAGCATTCTTGAGGGTCTGAAAAATACTGGACAGACGGGGGCAGATTCTCTGCGGCCCATTTGTCAGTGCCTGGCTTCGTATCGCAGACGGCGACGAGTTCGATTCGAGGCTGCTGGAAGGCGAGGATGCGGGCTCGAAGGACTCCGAGACGACCGAGGCCGAAAAGTGCCAACTTGACACGGCGCTCCCCGTACGACATGGCTCAAGGTATGTGGTGAGGTGAAGTTTCTTGAACGCGGTGGTGGTCGTTGCGGTGTAGGAAATGTAATGAAGAGAGATTGTCTAGTAAAGCGGTAGAGTGCGATAGATTGTGATTTTGTACTGTCTGAGATCCGGGTTATTCATTAAAACCTGCTCTCTGCTCTAGAGCAGATCTGTACCATCGGCGTAACCACAAGCTTCCCCACATGTTGGACACTATCCGAATTCGTGTATTGTGCAAGGTGTAACCGAGAATGTAGGAATCGTCGCCGATGGTTGACCAAGGGGTTTTCTCGGTACTCTGCAAAACATATCGCCTATCGAGCTCTAACCCCGACCAGCGGCGACATTCGTGCAATATTATTAGAATTACTGGAAATAGTAAGTCGGCGAGAATTGCCTGATAGGGTCATTGTCGCGATCTATCTCCACTTTTCCTGTATACTTTTCGTATAGCACAGTGGCCTCGAAATTGCGGAGTTGAGAAAAAGAAAACAAATTCATATGCCTGGAGATGAGATGGCATTTGCTGCGTTGATAGTCCTTTTTTTCTCCGTACTAAAATCCACCTAGAGATGAAAGTCTCTCAATGTGGCAATTAATACTAGTTAGAACCGCATTTATGAAATTGATCCATATCATTATATACAGAATGCGTTTTTGAGTCGCCAATACTGTTGCTAGTTAATATATTTCATTTCTACCGTTGGAAATTCTCAAATGATCCCTCAGTCAGATTGCTATACAAACAGGCCAACGTAGTACCCAAACAGCTCTGGAGGATATACCTGCTACAGTAACCTAGTGTGACGCGTCTAGGCTCTCAGCTCTTCGGTTATAATACCCCGCCTCACCGTTTCAACAGCGGATCTCATAAGCTCTCTCTCAGCAAGACCCTGCACATCCCCAAACTCCTCGTCCATTTCCTCTAGTGTTTTGCCTTTAGTCTCAGGAACCAATAGCAGTGCCCAGACCCCAGCCGAAAAGCACATCACCGCGAAGAAGATATAGGTTCGATAGCCCTGGGTTTCCATCATCGGGGGTGTAGCTACTCCAATGACGAAATTGGAGAGCCAGTTGACACAGGTGGCCAAAGCGACGCCCTTGGATCTAGACGCTGTGGTGAAAACCTCCGAAGGAAGTGCCCACCCCAAAGGTGAGTAGGAAACACCAAAGACTAGAATGAATAAGAAGGCGAAGGCAACACAGGCCCAGCCAGCTGCAGAATGAGCCATCCAATCACTGGAAAATAACCCGCTTAAGATCGAGATGATCATGTAGCAGAGGGCGCAGCCAAACCCACCAAAAATGGCAAGAGGGCGACGTCCCACTCGGTCAATTGTTGCAACGCAAATAAAGACCCCAACAAGCTGCAGGATATTGAAGACGCCAGATAGTATCAACGACATCTCATCTGATTGGCCGAGTGATCGGAACAGAGTAGGCGCGTAGTAAATGAACGCGTTGACGCCGGAGAACTGTTGGAAAAAGGATACACCGACTGCGACAACCGTCCGGCGCCAATTCTTCTTCTTTAACAAATCTAGCCAACTGTGCACTTCCAGCTTCCAGCCCTTAACCCCAGGATGGGAGTGTTCTTCCACAAGGCGCTGAAAGACGACCTCCGCGAGGATGCCACGGTATTCGGCTTGCACGCGCTCATCTGTAGCCGGGAGGTTTCGGAGCCTGGCCAAGCTGGCCAGACATTCTTCGGAACGGCCCACGAGTGCAAGCCACCGCGGAGAATACGGGAAGAAGTGTATACAGATGCCTAGTGCCGTAGCACATACCATCTGTAGGCCGAGGGGAAGTCGGAAAGAGATAGAGCCTTGTAGGAGTCGGGTTCCGAAGGTGATCCAATATGCGATCACAACCCCGGAGACGAGAGAAACGGACTCCAGAACTAGCAATGTCCCACGAAGGTTCGGTGGTGCAATTTCCGAGATGTAGAGAGGTGCTGTCTGAAGAGGAAAGTCAGCAAACTGCCACGAGAAGGCCGAGAAGAGAGAGCATTTACCATAGCCAAAGTACCCACGCCAATACCACCAATCGCTCTCCCAGCAACTAGACTTCCATAGTTTGGGGCAGCTGTCTGAATGATTGCACCAATGTCAAAGAAAACCACAACAACAGTCAATGCCCACTTCCTGGAGACCTTGTCTGCAAGGTAAGGCATGAACAGACAACCAACAAACGACCCAAGCAACAGCATTCCAGTCATGAACCCCGTGCCAAATGAAGTCTTAGTCTCGGGGAAGACTGCATGGAACTGGTCCATCACATTGATGATGGAGATGACACCTTGGTCATATCCAAACGAGAAACCACCCAGCGAGGCCAATAAGGCCGCCCCAACCACGTAGCCGGATGAAAAAAAGACCTCGCACCCCATTAGGGCCGTACGCATCGGTGGAATGGCCGAGCGCATAATGCGTTTCGACGGTGCTGATGACAGTTACTTCCTCATGTTCTGAAGATGGTTCAGCCACGGACTTTTCCATCTTTGTGCCTATGTCTTCGTCCATTTGGCCATTGAAGGGGAATAGAAGTGTGATTTGTTACGGACACAGATCGTGTAGATAAGGCGATGTATGGAAGCGAGGTGGATAAACCTGGGACTCCAGATTCTTATATTTTTATATTAGGTACATGCTGCCGTGGAATTTGTGGATCCGGGTTTCAGGGGCCAAATTGGCCAAGTTGAATTGAAGCCTTTCATTTGTTAGGGTTGAAGATGAGTGCTAAAGTTTGGAGTTAAAGCCGGGGAGGAATCCGAGAAATTACGGAATAGGGAAAGCTGCGGCGACAAGAAGTGCCGTGTTATTCGGCGATCCCATCCGCATAATATAATTAGACCTCACAATATGTTTTATAGAGTACTGCCAAGCAGTCCATGCGTCTATTAGCAGCATAAATCATCCCTACTGATTCCAGGCTTCAAGAAGTATCTCTTCTGTAGATCACATTTGACAGTTCCCTAACCAGTAAGCTTAGTTCCAGCCCATCTTCCGCTCTCACATACTACCTAGGTAGGTTTTAAGCTTCAATCATGCTCACAACATTTGAACATTCGGAGACGGTGATACAAGGGCAAGAGGCGAAGGGCAAGAGAGAGTCTCTTTCTTACATTTTCGAGTGGATAGCCCTGGAGCAAATCATCGATTACAAAACAATTGGCGGGACTACCTTACGTATAATATCGAGCTCCTTTGGGAGTCGGAGCCCTAAATTGGACCGGAGAGAAAAGAAATCTTTTCCTTCCTCTCTTTTCTCTGCTAAGTGCCCCTTCCACCTCTTCCACTTCCAACCTCTCCCACTTCCAACCTCTCCCACTTCCAAAATGCTGAGCATCATCAGACCCTGTTCGCTTTCTTCACCGACCGCACCAATGCAGCACTCTCAGAGGGAACGTTGGGAGGATCACTTGCCTCGATGATGAAATGCAATTACTGAGCATTGTGGTGCTGTCCGATCCAAACAAGAAGTCCAGCTAAGCTGAGCATCAAACCAGGGTGTCTCTTCATCGGCCAGGGCCTCCGATCGTAACAAGGAAACCACTTGCCTTGATGATGAAATGCAATATACTCCGAGGAGCACTGTGACCCTATTCAATGCAAACAACAAGCCAGTCAAGGCTGAGTGTCATGCCTGAAGTCGTCCATACTGACCTGGAATTTCTGTCAAGCGAGTCAAACGCCTGCCACATTCTGGGATGTGATAAGTTGGGAAGGAAGTATAGTCCTGGTCGGTTGTTAGTCAAGGACGAAGAAGGGAAGAACTTAGAAGGCCTTGTGAGGAACTGAAAAAAGCAAAAAAAAAAAAAACGATGCTCTAACAGAGCAGCTTAAGAAACATGAGCTCAGGCTAGATGACCTAGAAACGGAATCACTGCCTTCGAGAGATGACACTTTCAGAGTCTCATCTTCTCTCTTCTTCTTTCACCAACTAGTCTACTATTAGTTAGAACTAAGCCTATATATTCAAGGTCATGTTTAGATCAGTTTGAACCAGAGGCACGTCCGATCTAGTCTGATCGACTTTGACTTGACCGATAGCATATTTGGTACTTTCTTTGTTTTTATTCCCTGTTCCTATATATGCATGTATATAGCCAAAACAGACGGAAACCAAATGAGAAGAGAAAGCTCTGTACAATCCCTACCAGAAATACACATAATATACAACCCTATCCAAGATAGTAATACAAATCCCACATCTAATATAGAAAGGGAAATCAGAAAACAACATTGACAAGTTTACCCCCCCTTGACAACAATAACCCGCCGTCTCTTCTCCCAGTCATTCTTCTCCCGAAGCCACAACTTCCCCTCAGCGGTCTCCAGTACTCGACTGACAATCCAATCCTGCTCTTCCTGCGTAGGAGCATTCTTGCCTTGCGGCGTCGCTGTCGCCGGTTCCATGCGAGGAATTGTCACAGCACAGCGGAGCTTTCCGTTGATCTGGACGGCAACCGTTTGGCCGCCGCGAGAGGAGAGGGTTTCGGCTTGAGAGGGTGTGAGGAGGGTGCTGGGCCAGGGTGATGAAAGGATTGATGGCACTGGTGTGGAGGTGGTATTTTTGGTTGCGTGCAGGATTTCCCATGATTCAGAGGCTAAGGCCGGGGCGATAGGAGCTAGGAGACGGAGGAGGGATGAGACGCATAGGTATAGGATGAGAGGGGAGGAGGCGGGTGTCGACGCCAGGGTGTTTGTCAGCTTGGTTAGGTCTGAGATGACTGTGTTCAGACCGTAGGGGTTGCTTTCGATGCAGGTGGTGACGGATGCGATGGTGTTGTGGGTGGCTAGGACTGCGTCTGCGTCCGAGTCGCTCAGGTCCTGGAGTGATGACGGGAGAGGAGCGACGTGGGTAGAGGATTTCAGATCTGCTTCTGAGACGGAGAATGATGCATCCGTTAGGGTCTGCTGCGTGTCTTGGATGAGTTTCCAGAGTCGGCCGAACCAGCGCTCAACGCCGACGATCTTGGCTTCGTCCCATTCTAGAACCTCGCTGACTGGTGCGGAGAACAGGATGTGTGCGCGAGTAGCATCGGCGCCGTACTTTGATGTGGTAGTGGTTGGGTCCACGCCGTTGTACTTGCTCTTGGACATCTTTTCGAATGAAACATTAGGGGCGACTTGTGTTCCCTTTATCAAAGGCTTGTCGGGATTGGTCAGATCAACTTCCGACGGGAGAAGGAACCGGCCTGTCGAGGGCTCAGAGAAGGTCTTTCCGTGGACCATGCCCTGGCTGAGAAGTATTTTGAAAGGTTCTGCGGGTGCAGCAGAGTTGCTAGCTGGGAGCAGCTCAGACTGAGAGAGGAATTTGTAGATGAATCGAGCATAGAGAAGATGCAGAATGGCATGTTCAACACCACCGATATACACGTCCACCGGCTGCATCGCTGCAGGAGAGAATGGGGCTTCCTTGTTAGCAGAGTCCAAGAACCGCAAGAAGTACCAGGACGAGTCTACGAAGGTGTCCATGGTATCTGTGTCGCGCCGAGCGGGACCATTGCAACTAGGGCATTCTGTGTGGAGCCATTCCTCTGATGATTCTAGAGGGTTTCCCTTTTTTCCCTTGAGCCACTCTCCCTCGATCTTCGGCAGCTTTACTGGAAGATCCTTGTCGGGCACCGGCACAGGTCCACAGTCCTCGCAGTGGATGATGGGGATGGGCGCACCCCAGTATCGCTGGCGACTGATCAACCAATCCCGCAGGCGCCAGCTCTCAACGAATGCAGCCTGACCGACCTGCTCCAGGTCATTGACAATCAGTTTTGATGCCTCCCTGGAGTGTAACCCTTGGTATTTCCCGCACCGCGAAGTTAAGAAGCCCTCTTGAGTGAAAGCTTTTGCATCGGACGTCGGGACGACGCTGCTGTTTGCCTCATTGCTAGTTGGCTCAGCCTCGATAACAACAGGGATCGAGTCAGGTTTCACATTTTCCTTAAAGAACATCATGTCCCTGGTGTCATGGCCTGGAACACCCATGACTGCTCCCTCGCCATAGTCGCTAAGGACATAAGGAGCCACAAAGACAGGAAGCTTCCTCAGCAGGTGGGGAGTTTCTGTATCGATTTTGCATAATGGATGAGACACCTCAATGTCGGACAGCCGGTATCCTGCTTTGGAGTCGGGTGCAAGGGAAGACGCATCACTCAGGAATTTGCGCAGTCTCTCGTCTTTTTCGGCAGCCTTCAACACGATAGGATGATTCAAAGAGAGTGCCAGGTATTCCACACCATACAATGTGTCTGGCCGGGTAGTGAATACATTCACATCGACTTGGTCACCCGCGCGTCCAATGGTCACAGGGAATGTGACCTTGGCACCGTAAGACTTTCCAAGCCAATTGCGTTGCATTGACAGGACACGCTCTGGCCATCCCCCGGCAAGAGAATCGAGGTCTTTTAGGAGTGCTTCCTTGAAATCAGTGATCTTAAAGAACCACTGCTTCAAGTTCAATTTCTCAACCTTGGCCCCAGACCTCCACGAGAATCCATTGGCATCAACCTGTACGAAAATCAGATCAAAACCAAAATATACCCTCTGATCCCAACTCACCTGCTCATTTGCCAAAACAGTCTTATCAACAGGGTCATAATTAACCAACGCTTCCGCCTGGTACGCCAAATTCTTCTGATACAACATCAAAAAGATGCGCTGGGTATGCTCATAGAAATCCGGGGAACACGTAGCCAGTTCCTAGCCATAACAATTAGCCATCCATCCCAACCAAACCCACGACGCAACCCGCCGAATCCAACCCAACATACCCGATCCCAATCAAACTCCGCCGAAATACACCCCAGCTGCTCCTTCATCTTCAAAATATTCTCCTGCGTCCACGCCGCAGGATCAATGCCTCTCTCAATCGCCGCGTTCTCCGCCGGCAGCCCAAATGCATCCCCCCCATAGGATGGAGCACGTCATGTCCGCGCATTTTATAGAACCGTGAGATCACATCGGAGATTGTGTACACGCGCAGATGGCCCATGTGCAGCGTGCCTGACGGGTATGGGAACATGGACAGGATGTAGGATTTGGGCTTTTGTGTTGCGTCGGATGTAGAGCGCGGCGAGGTGCGGTCATTTTCCCATTTTGCTTGCCATTTTTTGTCCAGGGCTGGGAGGTCCAGTCGCCGCGGTGAGGTGCTGCTTAGTCGGGTGAGGGTGTAGACTGGTGAGAGCGCTCGTAGGGTTGGACGCGTGTGAATGCGGCCAGGCGCGACGGCGCTGGTTAATCTGAGTCGTGAGAGGGATTGCATGGCTGGCTAATCATTATGTATCTGGAAGGGTTAGAGATTAAAGTAACTGGAGCGATTGGCCATGTCCGCAATTTCAAGGTCTGACTGTTTCGCGCATCTTCAAAACTTCCCCGGAGCTCGGGTAACTCTAGTCCCGATTTGGACTAGCGTACCAGCACTATACTTTGGACATTTTTCTAGAAACAATGAAGAAATGAAGATTCCGTGGTCATTTATATTTGTAGGGTATTGATCTTTTGGCAATGTTTCCCTGTCTAATGTATATGCATATCCCACGCTGCAGATCACTATGCATCGTACACTCTAATCTATCCCAAGTCTACATTCTCAGAATATCACCATTCCTGTCAATGCCACCTCGGAAATGGTCCGTAACCACTTTCCCGCCGAGAATAGTCTCATCCACAAGCCCCTCCACATGCTTGGGCTCAATGCGGCCATACCAAATCCCCTTACCCGCCAGCGGGTGAGGTTCTGAAGATGTTCCCACTGTCATCTTCGGCGGGATATAAACAATCACGTTGCCTGCGTATTTGTGTCCTCCAACATGACTGATCAGGCCAATATTAGCATGGTTGGGGTCATCCACCGTAGTCCCGAAACTGTCCGCAGAGGTGAATCCTCGTGCTTGCAACACACGCTTAAACTCGCTTTCCAAGGCGGGGGCCATGACACCACAGCGCATGTCGCGACCTCCATGTCCACATATTAACACTGTTGGAGAGTGGTTGATGTCTATTACCTCCGGGAAGCTTGATACTAGCTCCGGGGATCGGGTCATGTCTGCTTGTTTGGTTGCGGGGAGAGAGGAGTGCATGTCGTGGAGTCGTTCAGGGAGAAGATATGCGCGCACGAAGGTCGTTAGGTCGGTTGCTTGATCGGGCGATGAGGTCGTGTTCGCGGGTATTGAGGGGATGTATTTGAAGCTGGGGAAAAGGAATGCCGAGGCTGAGGCGGGGGAGGAGCCTGCAGCTGGCGCGATGGATGAATTCGTAATCAAGACATTGTTGAAAGGCTAGAGCGACGAGATCTATGAGCAAGAGTTTCTATATCCATTGCGTGGTTGTGATCCACTTACATCGAGATATGGCCCACCACGACCTAGCAGGCTCTTCAGTCCCCTCACAAGGTTGCCCCAGCCTGTATTTTTGCCATCATCCTCAATTCGACTTGTCCAGTCTGGCTGTCCTGTGCAGACGAGAAGCTGCTGCGCGTAGGCAGCCATCGTCCCATTTAAGGCTTGTTCATGATCGATCGGTAAATCCTCCGGCAGAGCCGGCGTGGGTGGACAATTGCAGCTTGGTTCAGGGCATGTCTTGGTAATGGGGAAAGGAGGGGGGGATTTCCAGGCGGGCGCGGAGGCGGCTGTTGCGAGGAGCACTGCGAGGAGCACTGGACAGTTGGCGGATGGTTTGGCAGTTTCGATGGGTTCGCCCGCTCCAGTTGCGCGCGAGCGATTGCGCGAGTATTGGTCGCATTGAACTTTATGGTCTTGTGTAGATTAGAAAGTAGACAAATCCAAGAAGAAAAAGGTCAACATGTCAACATGTCAGAAAATAAAAGAGAACGCAAATACGTAAATGTCCGAGCGCCGAAGCCGAGAAATCGGAGATTCGGAGATTACATGTATTAAGCGTTGATTCGTTGATCTGCAGAATCCCAAATTCTACATACTACAACGTACATTATGTATATATATATGTGCATACATGTAGGTAACATCTAGTTATCATCGCAATATTCCCAATCATCCTCATCAGCTCCACCAATCAGAATCCCTTCAATAAATCCACTGACAACTTTCAGGAAGTCTCGCGTTCGAGGAACATAATGAGTCCCCCAGAATTGGTAAATATCGGCATTAACGCAATTCTTTGCTAACCGCAAGGACCGAGACGGAGTAATCATAGGATCTAAACATCCCATGACATGAAGTATTGGTGTTTTGATCTTGGGGTAATATATCGGCGCATAATCAGCCTGTGCTAGCTGAAACCCGCTCAGGCAAATAGCAAACTCCATCGGGGGATGATCTTGCTAAAAACCAGAAAACATAAGTCATCAACAAAAAGCGGAGGATACGAGGACATGCTATGCTTACGGTGAAATTGAAGCTGCCGATCGATCTCCTCTTTTCAAGAAGGGAGGTGATAATAGCAGCCAAGCAGGCGCCTGTTGAAAATCCCATGATCCCGATAAAAGGACCATGTCTCTCAAGTATATCAGAGACATATTGAATGGATTCTTCAAGTCCTTCAATGTGCTCTGTCTCTGGATCTCCATAACCCCAGGCCCGTCTGTCGTCGTCTTTGTCCCGGCTTTCCGGATTGGCTCGCAGTTGACCTGAAGGGTAATAAAATTCAATGCTGCTGATTTGGCGAGCACAGTCCTGTTGCAGAGCTTTGAGCACGGTCTGCTCCATATACTGCCGCATGAATCGAGATTTGCATTGGAAAAACTGTCCAGACTGGCCGTGCCCTAAAAGCTCGTGGGTCAACTTGGTTGCTTGGCTGCTACAGGAAAGATAGAAGCACGGCGCTCTTACCATGCAACATCAGGATTTTACCACATGATGGGGACTGATCAGATAATGTAGTTGAGCTCATGGTTATAGCTTCACAATATTAAAGAGTTCGGTGATCTTGTGCTTTATTGACGATTCCCTCGTGTATTCATGCCTTCTTTAATAGGGACGTGTTTGGAAACCACCATATCTATTCAGGGCCAAATACATATACAATAGCATGGGTAGCACATAACTTGTTGTGTAATACAGATCGACGTGCTTGTGGATTTAACACTGGGTATTTAGTGATAGGTTCATCGAATCTATACATGTTAACATACGTACATATGTAAAGTGCATCTGCAAAACTCAACAGACCATACCTGCAACTTTCCCTTTTCAGAAGGATTCGACCTTAATTATACAAGCCTTATGTTGTACGGGAGACGCAGACTGTATATCGTTTTCATAAGATCGACACAGGGTCTACAATGTAGGTACACCGATGCTGACCTTGCATAATCTTGGCATCTGAACTCGAATCTCGGGGATGGATCTTCAGATTTGCTTTTATTCATCTTTCACACTTTCTATAGCATTTAATACTATTGGACAACTGATGATGCCCGAATGATGCTGTGCACCCGTCTCTATTCGCGCAAGCAGACCAGTCGGTGTTCCCGCTGCCGTAGAGACGATCCCAATTGGGAGTTTTATCAAGATATAGTTCGGTGGCAAGGCTTTGCTGGCTCCGTCTCTTGCATTATCAGTTATGGAGACGGTGTATTGCAATCATGTCGACTGAGGGAGTGGCCGATTATGGCTGACAGTGGTATTGACACCGTGCGAGATATTCGGTGCATACATGACATCACTCCTGGGGTGATTTGTCGGATTATTGGTACAAGACATGCTCTGGTGAATAGCGCGGACCGCAACAATTGCCTGTGTTATATGGTAGTAGTTATCTTTTTGAATGTGAGCATGGTTGAGGGGGGGTTATGCGGACTCGCACCATTGTGTGCATGATCCACATGTTGAGCCGCTACAGGGGCGGGTTGTTATGGTGGACGATCCCGTGCTTCCACAGGACTACCGCAGGTGGAACAGTACTGTCAATGGGCTTATGTTTGCTTTTTGGAGGCGGAGGCAGTTCATCGGTTGGGCATTGTTGTTCGGATCTAACTGCGAATGTGTTAAAAATAGGACAGAGATGGGAATGGATGGTTACGGAAAAATTTCGAGGCTATAAAGATTGCAGACTCTCCGATTTTGAAAAGAAACCACATCACGATCACGATCCCATAGTGCTAGCAATGGCACACGGAAACAGATTGATGCACTTCCTGGAAGTTCGAGGGTGACGGATCGAATCGATTGGCCCCGCACTGGTCATGCGACAATACGATATGCGCCGAAGCACCGATCGGACGGTCGCATCACAAATGCAACTCCGAACGCGACTTCATGATTATTCTGATCGGTTGAACGAGTCGGAATTCGCGTAGGAAATTTTGAAACGATGGGTTGGAGCGGTAGCTAGTATATCGTACGTCGGAGTCCCGCGAAAGTGCAATGATGTATAGTCTGTTTTCCTGCAATCGGAGGGTGCTCGTAACTATAATTTCAGTCTTGGATAAATGTTCTGCAGTTTCCTGGTCATTATGCATGTTAGTTTTCGACACCAAGCGTAGGCACCACCAGCTCGCAGCAATGGAATCCAATGTCCGGTCGGGAACAATCCCAAAGCATGCATTGCAGTTGTCTCATTTGATCTGCAGCCCAGTACACGGGAGCAAACGCGTAGCGAAAGACAAACAAATTGGGTCTTCGGCGATACGGTAGACTAAAAAAAAATCCACCGTTGAGTCCACGGGTTCTTGATGCGGTTATGCTTTCCGTGATCTTGTGTATGATCTGATCCGGAAGCTCATTAGTGGACTCCATATTCTCCAAAACCTCCTCGCGAGGAGGCAATGTAAATCATGGGTAGCTCTGTATGAAAGTAGCGGGGCCGGAGTTGGAGAAGGTGACGCAGGCCGAATTTCGGCAGAAGAGCGGAAATTGTTCGGCATGGCTCCCGCAGGAGGCTGGGGTGCTGGGGAACTGGGGAACTTGGGGTGTTTTAGTACCTTGTGAGATAGGATTGGCATGAGCTTGCCAGTTGAGCTTGCCAGTTGGAGATGCCTATTGTGACAATTGGGGCATCAATTGGGGTTGGTTCTGTATTTGGTTGTATAGTTGTGGTTGGGTTGGGTTGATTTACCCCTCATTATGTCAGCTGGTTATGTCAGTTACCCCGCTGCGGGGTAACATTCCATTTTTGGTGGGCTGGTGGTGAGATGGTGAGATGGTGGGAATACCTAGGTAATAATTTGGACTATTACAGTCCCGGAGAGGGAGAGACAGAGAGATACTACTAGCCATTTAGTTCTGTATTAGCTATGAGCGTATAACTGTATACTACAATATAAAAAAGTGCCCCCGCACGTTTATAGAGAGCTTTCGTATGCAATAATTACATAGCACTACCTAGGTACATGCAGTACATTGTACATGTAAAATCTACAATAATATACAACAATATACATGCATATACATGTCGATGCATCGCAACGGGTAAGTCCAGATAATGATAGGCCATAATATTCCCATAAGGAATGTATACAGTCTCCCCCTGTCCCTCATGCGGAGAGATCTCCAAGTGGATTCCCAGTTCAGTCCGGATTTCCCGTTTCTATGCGTCCCAGTTACTTTTGAGGGGATGCGCAATACCTGTCTCTGTAGAGAGGGGGAATATATAACCAGCTCCATTTGCTGTTCGGATTCCTTTCTTCCCACTCTATCCAACTCTCATCCGTTCTACTCCATTCTACTTTTATATACTCTACCTGTAAGTCTTTCTTTTTTTTTATTCCCTATAGCCAGATCACATCTCTTGGCCTGCAATATTCCCCACTTCTCCTGCCTCAGAGCTTGCCTTATCCGGTTTCATCCAACGCCGCTTTTGGACATTGACCTCATCAACTATACATCCATGGATATATATATATAGACGTAACAAAGTGCTAACCTTCTTTTCCAGCAACATCTTCGAACACTTTATAATCCTTCACAATGGTATTTATCCGCTCTCTTTCCCGTCAATTGAGACGGCCCTTCCTCTCAGGCTCTCTCAAGCCAACTGCCTCCAGCCCATTCACTCGGGCTTCTCCTTTGGGCTCTATTTCCGGTGCACGTACACTAACCGCAACTGCGAATCTCCAGGGCAAAGTTCTTTTGGTTCTCTACGATGTAAGTTATTCTCACGTCGTAATTTGCATACTTCAATCGCTAACCAGGGCTCTTCTCTGATATAGGGTGGTGAGCACTCCAAGCAGCAGCCTAAGCTGCTCGGTACCACCGAGAACGAGCTCGGCATCCGCAAGTGGCTCGAGGACCAGGGTCACACTCTGGTGACCACCTCCGACAAGGAGGGCGAGAACTCCACCTTCGACAAGGAGCTCGTCGACGCTGAAGTCATCATCACCACTCCGTTCGTTTCTCATGCACGCACCGTCAAAAGCTCTCCACTAACGATAAAACGATAAAACAGCTTCCACCCCGGTTACCTCACCGCTGAGCGTCTGGCCAAGGCCAAGAAGCTTAAGCTTGCTGTCACTGCCGGTATTGGCTCCGACCACGTTGACCTGAACGCCGCCAACACCACCAACGGCGGTATTACCGTTGCTGAGGTCACCGGCTCCAACGTCGTCTCCGTCGCTGAGCACGTCGTCATGACCATCCTCCTCCTGGTCCGCAACTTCGTTCCTGCCCACGAGCAGATCAAGAACGGTGACTGGGACGTCGCCGCTGTCGCTAAGAACGAGTTCGACCTCGAGGGTAAGGTCGTCGGTACCGTCGCCGTTGGCCGTATCGGTGAGCGTGTCCTCCGCCGCCTCAAGCCCTTCGACTGCAAGGAGCTCCTCTACTACGACTACCAGCCCCTCTCCGCCGAGGCCGAGAAGGAGATCGGTTGCCGTCGCGTCGAGAACCTCGAGGAGATGCTCGCCCAGTGTGACGTTGTCACTATTAACTGCCCCCTGCACGAGAAGACCCGCGGTCTCTTCAACAAGGACCTCATCTCTAAGATGAAGCCCGGTGCTTGGCTCGTCAACACCGCCCGCGGTGCCATCGTCGTCAAGGAGGATGTCGCCGAGGCCCTCAAGTCCGGCCACCTCCGTGGCTACGGTGGTGACGTCTGGTTCCCCCAGCCCGCCCCCAAGGACCACCCTCTCCGCTACGCCGAGCACCCCTGGGGTGGCGGCAACGGCATGGTTCCCCACATGTCCGGTACCTCCATCGATGCTCAGGTCCGCTACGCCAACGGTACCAAGAACATCCTCGAGAGCTACTTCTCCGGCCGTGAGGACTACCGTCCTGAGGACTTGATCGTCCACAAGGGTGATTACGCCACCAAGGCCTACGGTCAGCGCAAGTAGAAAGTATCCTTGCATGACGCAGTGTGAGGTATTCTCCGGCTGAGGGGCTTCTTTTCATAATTTATGTTTGAATGTTCATAACAGTCCCATTTGCTGACGATGGGCGATGCTGAAAAAGGTAGCATCTTTCACGATACCAATGAATAATATTTACCACCTTTACTTCTTTTCCACTTTGACCTGCATTTGAGATTTCAGTACTCCGTATTCCGTACTCAATATGAGGTATAATATGCAGAGTGCATGGTGATCGGTGGAGCTATGTCGATCTCACCAAATTAATCAAGCCCCCTTTACTCCGTGATGGAGTCTAGAATATGTAGTGACATTCTTGATGACCAAGTATGATTAGTAGCAATAGGTCCAAATATGTACATGTATATGAGTTGTTCTAATAACTCAAGTGCCAATGCAATTGCAAAGAACAAGGACAAAACAACTCTATTCACAAGGTAACCATGCACGGAACACCAGACAGATATACGAACCCAAACCATCCAGTCTTGCAAAACATCCCTAGACAAAAGCCCCAACCCCAAGAATGCAGATATGTATATGCAAACGCCATCTTCAACATTTCAAAGCCTCCCTGCCCGTCCATTCCTAGTCTCCTCATTCCCTTCCTCATCACTATCATCCATAAATCCCTCCTCCAAATCCCGACTTAAACGCCCTTCCGTCTCAGCCAGGTTATCACGTCTCCGTTGCTCCAGCGCACCCCGCCTCTCGGAATCCATATTCATCCCAACCATGTTCTCCCCTTCCTCATCGTTAATGCTGATGTTATCATGGTCGGGTATTTGCGCGCCCAATCGCCACCGAGACCGGAGGAAGAAATGCATTACTTTATCGGCTATGCGGTCGCGTAGGGACAGTGTGTGCGCGGATATACTGTGTAGCGGGAGGTATTGAGAGTAGCGCTGGTGGTAGCGACGGAAGAAGGGGATTATCACGCATGAGGCTAGGATGTAGATTGATAATGCGATTGCAGCTGGAATGAGGATTGTCTGTGGATAAATTTGTTAGTTTGGTTTATTTGGGTTCTTTTTGTCAGTGTGTGCCTGGAGATGACGGTGGTGCCTTGCGTGTCAGGATAGGGGGTTTTGCGCGCACCTTGGCAAAGACACTTGTTGACCCCATGCTGGGTGCTGTGGAATTAGGCTTTAAATGGCACCTAAGAGAGAATGGTAGAGTGGTGATGTTTGGTGTATGCGCGAGAGATTGCGGAGCGAGGTCCGGGGGTCCCACGGGAACAGCACACGCGGCAGGATCGGCAGATCGACAAACGGCTCGGCCAACTCGGGATATCGTCACTTTTATTTGATTCTTTTACACGTCACTCCAGTACCGAGTTTCATACAGCTTAACTGACAACAGTACATGTGTTGTGGTCTGATCCCTAAGATACTCTAACAACAACATGAAACTATTGCAAGGTTCCAGACAATATTGGGCAGTGAGTCGACCTATCTCCATAGGTAGTCCGGTTACCTGGACTTTAATCCTAAGACGTGTGCCATTCCAAAAACAGCACGAAAGATCAGCGGCGCATTCGTTGTGCCAGGCAAAAGATTCGTCTTCGCCACCCCTGGATGGACCGAGACAAACAGCGAAACTGGGATACAAGGCTGCCAGTTGTCGTGCCCAGAGCTGGACATGAATGCTTTCACAGCGTTCCTGTCGAAATCAAATCGAGGAAATATGCACCTTCAACACCTTAATAAGTGCACGAGGAAGCTGCTGCTGCTTGGTTTCATCAGTAGCGGCTTGGGCTTTGTCGAGACTGCTGCTGTGAGCCAGTTGACCTGGCTGGTGTCGACAGATTTCCATCACTGCGGCTTTACTGAGACTGGAATTTGCTCCAGTGGCGAGGACCACCTTCCCTTTAAGCTTGGGTATATCGTTAGTGGGAATGAAGGACATCGTCGTATCGAAGCGATATATATATGTAGTTGTTCGGCCTCACTCGAACTGAGGATTGGATGATAATAGGCTAAGGAGTTGGGCTATATTCATCCTTATACATTTAATGCTTTTACCTGGACTAACACCTAAAGATCAGATGCTCACGTGGGTCCGGACTTGAAACCCATTCAAGTTAACCCCAGTCTATCTTTGACTCGAACTGAGACAGATTGTGAAACCGGCTATACCTGAGGTATGTGCCAACTAAAGACATATAACCGGAATAGATGATATAGTAAATGAGGGACCTGTTCTAGCTGATAGTTAAGAACTATACCCGAAGTAGTAGTCGGTCTCTATCTCACTATCACGAAATTATCTACATGTCTCACACTGTCAACGATTATAAAAAATTATTTCAAGTAACGAGATGTGACTGCTAATATGAGTATAGATGGTCAACTCCAACAATGGTGTTCGTTCACACCTTCCAAGCTTCCCATGGCCTGGACGTCAGCCTTGCCAAGTATAAGCTTACGTGATGCCGACGATCACGTGCACGGTCGGGGAGTTTCTCCGGGGCAAGCCCCCCTAATATCAATAGACTGATTAGAAGAACGCTCGGGCTTTGATCCTGGCGTCAAACTGGACTTGACATTTGCAAAAAAGTTGCATGTTAATTTCCTCTTCTCTTATTTGCTTTCCTTGTGGGGTGAGTGCCGTGATCCCCTTACCCCTCAGTCTCTCGCGACTCAGCCGTCGCAGCGGGTATACTAACTAGCCAGGGAGGGACAAAAACAGAGAGCCACTTTCGCCCAATTTGAATGTCATCGTATTCTCCCATATCTCTTGCGACCGACAGCTCCATACTGCGAACCGGACAACTTTATTTAATATCGTTCCCGAGAGTGTTGGAGGGGCCCTTATGCTGCGCCCTGCCTCATCTCAGTGACGCCCGCCAAAATGCCAACTAGTTCACAAGCCGACAAATCTAGGCAAACATCGAGTGGGAAATCATTCTTCGGACGGAAATTGTACAAAGAGAAGCCGACAGAGGAACGATATGATAATTATGGAGGTTCCTACGATAGCCTAGCACCCCCGGGAGGCGCCGCGGGCTCACGCTCATCCCGCTATTCGAAGCGGTCTTCGATTCAATCTGTGGACTTGACGCATGATTTCGACCCAGGCAGTATCGCACACACCTCAGGGGGCATCACCTCTATCCCCTTTGAAAGCCTTCCCACCGATACCAGGACCCCGATTCCAATCGACAACATGTCTCGTCCTGGCTCATCGCGCCACGAGCCTTCGCCCAACCATCTAGGCAAATCTGGAGGTGACTATCATCAATATCCAACCGTGACCTCTACGTCTGCGCCAAATGGGTACGCCCCGCATCCTTCTGGCCCTCGTCCTCCCCCGCACGGCTCAAACAACGCTCTGAGCAGCAGCAATTCCAGTGATCGAATTGCCCGACAACAACAGCAGCAGCAGCAACAACAACAATGGGGACGGCCAGGAAGCTCCGCAGCGAACAATGGACCTAACCACAACCCTTCTTCTATTGATTCGTCCTCCAACTCCCGCACATCCCTCGACCAAGCTAGCATCTACTCCTCCGTTTCCTCTAACACGCGAGGTTCGAGTTATTTCTCATCAGACAATTCCTCTCGCACTCTCACAACTTCGCATTCTAGTGATCGCACTGCTATGTTCCCCAGCTCCAGCTCGGGCCGCTTGTCAAATGCAGGATCCTCCCACCAGATCTCTGTACCGGCCGCTGTACCCCGGCCACAAGATAACTACCTCACTAGACCGAGAGATGACCGAATCGTGGACCAGCTGTTTCTAGAGCTGATGCAGAAACGAGGATGGCAGAATCTTCCCGAGCAGGCCAAGCGGCAGATGTTGTCGTACCCCGCCTCAAAGAAATGGACATTGGTACATCAGGATCGCTTGACGGAGTTGCAAGGAGAGCAAAAGAGACGACAAAATGCGCGACAAACTCATGGCCATGACGGATTATCTGGTTTGCTTGAACGTGCTGATGAAGAAGGTAGTCCAGAGTGGTATGTGAAGAAGGTGATGGATGACACCATTACGTCCAAGCAACTCGCTAGTCTGAGTGTCAGCTTGCGGACACAGCCAATCAGGTATGAAAGTCCTCTTTTCTCGATATCGTGCGTCATCACTAATAACTATACAGCTGGGTGAAAGCCTTTGTTGAAGCCCAAGGTCAAATCGCTTTGACCAATGTCCTCATGAAGATCAACAGAAGAAAAGCCTCTGGTCCTGTCCCGGCTCCCCTACAGGCGATAAAGATCTAGACCGGGAATACGATATTGCCAAATGTCTGAAAGGTCTGATGAACAACAAGTATGGCGCAGACGATGCTCTCGAGCACCAGAATGTGCTAGTTGCACTCGTCAGCTCGTTATCATCGCCGCGCCTTAATACCCGGAAACTTGTCAGCGAAGTCCTCACTTTCCTGTGCCACTGGGGTGATGGACAAGGCCACCATAAAGTTCTACAATCCATGGACAAGGTTAAACATGATCACAACGAAACCGGTCGCTTCGATGCTTGGATGCGTATTGTCGAGGTCACCATTGACGGCCGTGGAAAGATGGGAAGTCTGGTCGGTGCCAGTGAAGAGTACCGCAGTGGAGGCATTGGCATGGAGAACCTCCTTATGGAGTACGCGGTTTCGACCATGATCCTCATAAATATGCTGGTGGATGGAGCAGAAACGGACCTGCAGCTGCGTTGCCATATCCGCGCCCAATTCACGTCATGTGGCATCAAGCGTCTGTTGACGAAGATGGAGGGATTCCAGTATGAAGTTATCGACAAGCAAATCGAGCGGTTCCGCGAGAATGAGGCTATCGATTACGAGGACCTCCTCCAACGGGAGGGCAGCAGCATGAAGGATAGCATTGAGGGCGAAGTCAAGGACATGAGCGATCCCATGCAAATCGTCGATGCAATCACGTCCAAGATCAACGGCAGCCGGTCCCATGACTACTTCCTCTCGGCTATGCAGCATATGCTCCTCATCCGGGAGAATTCCGGCGAGGAAGGGCTGCGTATGTTCCAGCTGGTAGACGCCATGCTGAGCTACGTGGCCATGGACCGGAGGCTGCCCGACCTTGATCTTCGACAGGGTCTGACCTTTACCGTGCAGAGTCTGCTAGACCGGCTGCACACGGATGCTGAGGCAAGACAAGTCTATGACGAGTCTCTAGAGGCCCGGCAGATCGCCGAGGCTGCCATTGCTGAGCGCGATGAGATGCGAGCGCAGGTCGAGCTCGGCGCAGAAGGCCTAGTCTTGAAATTGCAAAAGCAAATTGAGGAACAGGCTGGTATTATCGAGTTGCAACAAAGGCAAAATGAATCTTTCAAGGCCGAGGTTGCAGAAGTGCAAAGACTGCGTGCTCAGGAATTGCAACGCAATGAGCTGGAAACTAGAGAGCTATACCTCATGCTCCGAGATGCCCAGGATATCGCTGCTGCCAATGCCCGAAAGGCCAACAACCCGGAGACGGCGGAGGCAGCAGATCCATCCCAGATGCCCGGTATCATGGACCGCGAGCGACTCATGGAACGTCTGGAACGCCAGCTTGAGCGGACTAAGACCCAGTTCAAGCTGGAAGGCAAGGTCTGGGGCCAGCATGGACCGTCAGATCGACTCCGCGAGCTGCGCGAGAAGATGGAGGGCGAAGGAGATGACAGCGAGGAGTTCGCTGAAACAACTCGCCGGAACCTTGACCCTGGTTCTTTGGGCTCCGTTTACCGCAAGCGCAGCCATATCCCTGCGATGGACTCGACTATGGAAGACGAGGAGGACATTCCACTAGATAGCAATGGTGAGCCAATGTACGAGAAGCCTCGCCTGGTGGAAATGCATCGTCCTCGTTTGGACCCTGCCCAGGCTACTGGCTTGCTAGGCGAGCTGTCGAAGGTTCCTAAATTTGATGCCGAAGAACCCGATGCGGTTGAAGGGGCATCCAAGCTAGAAGACAATGAAGCTGCTACAAAGACAATGCCGCCTCCTCCCCTCCCGGGGGCAAGAGTGTTCCTCCACCCCCGCCGGGAGCAACGGCTCTTCCCCCACCTCCGCCTCCAGGAGGCAAAATTCTTCCACCACCACCTCCACCAGGTGGTGCCGCTCTTCCGCCGCCCCCTCCCCCCGGTGGGAAAGTTGGTCTACCCCCTCCTCCACCACCTGGCGGAATGGCTCTCCCACCGCCGCCTCCGCCAGGTGGTGCCAAGGGCGTTCCTGGATTGCCGCCCCCGCCCCCGCCCCCGGGTGGGAGAGTTGGATTGCCTCCGCCGCCGCCTCCAGGAGGTGGTGGAATCGCTCCTCCACCTCCTCCCCCTGTCCCTGGAGCCAAGGGCCTGATGATTCCCCCCGCCTCCACCTCCCAGTGCTGCTTTAGGCTCAGGCTGGAGACCGGCATACATGGTTGGAGATGTTTCGCCGTCTACAATTCACATGCCATCCATTCGACCTAAAAAGAAGCTCAAGGCTCTGCATTGGGACAAGGTCGACACTCCTCAAGTGACTGTTTGGGCTGGTCACGCACCGACTGCTGAGCAGAAGGAAGAAAAATATACTGAGCTTGCCAAGAAGGGTGTATTGGATGAGGTTGAGAGATTGTTCATGGCCAAAGAAACGAAGATATTCGGGGCTAGCACTGGTGCGAAGCAACGCGCGGCCAAGAAACAGATTATTTCGAACGATCTGTCCAAGAACTTCCAGATTGCTCTGTCCAAGTTCTCTCAATACCCGGCCGAGGAGGTGACCCGCATGATCATCCACTGTGACAAGGAGATTCTGGATAACAATGTCGTTATGGACTTCTTGCAAAGGGACGAAATGTGCAATATACCAGAGAATGTCGCCAAGCTTATGGCACCATATAGTATGGATTGGACGGGCCCTGGTGCCGCTACTTCCGATCGTGAACAAGATCCCTCCGAGATTACTCGTGAGGATCAGATCTATCTCTACACTGCATTTGAGCTAAATCACTACTGGAAGGCAAGAAACAGAGCGCTTGCACTGACACGCACCTACGAACCAGAGTACGAGCACATTTCAACAAAGCTAAAAGAAGTCGCACGAGTCAGCGAGTCCTTGCGGGACTCTGTCTCGTTGATGAACGTGCTCGGTCTGATTCTCGACATTGGAAACTTCATGAACGACGCCAACAAGCAGGCCCAAGGTTTCAAGCTGAGCTCTCTCGCCCGGCTGGGTATGGTGAAAGACGACAAGAATGAAACTACCTTTGCCGATCTGGTCGAGCGTATCGTGCGCAACCAGTACCCAGAGTGGGAGGGATTCCTCGACGAGATCAGCGGTGTCATTGGCCTGCAGAAGGTTAATGTCGATCAGCTCCGCACTGACGCTATCAAGTACATTGGCAACATTAAGAACGTACAGTCGAGCTTGGACGCTGGTAACCTGAGTGACCCTAAGAGGTTCCACCCTCAGGATCGTGTCAGCCAAGTCGTCCAGCGATCTATGAAGGATGCTAGACGGAAGGCTGAGCAGCTGCAGCTCTACCTGGATGAGATGGTGAAGGCTTATGATGATATCATGGTCTTCTATGGCGAAGACAACGCAGACGAGAATGCTAGACGAGACTTCTTTGCTAAGTTGAGCTCGTTCTTGGTCGAGTGGAAGAAATCCAGGGAGAAGAACACGGCTCTAGAAGAATCCAGAAAGCGCACAGAAGCATCCCTCGCCCGCAAGCGAATCAATGTCAACCTCGCCAACAACACTTCCACCGCAGAGACAGCGCAGTCGCCTGCTTCAAGTGGTGCCATGGACTCGTTACTTGAGAAGTTGCGTGCTGCAGCACCTCAAGCCAAGGATCAGCGAGACCGCCGCCGTCGTGCCCGTCTAAAGGAGCGTCATAATGTCCGCGTGACTTCCGGCTCCAAACCGCCTGATTCGGGCGAGGCGGAAGAAGGCGTAAACGGAGCCGAAAACACAGCTAACGGCGAAAACAATGACGAGAATGGACTTCTCAGCCCTCCAACCACCGCGGATGAAGATGGAAAGCAGGAAGCTCAAGTGTCTGAAGGCGAAGATGTTGCAGATCGTGCCGCCAGCATGCTGCTCGGTCTGAGAAGTAACTCTGATTCAGGCGGTGGCGAGCGCCAGAGACGGAGAAGAGAGAGCGCAGATGAAGAGCGTCGTAATCGCCGCATGAGACGCCGCAATCCCGCTACAGGCGGAAGCAAAGATAGCGCGGATGGCTCTAGTGGTCTTGCTACCGTTCAAGAGCCTGCTTCTCCTTCGCAGACAGACTTGATAATCACGGACGACCAACAATTGCCCAGCCCACCCAACGAGTCTCAGCCTCCGCCTTCAATTATCGTGTCGGAGCAAGGCGATTCATTATCACAGGATCCCTCGGTTGACGGTTCCTCCCCTCACAAACCAACTGATTTGTCGGATTGAGTCAATCACCGACGGTCGATTTAATTTAATGTTTTATCGGTTCCCACCCCGTTGATGATGCATTGGATCCCAACCCGAATGGTGTCCGTCGCCATCAACACCACCACCACTAACTACACTACAACCGCCCCTCGATTGTATAATACCCATTCCCTACCTACACTACTCTTTGAGCCGCCCTCCTTGATTTGACGAGCCGAGCATGGTGTGATGATACCTTTCTTTGTTTCTTCTCTTCCATTTCCTCCTAACACTATCCCTTCGTCTTCATGTGCAATCATTGTCTCTTTTCTTTTCTTTATTCACTCTCGCATACCCACCTGACATCGACACCCTGTCTCTCTCTCTCTCCTTGTACATAATCTCTTTCCCCCCTGTCTTCATCAAACGCTACCTGCCATGGAAATGTCGCCATGATTGGAGGGCGTATCATCGAATTGCATATTGAGCTTGATGTTCAATGTTTCTTGCATTGCGCCTTGTTCTTTACTTCCCACTTCGGAGCGCAGGCGTGACCAAGTTTTATATCTGCTGTGTATCCTTGATTAGAACTGCATTAGAGGGACTGCTATTGCTTGTGCTTTTCAGGATCAGGATTTAAATACCCGCAGTTAGACAAAATCTATGTTCTCGATCTCCAATGTTGTGTCACTTGTAGTTTGCACTCGTATCTTTGTATAGTTCTTATCAATCACGTGAAAGTCTTATCGCAATAAACATCCATGGATTCAGCCAACAGTTTAATTTGAACTCTCTCGACTTTCACCAATAGTTCGTTGGTTTAATCTTGCGCATGCGAGCATCTTGCCGGGTACTGCGTTGGGCTTTCCCCTTCAGCTCATCAACTAGTCAACCATGGCAAACGATATCAAATAAATCCTATATCCGACGTCATGGCTTTTTCTCCGAATCGCCAGGCCCCCGGCGGCCTCCCGCACAAGCTCGGGCATTCTCGTCGACTCGCCCGGCTAGGTTCATGCTAGACGGAGATTCTACAATATATGCGCTCTCTACTGCAATTGGGCGAGCAGCCATTGCAGTTGTGCGCGTATCGGGTCCGGCCTGTGCCTTAGTATGTATTCCCCGAAAGACAGCCCCCAGCCACGAGACTAACAACGCTGTCCAGATATACAAAAGTCTCTGTCCAAAGCACCCCCTTCCAAAACCGCGCTATGCAGTCCTCCGCACTCTCTACGACCCAACGCAACCCCCAACCCCAAATACAATCCTCGACGCCGGCGCTCTAGTCCTCTACTTCCCCTCCCCACGAACCGCAACAGGCGAGGACATCCTCGAACTCCACATCCACGGCGGACCAGCAATAACAAAAGCCGTCCTTTCAGCAATCGCACAGACAAACACCCCTGAGCAAACAGTGCGCTACGCCGAACCAGGCGAATTCACCCGCCGCGCCTTCATGAACGACCGCCTCAGCCTACCTCAGATCGAAGCCCTCGGCGACACACTCTCCGCCGACACCGAGCAGCAAAGAAGACTAGCCGTGCGCGGCTCGAGTGACGCATTGCTGAACCGGTACGAGCGGTGGCGGCAGGGTTTGCTGTATGCGCGCGGTGAGCTGGAGGCGCTGATTGATTTCTCCGAAGACCAACATTTCGACGAGTCGACTGAGGAGCTTGTTTCGTCTGTTGCGACGCAGGTGCGCGCGCTGAGCGTGCAGATCGGGTTCCACATTGCTAATGCGTCGCGGGGGGGAGTTGCTTAGGAATGGGATTCGGGTTGCGCTGTTGGGTGCGCCGAATGCGGGGAAGAGTTCGTTGCTTAATAGGGTTGTTGGGAAGGAGGCTGCTATTGTTAGTACCGAGCAGGGGACTACGAGGGATATTGTTGATGTTGGGGTTGATCTTGGCGGGTGGTATTGTAAGCTCGGGGATATGGCGGGGATTCGGGCTGAGGGGTCTGGTGATGGTGAGAGGGTTGTTATTGGGGCTGTTGAGAAAGAGGGCATTCGCCGGGCTAGAGAGAGGGCTTTGGAGTCCGATGTTGTTATTGTGGTTGTTTCGCTGGAAGACACTGCCACTGGCGTCCGGCTATTCGTTGAGCCGGAGGTTCTTGATGCAGTTAATGACTGTGTTGAGGCGGGCAAGTGTCTCGTTGTCGCTATCAACAAGTGTGACAAGCTACACACGACTTTGGAAAATGGTGTGCCGCAGTCATTGTCCGATACGATCCACGACATCTTCCCTTCGGTCCCGGCAGACCGGGTGTTCGCCATTTCCTGCGAGGAAGCCAAGCGGGGAGCATCTTCTCTCAATACGACTACAGACCCGGGTAATCTACAGGTCTTTCTACGTGGACTAATTACCACTTTTGAGCAGATTGCCTCGCCCCTTGGCGTGGATGGAGATGGAGGTCAATATGATCTTTCGTATTGGGAAGATTCTCTAGGTGTCACGCACCGCCAAAGCTCTAATCTACAAATATGTCTCGATCATCTAGACGATTTCCTGTCTCAAGCCTCTTCTGCTGAACGCCCTGATGATTCCTCGCGCGAAAAAGAACTCGGGTCTCTTGATTCTCATGCTGAATCTGAAGTCGATATCGTCACTGCTGCGGAACATCTGCGCTTTGCGGCTGACATGCTGGCCAAAATCACAGGAAAAGGCGAGAGTGGAGATGTCGAGGATGTGTTGGGAGTTGTCTTTGAGAAGTAAGTACTGGAGGATCTTGGTTTTGGTCTGCTGGTCCGGATGGTGAGCTGACTGTTGTAGATTCTGTGTCGGCAAGTGAAGAGTCCGCTTCAGTTATGGCTCTGATGACGAGGTTGACTTGCAACGCTATCCCATAATGAGTTGTTCGGCAAAGAGCCGTGGTATCAACTGGTTGCTTGTTGCAATTGAGACGATTGAAATGATGGGAGTGCATTGTCCATGATGCACGTTCTGGACAGCCTAATTTTGGCATGGACGGTTGGCGGGGGCATTGTATCCTCCTCGACCCATTGCAGGAGACAACATGATGAATGATGTAGGCAGAGATAACTGCTGAAATGGTTGCAAAGTGGTAGACGGGAGGTGATGTGTTGATGAAGTTGCACCTAGCTGATACAATGTATGAATAGCAGCTTGATAGACTAATGTATGCTAACGTATGCAATAATAAAACAATAAAACAAGAACCAACTCTACCGACCAGCAACTCCATACTTATAAGAAAGAAAAAGGATCACAAAATTGTCTGCCTTGGTTGCCGGGCTCCATTCATCATCCCAGGCACCCAGGAACGAACCCCCCGGGTTCATTTCCAAACATTTAGCCACGATAACTCCCCATTGTCCTATTGCCCTTGTAAAAGACGCATTGAAGTCTGTCAAACATGAAAGATCTGAGTCAGGATCCGGATACGGTCTCCGCGAAGTACGGATACTTGCCTTTCTGCGTGTCTTAGGCGAGATGTACATAAAGACCTGAGTTTTTAGATTGAGGCTTAGATGTTATTCTGTTATTCCTGTGAATGCTACGGTATCATGAAGAATTCCAATGCTGAGGCGAGCATCAGCTGTAGAGAGGGGAGTTTGAGGTTGAAACATACTACTTGGTCATTGCGATTACGCACATCCTAGATATTTCTATACTTGGTATTTCTATTGTTCTTTTTTCTATTGGCTATCATGTCTCTTTATTTCCTCTCAGACTAAGATATCGGGGTTTCATGTTTCAATTCTGAACTCATGTCAGATCTAAGAATAGCGGGATAGCTGCATGGAATGCGGTTCCTTCTAGAAGGTAGAAGGATTGTAAATCCAATCGAACAAAACAAAGAAGAGTGAACGAGTGAAAGAGTAAAAGAGTAAATTCCCCAAACATAAAATAAGAAACCCACGTTATATTCCTGCAGAAGTCCGTCATCCCTTTACCCTGTCGTCGGGGCTGACAAGTACCTTGCAGCCTTGGGCAAGAATGTAATTGGACTATTGGACTATCTGGGCCCCTATTTTGGCTTAGAGGGAATAAAAATGATCCTATATAGTCTATAATAAGCCAATAGCCTGGTATATGGACATAGAGTATAGGATAACCACCGACGTCTGGTTGTGCAGGGCTGTGCCATGAATAGCTTCATCATCCCTGTCTACGTATGTATATGGCTTAGTCCTGAAAGATCTCTTTAGCTTTATTCAGTGATACTTTCTCTGTTAAGGACTTTGTTTAACCCTTCTTTGTGTGATTCCTTTGATCTATTTATACAGTCTCACCTCATATGTTATATCAATAGCAATACTGGTAGAAGAATTCAATAAAACAGTAGAATGTTATTTGGCGTAAGTTATTCTACCCATATTGCACGCCATTCCTGAAGAAGCCACAATGCCTCACCTCACTGTGGCTAACTTCCCCCCCCCCCAAAAGAACAAACGACACATAGGAATCATCTCCGATATCCTCTCCCTCAAACTGAGTAAACCGACCCTCAAACCCCTCACACGATATCAAGCACCCCGCCATAATTCCAATGGCAGGTTGACAACAGTATCGAAAGAAACTTAGAAGTGGACGTAGTCCGAGCCAGGGCACTCATAGTACTCAATGTAGAAACTGCGAAGAGCACCTAGGCACTCGGGTGCATTCAGCAAGTACGAGCAGGAGGGGGTGTGCTCGGCATGGTGATAGAGATAGGAGACTTGCGGGAACTGGGCGCGGCAGTGAAAGCAGAAGAAGGGGTTAGCGTCGGTGAGCTTGTTTCCGTAGAAGCCATATTCCGGAGTCTCGAAGGCGAGGGTGCGAATGCGATCCTCCTTCACGCAGCGACCATCTTCGAGATGGTAGAGGAGGGCTGAGAAACCGATCCAGTTGGTTGGACAGAACCAGCATTCGTAAATTGGCAGACCCAGCGGGTTGTTGGGGTTCGGGTATGGTGTAGAGTGATACATGATGGGTTGAGATGTGTGTGAACTGGTTGTGCGTGAGTGGAAGGGAATTGATTATTGATGATGGACGATGAAGGAAGATGAATTGGTGTGATGGAAAGTGAAGGAGTGAAGGAGTGAAAGAGTGAAAGGGCAAGAGGTTGACTTCTGTTCGTTTTATAGCAGAGACTTAACTACGTCTCTTACGTCTCTCACGGCATCTTCCATTTGCCATTTCACTTTCTCTCTGGGATCTCTTTCCCCTTCTCTTCTCAGGCTTTTCAACTATCTCCTTTTTCTACTAGCATACTACTGTTCAAGCACCTCTCCCAGTCTCAAATCCATTCTCATCGTAGAGAAACAGGTACAGTTCTTGAGGTTGTCTAGTTCCCAGGCGCTAACAGGATATACTGAGACAGAATGCTATTCAATTCTGGAAGTAAAGACTATAGCTCCAAGGTGTCTTCTAGCCAGGAAGATATTGGATCCTAGAGATGAGAAGTATCCTCGCATTGACTCTAATTATATTGAATCGAAATAGGCCAGTTCGCTATTTACTCGACAAGAAGCTCGGTAGTAACATACCCTGTTAGGTAAAGACCCTACTTGTTGACAGTATCTTCAGAGACTCCCAACTTGCAAGAGAAATGGATCGGAACTGTCTGATCACAGGGCCTCGATACCCCCACGCAAGCGACCAGCCAGCCACATCGATCCCAGTACCGCAGATAGAACCAGGCCGCCGACGGTGTAGAGATCCCAGTTTTTGGCTTTAATGACAGACATACGCATATCAGCCGTCTGCAAGTGCATCGACCGCAATTCCTTCCCATCTTTGAACCGTAGCTCATTGTCGTACATCAGCTCCTCGATAAGATCGACAGCGTGGTATTTACGACGAGCAGCCACATGAGCAACGCGTTGCAGGTGTAGCATATTCTGGCTATATGCCTCCTTTTCTGACCTGAGAATCTTCGTGACTTTGGCGTAGAATTCATCCGACGTAAAGCATATTCTCATTCCACAGTCTATGTAAGGATTCACCTTGGACAGTCCCATTTATATACTTGAAGGAGGCAAACACTGCAAACTACCTTGGTAGGTAGTATAGCACGTGACTCGGTCCAAATGTCGATCTCGGTCTTTTGCATCTCTCTCTCTCTTCTTTCACTCCTACGGAGTAAGAACGATAGACCCCAAAAGAGCAATTGGGAGGAGGAGAAGGTGTTTTCTCCACATCTATCATACACACCTTGGAAGAACAACCATTTCATACTATACAACCTTCCAAGGTTGTGTACATATGTTGATCAACCCCGCCATCCAACGTTGATCCCGAATAGATTAGATCCTGGACAATTGGAAATATACCTAGGTAAGTCTGCGATATGCCCATGATACATATATGGTCAGTACAAACCATTCAAAGAAATCAAGTTTGCATCTTCAACCTCCAAGTTAGTGACTCAAAAGGCCCATACCGAATTGACTCATACCCCACCATATGCTAGGACCTAGGTATAGAACAGTCAATTGGATGTGTAAATGTATATCCGGTGAATATATTAGGCTGTCGAAATACCAGTAAATCCTGCCATTTGAACATATAAATAGCTCCATCTCTTCTTACTTTTCCTCCAAGGTTGATCCACTGCGGTCCACACTTTGAGGTTTTTCTCTCCCGCTTCTCTCTTTCTCTTCTATCTCCCCCTCAATTAACCTCATCATGCCTTCCCGACAAGAAGTCTCCTACTTTGGAGCTGGTCCAGCTCCCCTCCCGTCCTCAGTCGTCGAGGCCGGCGCAAACGCATTCGTCAACTTCAACGACGCCGGACTCGGACTCGGCGAGATTTCGCACCGCTCCCCCACCGCCAACAAGATCCTCAACGACGCCAAGGCCAACCTCTCCGCTCTCCTCGATATCCCTGATAACTATGAGATCCTGTTCATGCAGGCCGGAGGCAGTGGCGAGTTCAGCGCTGTCGTGCAGAACCTGGTCCCCGTCTGGATTGAGCGCCGTCGCCGCAAGGCCGAGACCGACGTGAAGAAGGCACAGCCCGATGCGGAACAGGCTGAGGTTGACGAGTTGGTCTTCCAGAGACTTCAGAAGGAGATCGACGAGGAGCTGAAGCTGGATTACCTCGTGACTGGATCCTGGTCGCTCAAGGCTTCCCAGGAAGCCAGTAGACTGATCGGTTCGAAATACGTGAATGTCGCTCTTGATGCTCGCAAGGCCAACAATGGGAAGTTTGGTACAATCCCCGCGGAGGATTCCTGGTCGTTGACTCCTACCAAGAAGGAGGGCGGCAAGGGCTCTGCGTTTGTCTACTTCTGCGATAACGAGACCGTCGATGGTGTCGAGTTCCAGCAGTTCCCCAAGTCATTGGAAGCTCAGGGTCAGGATGCCGAAGATGAGCGTCTCGTTGTCGCCGATATGAGCTCCAATTTCATCAGCCGGAAGGTTGATGTCAGCAAATACGCTGTTATCTTCGTACGTCGCTTCAATCTCTCTGCGTTATGGGATACACTAACAATATATACAGGGAGGCGCTCAAAAGAACATCGGTGTCACCGGTATCACTATTGCCATCGTTCGCAAGGACCTCCTCCCTCCCCACACCGCGACTCCTCCCCCTGCTCTCCTCCACCGGTTGAACATTGGCGGTCTCCCGGCCCAATCGTTCTCGACTACGCCACTATCGCCAAGAACAACTCCCTCTACAATACCCTCCCCATTTTCAACCTCTGGATCGCCGGCCAGGTCATGGCCGACCTGATGGCCGAGTTCAGCGCTCAAAAGGTCAGCGGACAAGAGGAAGTCGCCAATAAGAAGGCACAGCTTATCTACGGTGCCTTGGACAAGTTCCCGCAAGTGTACCAGGTTGTGCCTGACGCCAGCGTCCGCAGCCGCATGAACATCTGCTTCCGTGTTAGCGGCGGCGACGATGCAAAGGAGAAGGAGTTCATCGCTGGCGCTGAGAAGCGTCTTCTCCAGGGTCTCAAGGGCCACCGCAGTGTAGGCGGTATGCGTGCCAGCAACTACAATGCGGTTCCATTGGAGAACGTGCAGAAGCTGGTGCAGTACCTCGAGGACTTTGCTACAGCACAGTAGACTGTGTTTGGATATAAAATCGGTGTTTGAGCGAATTCAACCTGGGGCTTTCGGCCAGGAATGTGTGATGGGTAACGAAATAGGACGCTGGAATGTGTCCAGGACAGTAGCGACTGTTTATTCAACATAACTCCCAGTATATCCATGCTATATATATGCTTTAATGACAAAAAGGTTTCCAATATTGGTACAAAAGCGGTCCAAAAGCCCAAGAGAAGTCGGTCAGAGCTTCCACACACTCCATTCTTTCAGATCAAGTTCTTTGATGACTCCTTTTAAGGGGCCCTGGAGCTCCTGACCTTGCGCCCACAGCTTGGGCCCAGCCATGTAGCCGATGAATCCCTCAGGACCGGAAACCAAAATCAACTTGCTCTTGCGAGAGTCTCTTGTTGACGCCGGTGCAATAGCACTTCGGATATCTTCCTTTTTAATGAAAGTGTTTTCCTCGTCCAAATAGTAATCCACGGTGACCTGTCCGGGATATTGGGACTTCAGCGCCTCTAGCTCTCGCACAATAAGAGAAGTGTCTTCCGTTCGTACATCCACAGCATTTCCCGGCGTGGTTTCACGGCCCTTCGACGAGCCAAACCACCCAGAGAACCAGCCCTGGCGTGGCTGCGGCTTTAGCGAGTCACTATGACCACCAGCGCAGTCATCCTTCAACCGATTCGCCCACAAGATATGGATGTTCGGCCGACGTTCAGCGTTTGTGCGATTCAAAAGAGAATACCCAGCCTGCAGAGCCGGCGCAATCCCCGTCCCACCGGCAATAAAGAGTATCTCCTCCGTTTCCTTCGGTATCGCGCATTCGATCTTGGGTCCACGCAGCTCGATATCAGCGCCTACGTCGATGTTATGCAGGTAGCGCGAGACCTCTCCAAACGGATCCTTCCGAATAAAGAACCGTAGACAGCCCTCATTCTCGTCGTCGACGCTTAGCGACGTCGCCGCCGTCGTGGGTAGCGGCGTATAATCACGTCCGATCTGTAATTGTGGTTGCTTGAACATCACACTCCAGACTCCTGTCTGCCATGCCTCCTCGTAGACATCGTAATTGCTGTCGCTGGGTTTGCGTGGTCGCAGCGTGAAGAGGCTGCTGGTTGCTGACACCGGCTCGCGTGATACAAGGCTGTATTTGGTAAACGTTTCAGGATTCAAGGTCGCGGATGATGTGTTTTGAGATCGGATATAGGCGCCTGCACCTGCTGCTGTTGCGCCTACGAAGACGATGCTTAGCCAGCGGCGCGAGTTGGAACGGGAAGGCTTTGACGTTGAGGCTGAGGTTGAAGCATAGCGTACAGGCCGAGCTACAGCTCTGAGACCTTGGCTGTTTCTACAGCATAAAGAGGGTAAGTTGTTCATGTGGAAGTGCAGAAGGGAAAAAGAAATCGCGGGGGGAAATTCAAAAGGTCGAGGCCAAGAGCCGATTGGGCGATCGACAAGAAAATGCCCCTTTGGCGGTTTCTTTCTTTCTTCACTTCAACGCAATTTGAGGACTTCTCCTCTCTACGCTCTCTATAGACTTGACATTCTCGACATTCCCGACATTCTCTTCGGGCAATGGAGAGTCCCCTTGGCCACTCCTGACGACATACCTTTCCGCCATTCTTTCCCGACTTATACACCGACACAAAGAGAGATATGCCGAATACATACCAAGGCAACAGGAATGGCAGCCTCGTCGCGCCTCGAGATTCACTAGAACTCGCTTCCCTCGCTTCCTCATCTCCCGGCTCCGTAGGCGGGTCCTCACGCTCCTCCTCCCCCGACGGCATCTCCTCATCCCGCAAGCTCTCCCTCGAAGACGAAGATCCTCTCGCAGAAGCACATGCAGATGCCGAGCTAGGAACAGGCCGCCATAGAGCTCAAAGCTCATATTCCATATCCTCCGCTTTCGATTTTGGACGCACTTTGTTCCCGCTGTCGCAAACACAAGGTGGCTACGCACCCCTAGGTACTCCGTCCGCAGACAGACCGGGGTTCACAGATGGATCGCTGGAGCGGAATAAGACATTGACATATCTGAATGGGCTGTCACTCATTGTCGGGCTGATTATTGGATCTGGTATCTTCTCGTCGCCGAGTCAGGTCAACGCCAACGCGGGGTCGCCGGGCGCCTCGCTCATCGTTTGGGCCGTGGCTGGTCTATTGGCTTGGACGGGGGCTGCTAGCTATGCAGAGCTGGGAGGAGCGATTCCCTTGAATGGAGGCTCGCAGATATATCTGTCCAAGATCTTTGGAGAGCTGACAGGCTTCCTTTTCGCATGGTGCGCTGTGTTAGTACTGAAACCTGGGTCTGCGGCGATTATCTCTCTCATCTTTGGTGAATATGTCGTTCGCGCGTTTGTGGGCGCCGATGTGGGCGATGTCAACCCTTGGATCAACAAGGGTGTTGCATTTGGAGGGCTTGTGGCAGTGACTCTGCTCAACTGCATTTCCACCAAGTTCGCCACTCGCATTGGTGATTTCTTTATGTTCTTCAAGTTCGTTGCTCTGCTAGGAGTCACCGTCATCGGTATTATAGTCGCGGTGACTGGCTTCTCAGCTGGAGGAAATGCAAATGAAGAATGGAAGACGACAGGATGGTTCGAGGGAACCAACACCGAGATCTCTGATTTTGCAGTGGCCCTGTATGCAGGTCTCTGGGCATTTGATGGCTGGGACAATGTAAGTTGACTCTCGAGTATTCCTTTAAAGAAAAGGCTTCTACTCACACACTGTAGACCAACTACGTGACGGGTGAGTTCAAGAACCCAAACCGCGATCTGCCACGAGTCATCCACACAGCGATGCCACTGGTCATCTTGTCCTATCTGCTTGCCAATGTCTCATATTTCCTCGTTCTCCCTCATTCCACCATCGAGGCAAGCAACACCGTCGCTGTACAATTCGGCGGGAAGGTATTCGGTGCCGCCGGAGCCTTGATTCTAGCTCTCGTCGTCTCAGCCAGCTGCTTCGGAGCCCTCAACGCAACCACCTTCACAAGCGGCCGATTAGTCTACGCAGCCGGCAAAGAAGGCTATCTGCCCTCGATATTCGGCCGCATCGGTCTCAACGCCTCCCCTCGCAAGGCCCTCCAGCAACCAGCCGACTTCGTCGCCGTTCCTGGGCCCGAAAGTCCCTCTCCCGTCTCTTCGGCGATGAATCCAGACTCGGATTCACCCCGATCTATGCGATGGCATTTAACAGCGCCCTGACAGCCATCTACATCATCGTGGGCGAGTTCGGCACCCTCGTCACTTTCTATGGTGTGGCCGGATACACGTTCTACTTCCTCACCGTTCTCGGTCTGATCGTCCTCCGTATCCGTGAACCCCAGCTGGAACGTCCCTGCCGCACCTGGATCACCACACCCATCATTTTCTGCTGCGTGAGCCTGTTCCTCCTCAGCCGAGCGATCATTTCCGAGCCACTGCAAACGCTCATCGTGGTCGCGTTCATCATCACCGGTGTGCCTGTCTACTACTGGCGTATCTACCAGCGCGATGGTCGGATTGACCTCCCCAGCTGGAAATTTTGGAAGCGCAGTTTCCTATAAGTTCGGGGGAACTCCCCCCTCCGTTCTTTGCTCTTATGATTGTGATACCCATGCATATATAGCTGGGGTGTATGGTACGAAGCGTAAGCTTTGTTTGGTGTCTGTGTGTATATTCGGGCTTGCAATGGAAGCCTTTTTGGCGACGATGTGACGATCATGGCTCTAGGCAGGTGCATTCTGCTTGCTTCATCTTCTTGCTTGTTTCATGATGCCCCACGCCGTGTCTGCTTCTACCTTGTTTTATTAGAGAACTAGCGCACTACATCCTACATGTGGTGCATATATACATAATTTCTATAATATTTGCATATTGCAGTTCTTCATATACCAAGACCATCCCAAACGGAAGCCCGCACGAGAACCGCAGCTGGCTTCTCATCCTCTGGCCCAGCATCAGATTCTGCGAAGAATAGTGGTCCGAAGCATTGGTCTGCTGGGTGGTAGATACGTGTAGAGATGACCGTTCTGTCATTGACAAACACTTCCAACACACTCGAGTCAAAGAAGGCGTGTACTCGAAGCGTCTCTTCAACCTCTTCGCCGCGCTCGTTCAAGGTAGTAAATAGCGTGTGCGGAGCGCTTTCGTAGCCGTGGTTTACTTCGGCGTCATCAATCAGAGGTCGATGGATTTCGAAGGTCTCACTTCGTGGATCCCAGAAAAGGGTCGTACAGTCTTGGCCATCTAGAAGAACGTATATCAGTATATATACAATTAACTCGATGAATCAGAATCAGTGGCTTACCGGAAGTGTGTAGAATCTTGATGCCCACACGTGCACAAGATCTACTAACGGAAAATTCGGCGTGGAGTTCCCATTTAGATGTCCCCAACAGCGCAGCAGTCTGTGAAGGTGATGTAGACAGGACAACGCCATCGAGGTGGCTCTCCCGGGCATTTTGTCTCAGCCGCGTGAGTCGGCTATCTGGGCTGATCTTCATGGTGTGGATTGTGAAGGTACCAGTGCCAGTTGCGTCGGGAATTGCGTCAATTGAAGTAATCGAACTCAACTGTGATATTCGCGCTTTCTTGACATCTTTCAAGGTCATCAATCCCACCACACGGGGAAGTGAAACCAAGCCGCTGAATCCTTGGCGATGACGGAGAGAATCGGACAGGTCCTCTTCCGTGATCCAGCCATAGACGATACGTTGCGAGGTTTGAAGGTCGTAGAATGAGTTGGCAGCATAGTAGCAGCCGTGATCGAAGATACCAGAGAATGCATATGAGGCCAGAGCACTGTATTTGGAAGTAGATCTGCTTTCGCCGTTAGAATTGACACACATCCAGAGCTGGGCTCGGGTTTCTCGTCTCTGGCGTGCTTGTTGGGGCCCGTGTTGGTTCGAACTATCCAATCGCACACAGCCTTCGGCTCCCATGATGATGAAGTCCCGAGACGTCCCAATGTCGTTGGTCAGAGTCATCAGATTAACGACTTCCCAGTTAACACCATAGTCGCCAGACCAGCGAGATGGTCGCAGATTGAGACCGACGTCGACCAATGGGCCAACGAAATCCCACTTGCTGAGGTCTGATTCTTGCACAGTATAGACAAAGGCCGTTGGGGTTTTCTTGGAAATTCCTCCTGATAGAATGCCATATAGTGTTGAAGGTGTGTGTTTGGAAAGAGGCCCCTCGGCCCACGTTGTGATAACAGGATCTCTCCAGCCCGTCACTTTAAGATGTGAAGGTGGACCAGTGAGGAACGGGTTGCAGCCCTGGCGCTCCCAGGTCTTGCCTCCGTCTTGCGAGACAGCCAAACTGAGAGACTCACTTCCGAGTGTATATGGTAGCGTATAATGGATTGGGAGATGTCTCACGGACGTGTATATGACTGTGAGAGCTCCTGGCTGTCCGGCGACATCTGTTGCCCGTAGACATCCTGTAAAGACGCCGAGACGGTCGTATTCAGCAGAGGGTGTCAAGATTGGTTCGGTGCATGTCGTCCATGACACCAGGTCTGGAGATGTGGCATGGCCCCAGGACATATTGCCCCAATCATTCCCGTGCGGGTTCCATTGAAAGCATAAATGGTACAATCCTGTTTTTGGGTCGTATCCCAACCCGGACGGATCATTCATCCATCCTGCTGGTGCTATCACATGGAATGATGGTCTCCATTGTGAAGGATTCTGAGGTAATTTCTTCTCATGAGATACGCCATTAACTTTGTGATCTTTGCAAGGAGATTGCTCGGAGTTGTGCAGATGTTTGAGGACAAGCGTGTCCAATTCTGCTGTCATGACAGGGCCAGACATGGTTTGATATTGGGCCTTGGTGTGAAAGTCGAAACTGGACGGGCCGTTGTTGGGGATGACCAGGTAGAGATATATCTGTGCAATTCGGACTCGGCAACTCACCGACCAAACTTGTGCCGAGAACCCCGAGCTATTCTCCGAGAAGTCAAAATTATAATCTGATAACGTGATTCAGATCTTTGCTTCAAGAAAGATTGATCCCGACTCGGGGGATAATCGGGAATAGCTTCGGCATTTGCAGGAGGATTGTCGGCGAAATCAACAAAAAGACCAAAAATGAGTCAACATCAAAATAGCAAAATAGACCAGCAGATGAGAGAATTAAATGAGCAAATGGGGTAATTCGGAATATAAAGGGATCTCTCACCTTGTAGGGAGTTCGATGAAATCTCGAGAAACTTCCCCAAATAAATCCGGGGAGTAAGGCTGGAAGAAAATCCGGGGGATCCGGGGAACTTCCCTTCCACATCCCCCTTTTCAGTATGAATTGAGATATAGCCATCTAGTACCCTTATGGAAGTGTGTCTCCAAGGGTATAGGCTCACTCTATTTTGGATTCAGTTCTGCATCATGTCTTTCAAGGGTGGTTCGACCGAAACCCAACATGTCGACTACTCGGACTCGGACGCGCCTCGAAAGTCCCACGCGATAAATGCCCAGTTAATCTTCGCATGTACAGTGTTTGGTGCAGCTTCATTCTTGTTCGGATTCGACGACAAGATCATTTCTCCGGTTGCTGCATTGCCGGGTTTTGTGAGTGTTGCATCATAGCATCATAACATCATAACATCATAGCAAAACATGGATCCCAGCTGATTCCCACAGGTTGAGAAATTCCAAGGACCTAACCCAGTCACTGGGAAGTATGTCCTCACGGCTCGCAATCAGAATCTGGTATTCTCCCTTCCATTAGTGGGGTCCGTGATCGGAGGTCTGCTTGCTTCGCCAATGAATTTCCACCTTGGTCGCAAATGGCCTTTGATCATCGCATATTTCGTGTCTGTGGGTGGTGGATTGCTGCAGGTCTTTGCCCCGAATTTGGGGGCCTTTGTGGGTGGCCGCTCTATTAATTCGGTTGCTCTGGGCATCATAAATGCAACTGCCCCTTTGTATATCTCCGAGGTATTGATTCTTTACCACTTGCTCGGTGTTCAATCTCGCTGACTCTTACACCTAGGTGGTCCCCGTATCTATACGGGGAAGATGTGTCAGCTCAATGAACATCTTGAATCTAACAGCCGGCGTCGTAGGTACCGTGGTGGTGTTCAGAACAGAAAAGATCGATGGGAGCCTATCATATCAGATCCCAATGGCTATACAGTGTGCTCTGCCTGTCCTTCTTCTCCTCCTGACAGTGCCCCTCCCAGAAAGCCCACAATGGCTGGCAGGGAAGGGAAATATAGAAGACGCTCGACACAACCTGCGGAAACTGCGTGGGTCCAGTGACGACGAGGTTGAAGAGGAACTCCGTCTCATGAAGCTGTCTGAAGAAAATGAGCGCGAGCTACATGCCCAGACCAACTTCTGGCACATATTCCAGCGACAGCACCTCAAGCGTACCCTAACTGCAGGCTCATTTTTCTCTCTCAACCAAATATCAGGCATTATCCTTTCAACCACATATACAACCGTCTTCCTCACAGCACTGGGCGTTGCAGACGCCTTCGCCCTGACAATCATCTCATCCTGCTGCACATTAGCCGGCACCATTGCCGCACCCTTCGTCATCGACCGTGCCGGTCGACGTCCCACCGCATTCATCGGAATGGGGATTCTGTTCATAATTGACGTCGTGGCCGGTGGTTTAGCCTTCAACACAGGCAACAAGAAAGCCACTATGGCCATCGCCGCTTTGTCCTTCGTATTCAACTTCTTCTGGGCTTCTTCCTTCTTCTCACTGTCGAACGTCATGCCCTCCGAAATGGCAACTCCCAAACTCCGCCACCACACAATGGCATACACAATTGCCTGTGCGCAAACAACTGCCGTTATCACCACTCTTGTTGTTCCGCAGCTGACTTCGGCGGATGCAGCTAACCTTGGCGCGAAGACTTATCTCATCTTCGCTGGCTGCATGGCTGCGATCATTGTGTTTTTCTACTTTTTCATGCCGGAGACGCGTGGCCGGACTTTTGCCGAGATCGATGAGATGTATGCCGCTAAGATCCCTATGTGGAAGTGGAGGTCGTATGAGACTTCATTTGAGTTGAGGTCCCGTGAGTCAAAGGGTTTGTGACATGACTAGTTCGTCCGTCTAATTGAAGTCTGTAAATAACCTTTGACTTGGGTATAGTTAAACTCGTATTTGGTACACTGTAACATGAGCCAATGAGGTCTAAAAAGTAGATCGTACAAATCGAAGACACATTTCGTACAGGAATTGGAAAGATCACGACGTGGGCCAAGAAGAAAAGGGGAGGAAAAGAAACAAAACCACTATAAGAGCAGGTGTCATCGTTGTGGCCATTCCGGAGCTGGGGCTTTGGGCTCCATAATCTGTAGTGAGCGTAGGTGAGCCCTATACTTCTCCAGATAAGGATGGTTTCCACCGCGGAAGCTGGTCAGAAGTAACAGGAAATCTTCTGCGAGACTCTGGGGCGTGGAAGATGTAGTAAGTGGTATTCTTTCAGTGAAGGTGACGGGCGTGTTTAGGCCAACCCCGTAAGATGGGCTTGTGTTGCATAGGATGTTTGTTGCACAGATTGCGATATCGTATAGTTTTTCGGTCTAAGTATTGAATTGTTAGTATGGGGTCCAGTTCACAAGCCGAACCTACACATCTACGGGATATTGATGAGAGAAAGTTCATACCAAACCGATGCCGTGAGCTTCCATGGAGCTCAACCGTAATGACTGGCAAAGCTGGAGAGTGGATTCGGCAACAGATACGGCATATCCGTAGCTCAGCTCGGGTTGTTCCGCATGGGCACTCAGAAGCCCGTGGGTTGAGGAGAGGAGCCAGACACGGTTCTGGAGCCATTTCTGGGTGATAAAAACGTCCGCTGCTTGGGTCTCTCGTAGGCCCATGGCAAACGTGGCATTGCTGGTTTCGCCACGGCCTCCCTTGGCTCGCTCGAACCAGTCATAGCCGCGATATCGTTCGGCTTGGTTGACTCGATTGAGATTTTGGTGAATGGAGAGTGCCTTGACTTCGGTGAGCCGCTGGCAGTACCCGTTGCTGATATCGCATCGGCGGTTCCAGCAGTCGATGACATCTTCGTCGATGGCATCGAATAGTTCCATCATTCGTGCGAGACCCATCATCCCTTCAGCGTCTTTCTCGTTGTGGACCACAATGCCAGAGACGACGCTATGCGTGGCACTGTGAATGAAGTCATGCACTGACCGCATAGTGAACCCTGGCTTCCCCCAGAAGGTTATTGGGTGTCGCCGTTGCAAGGCGTAGGCTCTAAAGTTTATGGTCAGCAGCTTAATTTTTGGGAGGGTTACTTGCTTACTTACCTTTCTGTAATAGAGAGGACGAGATACGTCCGTAGCCGCTGGCCCTTCTCTTCCCCAGACAGATCCTGATATGACTCGGGATCATTTAATCCCAGCGTGGCCGCAAGATCTAATGCCTCCCGTATCCGGAGCCATGCGGCGTTGTGCTGATTACTTCCAAACAAACAACCGAAGAGGAAAAAGCTTGTGAGGACAGCTTCAATGGTTGGATTCTCGCCAAAATCCGAACAGCTTCGCATTTTGGTCGCTTCGTTCATCATGGCTCGTGCCTGCAGAGCTCGGGATGAGGTTGTCGGCCGCTCGTTGATCTCAATTGGCTGTGTGAGCGAGAACGCACATAACGACAATAGCATGGCCCCGAACTGAGAGTTCTTGCGATGTTCTTGCGTGATCATTGAAGTGTAGAGGGATGATCGGTTGAGAACGGGAATGGTCGGATGCAGCCGATCGAAGTAAACATCAATCCAAGGGATCATATTTGCTTCGTTGATTGTAGATGGCCAAACCGCATGAGTCTCCTGGGTATCTGAATGCATAGACCCCACGGACGGTGAGAATGGCATATTTGGAGCATCCTGTGGAGGCATACCCATGGCCGCAGCATCGGGGACTGGTTGAATGATAGACGGAAGAGATGGCCTGAGATAGACATTATTTCCTGGGAATTCGAAGACAGGGACTTGGGATTCCAGATTATCTGGAAGCCAGTACTCCGCGTCACTTCGATCATTCCAGCTCATAGCGCTGTTGCTATGAGAATCTATAGATGCGGTTTCCTCTCCCCAGGGTGCCATTGGAGGTGGTATACCTGCAGGCGGTAGTGTTCCGGCCCCCTCAAGGGGCACCGTGGCTGCACCATGAGTGGGGTTCCAAGGTGCTCCGGGCAAAGAACCGGCTTGACCGGACTCCACCGATGAGGTTGGAGCTTGGAACTGGAAGCTATTCTTGGATTTTTCTTGGGGAGTTATGACAGTTTGCTGCTGTCGAATTTGCGACACGCGACTTCATCCCAGTTAGCGATATAAATTTACACCTGCGCAGTCACGGGGGATTACTCACTGCCCGGTTGGTCCGCGCTTCTTTTGAGGTTGAAGGAATGTACACTCGAAGCCCATGGACTCACAAGCCTTACACGGTTGTGACAAGCTGCACTGGGAGGCAAGTTAGTACACTCATTCTCATTTTAATACATGAAAGGGGGTGGGGGATATCATGTCTTACCTTGATCTTGCGGAATTTGCATTGGTCACATGCTCTCTTGGCGATAGCCGATTTATGTGATCGGATGGCGCCGGTAGCAGTGCCTGGAGATTGTCTAGTTTCCATGATGAAGCCGAGTAGCTGTAGAGCTATAGCTCTTCCCTTAGGTTAAAGAGAATTGTGTCGGACATAAAATCTAGTGAGGTCGAAGAAGGTTTGACCCACATTGGCCCCCTTCTTCCCCCGCTCTCCGCTCGTGCTCTCTTCATCTTCTCTCGAGATATTTTACAGATTCAAAAAAGATGATCGAAAACCCCAAATTATTTGGGGGAACGGCAGATCTCGGTTAGATAAAAAAAAAAGAAATTACTCCAAAAACGACATTTGACCAGAGTGTGCCACGTCCCCACTTGATAAGAGTGGCCCTCGGACTACAGTCCGAGCACACTATATTAGGCTAGTCTTGACCTCCAACAGGCCTCATACAAGTGCAATTCATAGCAACATGGGCAGCTTACAGACCTGGGAAGAGACTGTCTCCCAGAAGCGGGCCATCAGAGACCAACTCATCGCACCGTACTTAGCCGATGTAGCTCAACGTCTGCCGCGAGTACAGAATGCCGAGGAGCGTACTCGACTTGAAGATCCCTTGATTCAAACGATCACAGACATTGACAATGTCACCACTCTGCTGGAATGCATGGAGAAAGGAGAGTTCCTAGTAGAACAAGTGATCAGGGCATATATCCAACGGTATGTCTTTTATCGGGGTTGGAACAGGCCATATACTAATATCATCGGTAGGGCTGTGGTAGCGCATCAATTAGTATGTGCCGTGCATCTTCGTTTCTGTTTCCATCCTTGCCCAAGAAGTCGCTGATAGAATCTGGCATGGATAGACAAATAGCCTGACCGAGGTTCTTTTCGAAGATGCCCTAGAACAGGCAAAGCAGCTAGACGCCGAATTTGCAGAAACTGGAAAGCTCAAAGGTCCCCTGCATGGAATTCCAATCACGCTGAAAGACCAATTTAACGTCAAAGGCGTTGACACGACCCTGGGATATGTGGGCAGATCCTTTCCCCGCCCAGGAAGACGCAGCGCTTGTGCAGATCTTGAAGAACATGGGTGCCATCGTCATTGCGAAGACAAATATTCCACAGAGTATCATGGTTCGTCCGAGGTTGTCACTGGCGGTATCTGATTTGGATATTGACTCTACTTCCAGTGGGCCGAAACCGAGAATCCTCTCTGGGGACTGACGACTAACCCTCGCAATCCACTGTTTTCACCCGGTGGGTCAACTGGCGGCGAAGGCGCTTTGTTGACATTGCATGGATCACTATTGGGATTTGGGACTGATATTGGCGGAAGTGTAAGAATCCCACAGGCTACAGTGGGCTTGTACGGATTCAAACCAAGCGTAAGTACCAACCGCCATTAACAAAATGTCCTTTTCCCTCTTTGATGTGTGTTGCTGATTCCCAAAAACAGAGCGCCCGACTTCCCTACCAGGGCGTACCCGTCTCCACTGAGGGTCAAGAACATGTCCCGTCTTCAATCGGCCCGATGGCCCGGGATCTCTCGTCTATCTGCTACATGAGCCGTCTGATAGCGAACAGCCGGCCATGGGATGTCGATCCAGGATGCGCTCCTCTTCCCTGGAATGACACTGCATTCCAAGAACTTCAAGACCGACCTATGGTAATCGGCTTGATCCTGGATGACGGTGTAGTAAAGGTCCACCCGCCTATTGCGCGCGCCTGCTGAGAACTCTCAGCAGCGCTTAAAGCACATGGGCACGAAGTTGTGGTCTGGGATACATCTGATCATGCGGAGTGCATTGAGATCATGGATCTCTTCTACACGGTCGATGGGGGTGAGGATATTCGTCGGGATGTAGCCGCTGCCGGCGAGCCGTTTATTCCTCATGTTGAAGCGCTGGTTAACCGCGGCAAGGCTATCTCGGTTTATGAATATTGGCAGTTGAACAAGCAGAAAACTGCAGTGCAGAAGAAATATCTGGACAAATGGAACGCGGCGCGATCACCGTCGGGTCGGGCTGTCGATGTTCTGCTGAGTCCTACCTTGCCGCATACGACTGTGCCTCATCGGAAATTCCGTTGGGTGGGCTATACTAAGATTTGGAATTTGCTGGACTACCCGGCTTTGACGTTCCCAGTGGATAGAGTGAGGGCTGAGGTGGATGTGTTGCCGTCGGAGCCTTATATCCCGAGAAACAGCCTCGACGAGTGGAATTGGAATCTTTTCGATGCCAAACAAGCGGATGGATATCCAGTGAATCTGCAGATCATTGGGAAGAAACTCCACGAAGAGAAGGTACTGGGGGCTGCTACAGTTATTGAGAAGCTCTGGAAAAGTCATGTCGACAAATCCAATTGAGCTAGGGATATATGGGTGGAATATCAAGTTGGGCCAACTCGCAGACTGAATGACGTATATCGCAGTGGACTGAACTGAATTTTGGAATAAATATGGTAGACATAACTCATTATGCAGCTTGGTGGGATATCTGCCTCCAGAGTCATTTAAATCACAAACGCCGTGGGAATATGCAACAAGACAAGCAATCTAGAGTTTCAAGCCTTGGGAGGCTCGAACAGATCGGGTTTCATGTTAATTTTGCAAAGCTTCGCCACACAGCCGCTCAGCTGAAGCAGTGACTGCACGCCGTCTAGGATACGCATATGCGTGAATCCAATCTCCCGGATAAACTCCAACTTGGAATGTTCAGACAATGTGGGAATGGTCTTGGTGACTCGGAACATGGTACTGATGATATCGTGAGCAGAGTAACCCAGGGTCCTGTAGATATAAAATGGTTAGAACTTCCAATACATCGAAGCAAACAGATCCGTAACATACCATAGCTCGTTCAACCCCTCCAGTGCCACATCCACCTTGCCTTCCCAGCAAGCCTTGATCATGGCCTGGACTTTGATCGGGTGCGGGCTGTCGACTACTCGGAAGACATTGTCTCCGCTGACGAAACCGAAACCGGACCAAGTACTCTGCAGGTTGTTGATAGCCTGACGCATGTCACCCTCGGCACTGAAAACAAGTGCGGCAATGCCATCCTCAGAGTGCTGGACCTTCTCCGCTTCGCAAATCTGCATCAACCGTTTCACAACTTGAGCATCTGTCAACCGGGCATACCGGAGAATGGCGCAACGGGATTGAAGTGGTTCGATGATCTTGTTCGACTGGTTGCAGGCAAAGGCAAATCGTGTGGTGGAGGAATAGATTTCCATAGTACGTCGCAGGGCTTGTTGGGCACCGGCGGTCATGCTGCGGTGATATGTGAGTCCAATGACCAAAACCGAGACTCTGGCAGAAACAAACCTATCGGCTTCATCAAGGATGACCAATTTATGGCGTCCCTGGGGCAGGGTAACCTTCTTTTGGGCGAAACCTTTGATCCGGTTCCGCACCACATCGATACCTAGACCACATCAATATCGACCAAAGCCATGAAACCAATTATGCCAAAACTAACCTCGCTCATCACTCGCATTCAGCTCCAGAACTGCCTCCTTGTACGCATCTCCCAGCAATTGCCGTGCCAGACATAGTACTGAAGTGGTCTTTCCAATACCCGGCATGCCGGAGATGATAACGTGTGGCATATTACCATCTTTGGCAATGATCTTTAACCGTTCCACTGTTTCAGTGTTGCCGACAATATCATCGAGGAAAATTGGGCGATATTTCTCGACCCTATTGGCAAGTCAAAGGTTAGCTCTACCTGATATTCTCGTGAAAGGAAACCCTACCAGGGGAGCTCATAGTCCACAGCGGCACCAGCAGTATTTGCTCTGACACCATTGCGAGAAGCAGTTGAGGATTCAGCTTGAACCATTGTGAGTAATTTGGTGATTCCAAAGTGAAGAAAGGCAGTGAAGGGGAGACGCGAAAGAAGCACGCGTGGGAAAGATAACGGCTTATCAGCTGGCCTGTGCACTTCACAGTGATGTGTGGCATGGAGACATTGAAGCTGTTATTTTATGATTTCATATCCTATAATCTCTATAGAAGCTTAATATGGAGTATAAAGTAGTCAATTAGTACCAACATGCTGACTGCTGCACATGTAGTTCATTCCAATGCTGGCGGTTGTCGTGATCTTTTTTTTCTCATCTACTTCATTCCGCGCCATTCTTCCTCTCTTCCCCCAACAACAATTATTCTTAATACCTAAAAGCTGGGAAATGACACTACTCCCTCCATTCCACATACCCTGACACCCATAGCTGGAATCAACCCGCTCCTCGAGACATCCACGCTTCCTCTCCGCGACGCGCACGGCTCAACGCATACTCAGAACCTTCGGCCAAACACAACAGAAAACACAGACCGTGGTGTATGCAGTTATGCAAACATCTGGAATTATGAACCAGAGCTCTGTCCGCCGCAACCTCTTCCACGGGAATCTCAGCCGCCGACCTGCTTCCGCAGGTCCACCCAATGGTGCAGTTCCTCAGAACCACAACGGCCTTTCCAATCGCCCCTCGCACCGGCTGAAGTCTACATCCTCCGACTCAGGGCCACATACTCGACCATTCAAATCTGTGGAGAATAAAGATATTGTGGTTCGGGACAAGAATGGCAGCTACAAGCTTGAGATTCCAACATTGCCGCAAGCTCTAGTTGGAGAGGATGGGGAGGAGTTGGCTGAACTTGTGCCGGAGGATGGAGGATTTGATTCTTCGGACCTCACTGGGCGGGACAAAGAGAGTATGTTTTTGACATATTGATGAAGTATAGTCTGCTAATGCATGATATAGAGTTCGAGGCGGCTCTTGTGGAGATGATGGTTCGGCACCGGACCAGACAATCGAACGGTGAACCTGATGGTAAGTTGCGAGTCTGCCGGTCGTTCCTATGACCATGTACTGATCCGAAAACAGAGATTCTGAATATGGTGCACGAGAGCCTACGCAAAAAGGCAGCATCATTGGATGATGATAATTGGATGTTTGAGCCTGAGAAAGACTCTATTTCTAACTAGACAGGGCTGCGCTTGCTGCATGCATCTTGATCTCATTACACTATCAGTTGGATATGTTTCCTGCAAAGGCCTGCTTCAAAGGACCGACGCATCGGGTCTCCCTTAATCGAGCTCCATGCTCGACGGCGGTGCCTCAACCTTCTTGGCTCTGGATTGTGATGCTCCTGTCTTGTTCTGACCTCCTCCAAACAACATACCGTTCATCATGTCCATCAAGGGGTTTCCTTGCCGGGGGATCTTGATGGCAAAGTATTGCTCGCCAATCTGAGCCAGAGCATCGTCCCAGATACCAACTTCTCGAATCTGCGCCGCATAGTGTCCAGTGAGCTGCCGGAAGAGATCGGCGCTTCCGCGCTGGATGGCCAACAGCAGCATGGTGATGAAGTTCATCAAAGGAAGTGCAGGGAACACCCGGGCGTCGGAGCTGGCACTGCTAACATCCTGCACACCGAGCTGAGGGTTGGCCGCTGAAAGCCGTGAAGTGAAAATAAGCAGGGCTTTGTTCGCGCTGCGGAGATTCCCGGTGAGGAGGTAGGTGAAGACTGCGCGTGACGCATAGATCGCTGCGGTGTGTGGCTCATCGTTGGTATACCACTCGTACTCGAGCTTTGCAAGGGTTTCGGCTGATTCGGAGGTTCCTAGGATGAGATGTTTCTCGGCATCGTATGGCTCGTTATCTGAGGCACTAGATTAGAATGCATCAAACATTGCGCTCCGACATCACTCACCTTCGGCGTATACTGAGCCAACAGCATGATGTAAATCCGGATCTCCTCGTTCGAGTGGTCCAAACTTGGCACTCCATCCAATCATTTCTTGGATGAACCTCTTTCGTGTAGGTTCATCTGACGGGAATTCGCGCAGCAGCTCGATCAGGCGCTCTGAAGAAACAAAAAATAATACGTTAGCAATCTAGATCCGTGGTAGCTACCGGGACAGCCTGAAGCACCACGCTGCAGTAATCAACCCTCAGTAGTAAAAAGACGTTTGAGACTCACTCTTCCGAGCCCGACCCTCTGCATCATCATTACCGCCTGCAATCTCCCATTCGGCTTTGTTGTATACCTCCAGCACCAACATAATGGCCAAGTCTCCACCACTGGCCGATGCACCCTGCTGAGCACCAGCTTTCAATAGCTCCTTCGCGCCACCAGCCAGGATTTCCGCCGCAGCATCGTAGTTGGATTGCTTGATATACCGGACAGCAATAACGCGTAGTTGCTGGTGAGCTTCGTAGTATGCGCCATCAGCAATCCTAGACAACAACAGACGGTCAGAATGGGATCTTTTGAGGTCCGAGATGGTTACGGGCCAGGTGGAATTCTCACTTTTCTCGCTGGCGGGCGATGACTTTATCAATCCGGGATGACATTGTCGACTAAAAGGAAGCGCTGATCATAAGAAATCAAAGAAAGTAGAACCGAGGACGCTATCAAGCAGAGTGCGCAGTGCAAGAACGTTCGCGGGGAGTTGGTTGAGATTTGGTGGGGACGCGGCAATCCGGCCAAAGCCCTGGAGAACATGGCATCTCCGCCATCTCCTTCAGAAATACCTTATGGTTGCTTTATAGCTGGACCAGCTTTGCTTTTACACGAAATCTACAATTTCCGCTGTTTGAAGTCTGTTCGTTCTATTGCCCTCTGTTTCCGGCGATATTACAATAATACCACGCCATTACGGGCATCCCTAACGACAATACGAGCTATCTAACTAGGTCGCGACAATCTATATCAAGGACTAAACAATCGTTTTTCTTCATGCGACCATGCCCATCACCCAATAGTGCGACAAATTCATCATGAACGGGTCTACTTTTAATATCCAGCCCCTGCACCGCTTCGGCGGCGCAAATACCTCTATCCGGAGACCAAGGGTAAGCCAAAGACCTGGCGCCATGTCAAACAAATCGAAATGAATAACTCACCTGGTGTTAGGAAATCGCATGCTTCTCTTATGATGAACAGCGTCGTTTTTCGCTTGGCGATTCATCCATGGCCTATTACTACACACCGGCTCTCCCTGCAGACCTGAACAAGGGCTATGAGACATTCCAGAAGCTCAATGATGCCGCAGATGAACACTTGGATGCTTTACTTGATACCCTTGTTGCTTATGAGAAAGAAACAGAGAAGAAGTGTGATGTAGACATCGTCACATGGAGAGGAATGATGACCAAGGTGCGTTGAATTGAAGTCTGACGCGACTATCATCTAGTTTTGAACCAAATTCTGACTGCTATATACAGATCCTAACGACTCCCTTTGATAATATGAATGGGTTCGTAGCCCTGAAATATCACCAACACAGAGTGCTGTCTCTCTAACCCTAACTATCTCTAGCTTCGAGATGAATGCAACTCTTTTCCAGGTACGATATCAATCTCAACAAGGCTGTTTGGCTTCCATGATCTAACCTCTAGTATAGGGCACTATGTGTGTATATCCAGCGAGCAAGATCACTATATAAATTACTGACTTGTTCTAGATTCATCGAAGAAAACAACGAGTACAAGAACCAACAGAAAGAGATCCAACGCAAGCGAGGATCGCCACCTGGAATGGCACCGCAGGAACTCATGATGTATTGGGGTGTGTAAAACAACCCATGAAATATATGCTTAGACTAACTAACAATCCTAGGCTACAAATTCGAAAAACTGGCTGTACTTTCAAAAACATGGCATGAATCAACCCGTGAAGAGATCGAAGGCCGCGGGGACGAAGTCGTCAACAACGCAGCACAGTATTGTTCGGTTGTCCGCACTGGGATAGGTAACGTGCGTATGATTCTCGGTGGAGAGGTTGATGCCAGTATGTTCACCTTGATTATGATTATCGTGGCTATATCAAATCCTAACTTCTTCTCTAGTCTGGGACAGCAAGCCGTCCCGAAAAGAAAGCCCCATTAACTGGGTTGAGCTGAAGACATCAGCCCAGATCCGCAATGAACGCGATATGATAAAGTACGAGCGGAAATTGCTCAAGTTTTGGGCACAGTCATTCCTGCTCGGTGTGCCTAAAATAATCGTGGGATTCCGTGATGAAAATGGCATTTGCCATAGTCTGGAGGAGCTGGACACAGCCAGTATCCCCGGCAAAGTGTTGAGTGTCGGTCGGCGTTCCTGGGATGGAAATGTCTGCATCAATTTTACTGGTGCATTCTTGGAATGTGAGTGTTCTTCTTCGTGGGCTTATAGCAGCACTGACACACCTTCCAGGGCTTAAGAAGACTATCAATCGGGAGGGGACGTGGAGAATTCGGAAGAAGGAGAAGTCTCCGGTCATCGAGGTCTATCAAGTTGAGGAGCAAGGACATGGCGATATTCTCTCGCCGGCTTTCAAGGCCTGGCGATCGACCATGACCTCTGCAAGTTCATGATTGGAAGGTCTAATGTATGCTAGGTGGTGATGATGATGTACCTTAATTGTTTGTGTCATTGCAAAATGAAATCTTTCAGTGGCTGTTGATTTGTGAAATCCTTTCACGGACTATATAAAAAACACAACAACCACCAGAAAAGAGAAGACTAGGACCCCCAATTGATTTTACTCAGTCGAGGCGACTTGCTATCCGAGAAACCTCGCCAGAGGAGGCATCTAGCGACTACCTGCATCACCTTTTACACGGAAGACAACCCTTGATAGTTTGTAATAACAGAAGAATATGGGGTATTTCTATGACCTTTAATCTTTGACTATGCAATGCAATAAATCATGACCCAGGTTCGGTTTCAGGAGCCTGGATCCCCTTCGCTTCCAACTCCTTCTTTCGGAAATATTCATCTCGCTGTGTCCTCTTACTCGCAGACTTCAGTCCCCGTTTATGCTGATGACTATTCAGATGAATATGCCACTGGTCCTCGGTCGCCATTGTCTTCTGGCAGACATCACAGGTATAACACCTCCCGATTGGGTCTGTCTGTTCACGCTTTTGGGCCTGGGCTTCCTTCGCGCCGAACTCCGCCGCTGCCAACTGAGAAAGCGATTTAGGATCTGGAGTGGGCTTGTTTTGCTGCATCAGTTGGACAATCTCCTCCGACGGTCCAGTGATGCACTTGCTCCAGTCGCTGACATTGGAACTGTCCAAAAGATAAAGACGACGTGTCTCTCCGGCTTCTGTGAGTGCTCTCCAGAGTTTATTGCGGATCCATTTGACTTGCGATGTTCCGTACTGGCGTGTGGCGATCCGAATTAATTCAAGAGAGTTCCGTTTGAGATCTTCGATCTCTTTCTCGCTTGCTTCCCCATCCCGGATAGCCTTGAAGTATGGCGCCAATTCCTTGAATCCAATGGACACCCAGACTCCCCGTGTTTGGTCAACTTCAATGCCCTGCGAGGCTTTTTCCTGCAAGTAGTCCGACATCTTCTCCGCCTCCGTCATCAAGCCCTGCTTGACCATGTCATCGACACGCGCATCCAGGCGCGCATTGAGGACCTCCTTTTCGGCATGTACCCAAAATACCAAGGTATTCTCGAACCGTAGCAATCCTTCCTCCTGGTCCATTGCCTTTCTTTTTTGAGAGAACTGCTCTTTATAAATATCCGAGGCCCGCCGCCCTGTCTGGAAATAGATTTCCAATGACCGCCGGATTTTCCGTCCATCTCTCGGATGCCATCGCGCAGCCATGACAGGATCCACCTCGCGCAGCTTCTCTAAGAGAACTTCGGGCGCCGAATCCAGAATCGGCCATTTCTTCGAGGTTGAGCTGAACTCCGTGAGCTGTTCCCGCTCGCTTTCGTCGTCCACACCCTCGCCCACGAGCTGTTCTTTGAACAGCACTGCTTGGGTATAATAGTGGGTGCCACCAACAAGGATAGGGACCTTGCCACGGGCGCGGATATCTTCAATAATTCGAAGGGCTTCGCGCTTGAACAGCCCTACGCGCCATGCTTCCGCGTTTAGGTCGATGCAACTGAGGAGGTGGTGAGGGATGCCATTCCGTTCCTCAATCGGGATCTGGTTCGTTATGATCGGTAACCCGCGGTACATCTGCATGGCGTCGCCATTGATGATTTCACCGTTGAATCGAGAGGCCAAGTCCACTGCAAGCTGTCTACAGCTATCAGTTATTGTGTCCGGAGGAAGTGCAGGCGGTGCTTGGAGCCATTACCTTTGACTTGCCTGTGCCTGTGGCACCGACGACAGCTATGAGTGGATTCATGATTCCTTGACCGTGCCAAATAGATCGGAGAGCCGAGAGCATACCGTGATGTTCATTGCGACGCGGGGGAGGAAAAAAAGTTGTTATCGGGACGGCGGGTTATCGCGCGGGTTACCTCATCCATGACCCCCGGAGATCATATCATCGATGTTACAATGGGCGCTAGCATCAAATCAGTCTAGAGAATTTCGATTTAAATGCATTGTCTGACTCATTCTACATTCTTTTGATTTCATCGAATCCCGGGTCCTCTTAGTGTTTTCCTTTCTCCGACATTCGTCATGGCGCATATCAATCCCACTCCATCCATTGAGGTACAAAACCTCTCATACAAGTTCCAAGATGGCTCTAGTGGCCTGGAGGACGTTAGCATGAGCCTACCACCTGGAAGTCGCACCCTACTGATCGGCGGTGAGCCAAATCCATCCCCATTTCAGACTAATCTCAAAGACTAACCCAAACGCACAGCAAATGGAGCGGGGAAGACCACTCTCCTCCGCCTCCTATCAGGGAAGCGCCTTGCACCCAATAACACCATCGCCATTGGCGGCAAGGACCCCTTCAAGGACACCCTAGACGGCGTGACCTACCTAGGAGTCGAGTGGGTATTGAACAGCATCGTCCGCACAGACATCGATGTGCCGACGCTGCTCGCCTCCGTCGGCGGAAATGCCTACCCAGAGCGTCGGGACGAGCTGGTCGATATTCTCGATGTCGATCTGCGCTGGCGCATGCATGCCGTCTCAGACGGAGAACGCCGTCGCGTGCAGCTGGCCATGGGCTTGCTGCGACCCTGGCAGGTCCTGCTCCTCGACGAGATCACTGTCGACTTGGACCTTTTGTCCAGGAGCAATTTCCTGGCTTTCCTAAAGCGGGAGACTGAGACCCGAGCCTGCACTATTGTTTATGCTACCCATATCTTGGATAATCTTGCCCAGTGGCCTACCCATTTGGCCCACATGCATTTGGGCAAGGTCAAGGCGTTGGGTAGTGTGGAGTCATTCCATGAAGAAGTCCCTGAGTGGACTTCGGAGAATAGTCGCCTTGGAGAGCTGGTTCTCAAGTGGCTCAAGGAGGATATGAAGGCCAGAGGTCCCCGGAATGGTCGTGGTAATCAGGCCAAGACCTACCAGTCCCTTGAGGGTATTGGAGGTTACGGACTGGAAAAACACGACTGAGAAAATAATCCGGAAAGAAATGTGATCTTTTTTATCTAATTTTTGCATGCGATCACTGTCAGGAGTCATATAATGTGCCGTTCAACAGCAATTGGGTTCAACCACAAGGCATAGATGGGATTTATTGGCATCTGCATCTATAGGGGGGATATATTCAACACTTGGGAGTTTTCAACCATCATAACTCATAAAGGGCCAATATTGCTTCTTTTTTTTTTTTTGGTCTTTCCAGATGTCTTTTTAATATCCCATCAGATATTTTTGGATGTCTTTCTGGAGGTCTTTTCAGATGTCTTTCTAGGTCTTTTCGTATGTCTTTCCAGATGCTTTTTAATATCTCTTTATATATCTTTCTAGATGTCCTTTTAGATGTCCTTTAGATGTCCTTGTAGATATCTTTGTAATATTGGATCTTCCAAGTGTTGAATCAGCCCTATATAAAGCCCCCTCCCCCTCTCTCACTCCTCCTTCCTCTCTTCTCTCTCAACCACACACCACCCAAACAACCCGGGCCCTTCTGAGGCTGGGTTCTTTTCTTTTTTATGCGAAATTGGTGGCCACACCCGTGAGGAGTGCCGTCACTGGACTGGATGCCAGCGGGACATGGCGAATACCTTGGCGAATGCCATCAAGGCGGCCATGAAGGACGAGTGGAAGCCTCAGGTAGGGACCCTATACAATACATTCCTCTTTGTAGTCGCTTTGCTAATGGATCTTCGATAAAAGCCAAAGGCCAAAGGCCACAAGAAGGCCTGCCGCCAGCACCGTGGTGGTCAGAGAGTCCGAGGTATGTCTTATCTTCCACTTTGAATCTTTATACAAGTCCAGAGTTGGATTCCTTGGAATACGTGGTTTGCTCTACAATCTGCGTTGAAACAAGCTGAATCAGTGGATGGTATCAGGAGCCATAGAGAGAGACATGTACTAACAATACATATATAGAAAGGGCCTGGCACCCCGCCTCGATTGCCCCCTCCTGCTCGTACCTCCCCTCCTCCTCGCACCTCCTGGCACAGTCACAAGGGCGCAGGCTCGCGCTGCAACCCCGGGAAGCTATCCTCAGGCCGACGAGCCGGAAGAGGAGATAGTTATGTCTGGCGTGAGGCCGGACACATAGGATATCCTAGAAGAGGAACTCCGTTACCCCGATTTGCCTCTCACGCCCTCTCCTCGCGCCTCCTCTGCCCCTCCCGCCAACTCTCCTCCTCCATCCCCTCCCTCTGCGGAGGCCGCTGGCCCCGTCACTTCTTCCTCCCTGCCCGGTACGTGAAACTTTTCGATCTATGAAACCTCCCTTTCGATATACCTCTGGGCATTATGCAAAGAATATACGCTAACTTGCAAACAATTATAGTGAACACCAACGACACTGCTGAGGGTAGCCCTGGTGTGGGATCTGATCTGCTTTCGAAAGATTAGGACAGGTCTCTCAGTCCGAGGCAGAGCTGCTTGTCAAGTGCCTGGAGCAATTCCGGTACAGCAAAGCCTGCAAGGACTTCGAAGGGAAGCTCCTGGTTGAGGACAAACCGGGTCAGAGGTCCAGGGCCCGAAGAGCATGAGGATGAGACCATGCAGGAGGAGTAGATTGCCGGGCGATTTGTTTCTTTTTTTTAAAAAAAAATCCTTATTAAGATCGAATAATGAACCTGTATGTCCTTTCACTTCCGTAAAATAAAAGAAAAATTAGAAAATGGAAAGAAGAATTCTTCTTATCTTGTATAGGAAACCAAAATCAAGTGTACCTCCAGGGCTATCTACATGTACATTAATTAGTAAAAAGGACTTCCTACTTCTTAAGGTTGCTAAGCTATCAATCTTTATATCGAGTCCCTCCTTTTTAAGGGTTAAACTAGTTGAATTGTTCAGGTGTAAGTGTCTATAGTATATCGTCTATATATCCATATAATCGAGCATTCAGGTCTAATACTATAAATACTATACATTAAGTGATATAAACTTGTAGTAATGGAATAAAGACTCTATATAAAATATCTTATAATCTGTTTCTACTAGAAGAGATACAAATACATTAAATGCATCTCTTCCTCACTTTCACTTCTCGAAAATGAATTCGCTCTAGTATCAAATGCTCCAAATCCCCTAAAAGATACTGTAAAATGAGATTCCTAACTCCTTTGATAGCCTGGGAGAAGTGTTGCCTACATATACGTAGGTAAATAGATAGACCTACCTAGGCAGCCTTGCCTCTCACAGAACAAGACCATTCTCTCTCTCTCTCTTTCCTCTCCCTCCTGTGTCTTCCTCTATCTTTCTCCTTTCTTCTCTCTCTCTCTCTCTCTCTCTCTCTCTCTCACGCACCCAAGATCAAAACATCCCCGGACCATTTTGAGGCCGGATTCTTTGCGTTCTCGTCCTTTGTTTGTTTTTAAAAGAACAATCACCATGCCCGACAAGGGCAAGAAAAGAGCAGCAGTAAGTGAGGCCGAGTTACCAGGTTCTTGTCGCGTTGAATCGCGTCGAAGCGTCTGAACCCATCAACATCTACCCATCCCCTGATGCTGTCATCCACATCCACACCATTAAAGGAAACAATATCGACATAGACTAACTGATAAATAGGAATGGTGTACCTTCTGTGAAATGGGTGGCCACACCTGTGAGGAGTGCCGCCGCTGGGCTGGATGCCAGCGGGATATGGCCAATACCATCAAGGCGGCCATAAAGGACGAGTGGAAGCCGCAGGTAAGGACCCTATACAATACATTCCTCTTTGGAGTCGCTTTGCTGATGGATCTTCGATAAAAGCCAAAGGCCAAAGGCCATAAGAAGGCCCGCCGCCACCACCGCGGGGGCCAGAAGGTCAAAGGTATGTCTTGTCTTCTACTTTGAATCTTTATACAAGTCCACCTAAAGTTAGGTTCCTTGGAATACGTGGTTTGCTCTACAATCTGCGTTGAAACAAGCTGAATCAGTGGATGGTATCAGGAGCCATAGAGAGAGACATGTACTAACAATACATATATAGAAAGGACCAGCGCCCCGCCTCGATTGCCCCCTCCTGCTCGCACCTCCCCTGCTCCTCGCACCTCCCCTCCCCCTCCTGCCAACCCCCCCTCCTCCATCTGCTCCCTCTGCGGAGGTCGCTGGCCCCGCCACTTCTTCCTCCCTGCCCGGTAAGTGAACCTTTTCGATCTATGAAACCTGCCCTTTCTATATACCCCCGAGCATCATCTTTTATGGTTCGGCATGTGATTGTAGCCTATGGGCTCAGCCTTTCGGTTCAGCCTATGCCTTACTTAGATGATCTGCCAATTCAACATGTTTGAATCGTGCATTTATAGCTCAAACCCACCTCCAACATCTATAGGGCTTGCTCTAGGCACCATGCAAACCTTGGAAGGATGTACGCTAACTTGTAAAATATAGTGGACACCAACACCACTGCTCAGGGTAGCCCTGGTGTGGAACCTGGCCTGCTTTCGAGACTAGTGCAGGTCTCTCAGTCCGAAGCAGAGCTTCTCGTCCGCGTCCTGGAGAAAATCAGGAAGGAGGGGAGCGTCTGTGAGGACTTCGTAGAGAATCCACTGGTTGACGAACCAGGTCAGGAGTCCACCCAGGGCCCCTGTGAAGAACCCGAAGATGATGGCAAGCGGGAGTAGATTGCCCGGGCTATGGGGTTCTTTTTTTATTTTATTTTTTTCTTATTACGATCAGCCGCTTAATTGCACACTGTATGATGTCCCTTCATTTCCCACATAAAATGTAAATTTTGGAAAGTCATTTTGTAGGAGCTGTGCGTGAGTTTATAGCTGGTTTTCCAAGTAGATAAATTATGGGCATCTCAAACATCTCAAAAGACATGTCAAAAGACTACCGGAAAACACATCTACAAAGACATTGAAAAGACATCTCAACCATCATGACTCATAAAGGGATGCTACCTAGGTAAAACCATCTTGACTTTTGTACAAATCATGAAATCATGTTCGAGATAGCATATATCCGTGTGGATGTGTCCTCACTTGCCACCGCCAATTCGAACTGATCCCGAGTATCCGCCTCTGCAGCCAGCACTGGTCGCCATGATAACTGAGTAATTGTCTTTGAGGGTGAGGCCACTTTGTCAATGGTCACTATGTGCTGTGCTTCGAGGGTGTCAGCAGCAATCCGGTGGATAGAGATGACACCGTTGTCCTCGCCGACAGCAATAACATATGTGCCTTTGTAGGTTGCGGGCAAGAAAGCAATTGCTGAGACCGCCGATGTCAAGGCCACTGTCGTTTTGCAGACGAAAGTCTCTTCGGACTTTTGCCAGATCTTCACAGATTTGTCACGTCCTGCCGTGGCAAAGACATAGTCTGTTGTAGCTGGGGACCAGGCTGCACCTAGAATCATTCGAGAGTGACCCTTGGGGTTTAAGCTGAGGTTTGTAAAGGTAGTTGGGTCTGCATCGCTCCGCTGGAAGACCGCCCATTGGCGATCTCGTCCAACACTGAGAAGATAGCGATCGTCACTCGAGAACGAAAGGTCCGTGATGGTCAACGAGTGCGCGGTGAGAGAAGGTTTGATCTCATGCCAGTCCGACGTATCATAGAGGCGAATTACCGCATGGTCGATCGAGCTGGCCTTGCAGGCTGTAGCAATGAGCTTACGGTCATGGCTCACTGCCACTGCTGAGATCTCATAGCCATGGCCATACAGCTTCTCATGCTCCGGCCACAATGTGTAACGAGACAACTGATCCTCTAGTGGCGGATTGTTGGTATCCAGCAAGGCAGAAGCGGTTGCCACTCCAGTTGGGGCTTTTTGCTCGTCCTCTTCCACTGGCGCCTCATCTCCAAGTGCCTTATTCGAGAGACCCAGCACCGGGATTTCCGCAGTGTCTGGAAGATCCTCATCATTCGATTGTTTGAACCCAGTCAGTCTCTCGAGCAGCTGGGCAATTTGCTTGGGCTCATTGAACACACGCAGAAGTTTCTCTTCTGCGCCAGACACAAACTGTGAGGGACCCAGTGTGTCAACACAGTTCAAATCGTACCCGTGGATCTGAGGGCGAGAAAACTCATGCCATGAACCTGTATTTCCCCTCACCCACTTTGCATGGAGCCGGGTAGTTTGGTCTGAACTGGTTGAAAGCAGGTAGCCTCCAGTGGGCTCCCATTGCACACCGTTCGCTGAGCGTACATGGCCCGAAATACCGAACCTTTGTACCCAAAGATCCGAATCGGAATCATGTCGCCAGACTCTCCAACTACCTGTCCGGCCAAGACTCACCACCTGCTTTCCGTCCGGTGACCAGAGCCCGATCCAGAAGCCACCTGCGCTACCAGTCGCCGTGGTAGATCCTTTTTGGACACTGATTTCTCCCATTCTCTCTGTGGACATCCAAACGCCTGATGCTTGGTCTTGCTCCCAAATTGTGATCGTGTTATCAGCGGATGCCGAGAGAAGCTGCTGCCGCTTCGAATCAGGATTCCATGCAATAGTATAGATCCAATCTTCATGTCCGAAGAGAAGAGCTTCAAAAGTAATGGAGTATTTCGACCCTGCAGCCTCGAATTCATGGGCTTTGTTCGATAGCGTGGGTTCCATTCCTCCAAGCAGAGGATCCGTATCATCTATCGGAGCAGGGGCACTTGCTTCGCCCCGACGTAGTCGCCAAAGACGGATGTATCTGTCTTGACTTGCAGACGCTAACAGGATATCACCGTTGCTCTGCTTGTCCTGGGTGAACGAAAGAGCCTTGACCCAGGCTTCGTGTCCCGCAAGTACAGCCCGGCGTTTGAACTCTGGCTTGCCGATGGAGGTTTCCGAGACGTAGATCTGGACCTTGGTCGTCGTACCTGCAACGGCCAATACCAATGGCTTATCCGAGTCCCCTTCAAGCCCCTGCAATGACAGAGATAGCGGGAAGAATCGTGGTGCCATTGTGATCGTTTCAAGTAGCTCGCACTTCAATCCGTGCTGTGCGTTTATTCTCCAGGTCCGAACCGTCCCATCAGCCGCTCCAGATGCGATGACGGCCGTTCCGTCGGCGACGGCAATCGCATTCACCGAGCCCGTGTGGCCCTCGAGGGTAGAAGCAAGGGTATAGTTGTAGGAATTGGCATTGTCCTTTTGCCATAGCCGTATTGTGCGGTCGACGGAGCCGGTGACGATAAACCTCGTTCCTGAGGCGGGGCATGTATAAAATCGAACGGCGCTGACTTTATCGGTATGACCAACAAGCAGGGCATAGATACCGCGAGCAGTTTTGTCCTTGACTAAGTGTCAGCTTGACCTTGTTATCAATGCGCAGTCGTTCTCAATGAACCTACTAGAGGATCCCATAAGGCGACATTGTTGTCCGCACCGAAGGCGAGCACGCCTGTCTGCACATCCCAATCCGCAGCACCAGGGTGCCGGTTTCCCCCCACGCTAATGTAGTCTGTTTCGACGGCAACCATGGAGTATTATGAGGGCTTGTGAACCCTTTTGTCTGTCTGTGTTGCTGTACTGGGAATTGGAGAAAAGCCGCAAAGAAATTGCGGGAAGATTGGAGCTTATCGATAAGAAGTTCTGTCTCCGCCTAGCCCCTCCATCTTCAACAGACTCGACTTGTGAACTATTTCCATTCGTTGCCAATAAGAGAGATAACTGCTATATGCTTTGTATTTCCCTTTGTCTGCAACGCCATGGCTGATACTTCAAATGTGGCCCAGGGAGAATTCCCCGTCCCTATCACCGTCGAGTTTACGTACGTCAAATCTCTCCTTCAACTTGGTCAACCTCTGCTGATAATTGATCTCCATAGTGGCGGTTTGGAATTGCTATTCGGGAATGAGCGCAAGCATAAGGTTGTTTTACCTGCTCGTTTAGAGGACGGCAGCAGGCCAAACATCTCATACCTCCTTAAATACCTTGTCGACAACCTCATGAAGGATCAGAGAATAGACATGTTCATCATGGAGGACAATGTGTACGTCAACCTAACTTTGGGGTTTTTATTCAATATTAATGATCTCTATAGACGACCAGGCATTCTCGTCCTCATCAATGATGCCGATTGGGAACTCGAAGGCGAAGAGACATATGAACTTCAACAAGGAGATAACATCGTTTTTGTCTCAACTTTACATGGCGGTTAAACACGATGGATTGTATTGATGCTATCAACGCAACTAAGACAAAAAAGGGACTTGATTCGAAGTGTGGCTGGAAGAATGCGAGAGCAACATATGGGTGGTCTTGCCGGGCGAAGTGAATTTAGTGTGGACTTTTACCTAGACCACATCTTCAACATGCTGTTGTGAGATCCGTTCCCGCTCACGCGGTGTTCGGATTCCACTGGGCGTTCGATGACCACTCTGTGGAGTTGCTTGACCTTCCGGGCTACCAAGCCCTTGCGCTGGTGATACCACCCCGCTTGGAGGCACTGGGATCTTCAAGTCCTCTGGAGAGGCCGGAATAATCTCTTCGGGGAGGTCGGGGATATGGATCCGCTGTGCCTCGTTCTGGTAGCTCTCGGGAACGATCTGGAATAGTGTTAATCAACCATAGATATTAATCCAACGCAAAGTCCAATTTACCTCAATGATTTCATCGCGAGGGAACTCAAGGAACGGAATGTCTGCGGCGTTGCAGGCCATGAGATAGCCATACAAAACCCTCAAAACACTTTCGTGTGCAATGATGAGTAAATCGGTTTGCTCCCTCTCCAATTCAAGGATAATTGGCTCGAGACGAACAGCCAAGTCATGGTATGACTAGTTGCAAAAGGTGAGCAAATACACATTTTGAGAGTTCGGGACAAAGCTTACCTCTGCCCGGGGATAACGGTGATGATAGGGATCAAGTTCGTGCTTAGCGACCTCGTCACCAAACTCTTCTCGGATGCGATCCTCAGACATCTGCTCACAAACACCAGGGTGCAGTTGGCTCAATTGAGACCTCTGCCGGATTTTATATCCGTTTTCATGGAAGTATTTCGCGGTTTCCACTGTCCTGCGCCGTGTGGAAGTCCAAACTTTCAAGGGTCTTGATTCGTAGCCAGTCTCTCCTCGCTCAATCATTGCTTGCTTTTCTTCTTCCCGGTGAGCTAGTAGACGTGCCGTCATCTTCTTGGCGTAGTCTTCTCCCTGTTCTGACAATGAAGCATCGGCTTTGTATGAATCTGCGTCTAGCGAAACACCAGCCTAGATAAAATGTTAGGCTTTGCATTGTAGCAATGTGGACAGGAGATGACCTACCCGGGCAAAGTATGTGCGTCTCGATTTGATGTGGAGATTCAGAAGATAGAAGACTATACGGTTAGAAAGGTAACCAAAGCTTCGATTGTTAACAATCAACCTCTCGCCAGCGTTGATCATCTGTTTTTGGTGAGTAATGGCAATAGGACAAAGGTTGTTGCTCGTACCTTGATATAGTTCAAGTCCTTTTCCTCCATGGTCTGGAATTGGGGGATGCGTGAATAGATACGGTTCAAGTAATGTTTCACGGCATCTTCTGATTTCCATGAGACATACTAGCCATGATTGTCAGAATTTACATTCAATGCGAAGATATGCGTGAGACTCACATCAGGGGAGGATATCTTGACTCTGCGAACATTCTCTTCAATGATTCGTTCGTCGTCACACCAAGACTCAATGAACAGGGTCTGATAAAAAGAAATATCATT